ACCAGTGTATAGAGTAACACTGTGAGTATATCACCAGTGTCTAGAGTAACACTGTGAGTATATCACCAGTGTCTAGAGTAACACTGTGAGTATATCACCAGTGTCTAGAGTAACACTGTGAGTATATCATCAGTGTATAGAGTAACACTGTGAGTATATCACCAGTGTCTAGAGTAACACTGTGAGTATATCAACAGTGTCTAGAGTAACACTGTGAGTATATCATCAGTGTCTAGAGTAACACTGTGAGTATATCACCAGTGTCTAGAGTAACACTGTGAGTATATCACCAGTGTCAAGAGTAACACTGTGAGTATATCACCAGTGTATAGAGTAACACTGTGAGTATATCACCAGTGTCTAGAGTAACACTGTGAGTATATCACCAGTGTATAGAGTAACTCTGTGAGTATATCACCAGTGTCTAGAGTAACACTGTGAGTATATCACCAGTGTATAGAGTAACTCTGTGAGTATATCACCAGTGTATAGAGTAACACTGTGAGTATATCACCAGTGTCTAGAGTAACACTGTGAGTATATCACCAGTGTCTAGAGTAACACTGTGAGTATATCACCAGTGTCTAGAGTAACACTGTGAGTATATCATCAGTGTATAGAGTAACACTGTGAGTATATCACCAGTGTGTAGAGTAACACTGTGAGTATATCACCAGTGTCTAGAGTAACACTGTGAGTATATCACCAGTGTCTAGAGTAACACTGTGAGTATATCACCAGTGTCTAGAGTAACACTGTGAGTATATCACCAGTGTATAGAGTAACACTGTGAGAATATCATCAGTGTCTAGACTAACACTGTGAGTATATCACCAGTGTATAGAGTAACACTGTGAGAATATCATCAGTGTCTAGAGTAACACTGTGAGTATATCACCAGTGTGTAGAGTAACACTGTGAGTATATCACCAGTGTCTAGAGTAACACTGTGAGTATATCACCAGTGTCTAGAGTAACACTGTGAGTATATCACCAGTGTATAGAGTAACACTGTGAGTATATCACCAGTGTCTAGAGTAACACTGTGAGTATATCACCAGTGTGTAGAGTAACACTGTGAGTATATCACCAGTGTCTAGAGTAACACTGTGAGTATATCACCAGTGTCTAGAGTAACACTGTGAGTATATCACCAGTGTGTAGAGTAACACTGTGAGTATATCACCAGTGTATAGAGTAACACTGTGAGTATATCATCAGTGTATAGAGTAACACTGTGAGTATATCATCAGTTTATAGAGTAACACTGTGAGTATATCATCAGTGTCTAGAGTAACACTTCGAGTAACACTGTGAGTATATCACCAGTGTATAGAGTAACACTGTGAGTATATCACCAGTGTATAGAGTAACACTGTGAGTATATCACCAGTGTATAGAGTAACACTGTGAGTATATCACCAGTGTCTAGAGTAACACTGTGAGTATATCACCAGTGTGTAGAGTAACACTGTGAGTATATCACCAGTGTCTAGAGTAACACTGTGAGTATATCACCAGTGCCTAGAGTAACACTGTGAGTATATCACCAGTGTCTAGAGTAACACTGTGAGTATATCACCAGTGTCTAGAGTAACACTGTGAGTATATCATCAGTGTCTAGAGTAACACTGTGAGTATATCACCAGTGTATAGAGTAACACTGTGAGTATATCACCAGTGTCTAGAGTAACACTGTGAGTATATCACTAGTGTGTAGAGTAACACTGTGAGTATATCACCAGTGTCTAGAGTAACACTGTGAGTATATCACCAGTGTCTAGAGTAACACTGTGAGTATATCACCAGTGTCTAGAGTAACACTGTGAGAATATCACCAGTGTATAGAGTAACACTGTGAGTATATCACCAGTGTATAGAGTAACACTGTGAGTATATCATCAGTGTCTAGAGTAACACTGTGAGTATATCATCAGTGTCTAGAGTAACACTGTGAGTATATCACCAGTGTATAGAGTAACACTGTGAGTATATCATCAGTGTCTAGAGTAACACTGTGAGTATATCACCAGTGTCTAGAGTAACACTGTGAGTATATCATCAGTGTCTAGAGTAACACTGTGAGTATATCACCAGTGTCTAGAGTAACACTTTGAGTATATCACCAGTGCCTAGAGTAACACTGTGAGTATATCATCAGTGTCTAGAGTAACACTGTGAGTATATCACCAGTGTGTAGAGTAACACTGTGAGTATATCACAAGTTTATAGAGTAACACTATGAGTATATCACCAGTGTCTAGAGTAACACTGAGTATATCACCAGTGTATAGAGTAACACTGTGAGTATATCACCAGTGTATAGAGTAACACTGTGAGTATATCACCAGTGTATAGAGTAACACTGTGAGTACATCATCAGTTTATAGAGTAACACTGTGAGTATATCATCAGTGTATAGAGTAACACTGTGAGTATATCATCAGTTTATAGAGTAACACTGTGAGTATATCATCAGTGTCTAGAGTAACACTTCGAGTAACACTGTGAGTATATCATCAGTGTATAGAGTAACACTGTGAGTATATCACCAGTGTCTAGAGTAACACTGTGAGTATATCATCAGTGTCTAGAGTAACACTGTGAGTATATCATCAGTGTCTAGAGTAACACTGTGAGTATATCACCAGTGTCTAGAGTAACACTGTGAGTATATCATCAGTGTGTAGAGTAACACTGTGAGTATATCACCAGTGTCAAGAGTAACAATGTGAGTATATCATCAGTGTCTAGAGTAACACTGTGAGTATATCACTAGTGTGTAGAGTAACACTGTGAGGATATCATCAGTGTCTAGAGTAACACTGTGAGTATATCATCAGTGTCTAGAGTAACACTGTGAGTATATCATCAGTGTCTAGAGTAACACTGTGAGTATATCATCAGTGTCTAGAGTAACACTGTGAGTATATCATCAGTGTCTAGAGTAACACTGTGAGTATATCACCAGTGTCTAGAGTAACACTTAGAGTAACACTGTGAGTATATTATTAGTGTCTAGAGTAAACACTAAGGCGCTGGAAGAATCATATTGCGTGGGTTTCACCATACCCAGGCCTACCAAAGGAAACCAGAATGTCTCAAACGATAGAATTTGCACACACTTTAAATAGAAATAGCTGCACAAATTACAAAGTCACAATCCCCATAAAGAAACAGACTGCAACAAATGGCTACATCCTATGTCATTTACTGTGTTTGGTTCAATTGATAATACAAACTTTATTGGGGGTGTTTCTTTTGGTCTGGTTGTTTTTGGTCGGCCTGATACCCACAATTGCAGGTTAACCATGCTTGAGGGTTCCACTCTGGCCTGATACCCACAATTGCAGGTTAACCATGCTTGAGGGTTCCACTCTGGCCTGATACCCACAATTGCAGGTTAACCATGCTTGAGGGTTTCACTCTGGCCTGATACCCACAATTGCAGGTTAACCATGCTTGAGGGTTCTACTCTGGCCTGATACCCACAACTGCAGGTTAACCATGCTTGAGGGTTCCACTCTGGCCTGATACTCACAATTGCAGGTTAACCATGCTTGTGGGTTTCACTCTGGCCTGATACCAACAATTGCAGGTTAACCATGCTTGTGGGTTTCACTCTGGCCTGATACCTACAATTGCAGGTTAACCATGCTTGTGGGTTTCACTCTGGCCTGATTCCCACAATTGCAGGTTAACCATGCTTGTGGGTTTCACTCTGGCCTGATACCTACAATTGCAGGTTAACCATGCTTGAGGGTTTCACTCTGGCCTGATACCAACAATTGCAGGTTAACCATGCTTGAGGGTTCCACTCTGGCCTGATACCCACAATTGCAGGTTAACCATGCTTGTGGGTTCAACTCTGGCCTGATACCCACAATTGCAGGTTAACCATGCTTGTGGGTTTCACTCTGGCCTGATACCTACAATTGCAGGTTAACCATGCTTGAGGGTTCCACTCTGGCCTGATACCCACAATTGCAGGTTAACCATGCTTGAGGGCTCCACTCTGGCCTGATACCCACAATTGCAGGTTAACCATGCTTGAGGGCTCCACTCTGGCCTGATACCCACACTTGCAGGTTAACCATGCTTGAGGGTTCCACTCTGGCCTGATACCCACAATTGCAGGTTAACCATGCTTGAGGGTTCCACACTGGCCTGATACCCACAATTGCAGGTTAAACATGCTTGAGGGTTTCACTCTGGCCTGATACCCACAATTGCAGGTTAACCATGCTTGAGGGTTCCACTCTGGCCTGATACCCACAATTGCAGGTTAACCATGCTTGAGGGTTCCACTCTGGCCTGATTCCCATAAATGCAGGTTAACCATGCTTGAGGGTTCCACTCTGGCCTGATACCAACAATTGCAGGTTAACCATGCTTGAGGGTTCCACTCTGGCCCGATACCCACAATTGCAGGTTAACCATGCTTGAGGGTTCCACTCTGGCCTGATACCCACAATTGCAGGTTAACCATGCTTGTGGGTTCAACTCTGGCCTGATACACACAATTGCAGGTTAACCATGCTTGAGGGTTCCACTCTGGCCTGATACCCACAATTGCAGGTTAACCATGCTTGAGGGTTCCACTCTGACCTGATACCCCCAATTGCAGGTTAACCATGCTTGAGGGTTCCACTCTGGCCTGATACCCACAATTGCAGGTTAACCATGCTTGAGGGTTCCACTTTGGCCTGATACCCACAATTGCAGGTTAACCATGCTTGAGGGTTCCACTCTGGCCTGATACCCACAATTGCAGGTTAACCATGCTTGAGGGTTTCACCAGAGTGGTAAACATCCAAGACCTGCATCACCGAGAGTTTCCTCCCACATCAAGCAGACACACTGTGATATAACTGAAATACTGTCACAGCTGTGTTGAATGTTAACTCAATCAACTCGCACAGATTCTAGGCATTGTTCATTTAAACTTTCAGTTGTGAATATTGTTCAGTAATGTCAAATCTTCTCTGCATCCTCCGCAGGCCAATCACCATCATGTGAACGCACATGCCAAAAGTCACGAGCACAGGTCAGGGTCCGAGGTGAAGGCTGTAATCCGGGCATCCGATGACCCTCCCAGCTACTGGTCTCAGTATAACCGCATCCACAGCAAGCTGGGCCACATACTGGGTCCAGGCGTACAGAGAGAATATCCAGTCAGGAAGCAGTACAACTTCATCACAGGTCAGTCAGAGGTCACATGGGTCAGTCAGAGGTCACACAGGTCAGTCAGAGGTCACACGGGTCAGTCAGAGGTCACACGGGTCAGTCAGAGGTCACATGGGTCAGTCAGAGGTCACAGGGTTCAGTCAGAGGTCACATGGGTCAGTCAGAGGTCAAGAGGGTCAGTCAGAGGTCACACGGGTCAGTCAGAGGTCATGAGGGTCAGTCAGAGGTCACAAGGGTCAGTCAGAGGTCACACGGTACACAATCAGTAAATTCAACAATGCTGAAGCTCAGCTGGTCTCTGACCAGTAGGCCTGACACAGTGACACATGGTTGTCTTGTCCACTGTCAGACGTTTTGGTTTCCGGATGACAACATGATTAAAAGTACTTGACTTGATCACTAACATGGCTTTGATTTACCTGGCTGACTGTGTCTTTGGACTTATACAATAGCATTGTTCGATCCAGTAATTACATGTGGGAAACACCCACAGATGCCAGGATATAACTGGAATTATTGTTTTCGGACGATATGGGACATGTCACGTGTCATTCAACAGAAATACGTATTGACTCCAAGTCAGGTCTGATAATTAACTCAAGTTACTAAATATAGAACAGGAATACCCAGAAGTGGTATTGCGAAGACTTAAGCTAATCAGATGTCTTCGTTTGTTGGAACTTCATAACGTTACTGTAGCTAACATAGTCTGACATGTTGAATGGGCTTTTGTCTCCATAATATTCACTAAAACAGTCATAGACTATATACTTGTTTTTATAGACCCCAAAAAGCAATGTCAACCTCAGACTTCATCCTCGGTCAATATTTCTTTTTTCAGGTCCATACAAACAGGTATTGACCTAGTATAAAAGTCTATAATTGTATGATATTAAACATGCTATTTTCAACATGTCGGGTTTGCATGCTTCAGACATGATATTGTTCATCTGTGAGTCCTTTGGAGGTGTCTAATTGAAGACCACCAGACCAGTATTGTCCAAGTACAGTAAACTATGGTTATAACCCAAAGGGACCACTACTTTTAGTTTGTTAACCGTTGTTTGTTATAAGAATATACACAGCAAATGACCGGGACAAAAAAAACCTGTTTGTTATATTCTCCAGTTCGTTATAAGCATGCTCATTATAAACGTAGTTTACTGTAGATGTAGTTTCCCACCGTGTTCCAGGTACGATGGGGTCACCAGCTTGGAAGGAGGACAACCGGCGAGTGTCCGGCAACCGCGTGTTACGCTCCGCCAGGACTAAGGTCCAGAATACGTCCATCATCAGCTGAGTTGGCAGCCAGCTCCACGGAGGGAAGCAATTGCAGCAGCGGTATAAATGAAGGCCAACATTTTCAGCCGTCATATGATAAAAACAAAAAAAAATACTGTCGCTGATGCCTGCTTTTCTATCATGTTATTTTATATTTCAAAAGAGGTTACTTGAGATTCACTGTCACAGGCGTGTAAATTTCACCATTTTTGCCTTCTGAATGAAGATTTCATGCTCACAAGTGGGGTTAGAATGCAAGGATGTGTGGATGTGTTGAAGAGTAAGGACACTGTTCTCTCTAAGTTGTAAGTGCTGTTGATGAGAATGGCATCTTTGTGTCCTTACACACATCCAGAATATTCTTCTCCTGTGTAAAACGTAAGGTATTCATACTGCACCTTGTTTTGATCCGTGAAATCTGACTGATTACTCGATACAATATCACCAACAGCATTCTATATAATCTGCCTTGTCACGACTTGTGTTATTGGGAGTTATATCCAGTCTTTGATGTGATATTTTGATTTCCTTGTTCAGGTGGGTCACCAACCCATGTTTAATATGATTAATACATTGATTTGATACGACTGGGATTGTAGTAACATACAATGCCTCAACCTTGTGAATGGGAGAAGATAAAGGGAGATTTTTTTAGATAACCAATTGTTTATACATTCTAACAATGTAAGATGTCGTTATAGAAAACAATTCCTACAGATCACAAAACTCATCACTAGAATATTCGAGGAAGAGGAATATAAACATGATGAATATTATCTTTTCTATCAGATACTTAAGAAAAAGAGGGTTGACTTTGAACTGAGGCTCGTCCAATTACACAACTCATAGATCTGGGGTAGAATAGGTCTAAATAGGTGACTATGTTTGTCGTAAGAGGCAACTAACGGTGTTTGGGTGGTCAGGCTCACTGACTTGGTTGATGCATGTCATTGTATCCCAATATTCATGATGTCAATCACTGGATTGTCTGGTCCAGACTTGATTATTGACAGACCGCCGTCATATAGCCTTAACATTGCGGAGTGCGGCGTTAAACAACAAACCAACAAAACTCATGCTGTGTTGATCACGTTGCGTCCTGAAGGCCCAGGTCTGTAGAACTGAGTACTGTTCCCTTGACAAGCAAGGATGCATTTCTGCTGAACTTCAATACCTGCACAGAATGATTAGATTGAGGTTTGTTAGTGTGGTGACCACTGTAAACAGTTCTGTGTTGGTCCAGCAGGAGAGAAGGGTAACTTGATACTGATATTGCAGCTATAGGGTAGGTCGAGGCAAGGGAACTCAACAGAGGTGGAGTCAGCAGTGTTTGAAGTAAAACATCATCTCAGATCTGGGCCAAGATTCATTACCTTTGCCGATTCATGAATCTTCCTTTTAACATATTGTTATTTTTCTAATGTTGATGTACCTCTTGATACTAGTCCAGCAGTATTGTTTTATGAAGTATTACATATTCAGAGGGTGGGTCCAGACCCCCCCTCCCCCTTTTGAAAACCAAATGTAGTATGTAAAATTGACGGAGGTTTTTTGTATTTTGGTCCACTACCTTTTGAAAACGCTGGATCCACCCTAGTTTTATACGGTATTTACATCTTTTATCAGTATACATAATTTTAAAAAATGTTAATTGAATATTTTGTAATGACATGCATTATAATTGTTCTTCCTTCTGTGGAGCCAAGCACCTCCATTTCTTTCTGTAGACATTCTTTTCAACATTCAAAGTATATTTTCATGAAGCCAAACTTGATATGTGATTGTGTTTCCGTGTTGGAGGTGTGGTACTGGACTGTTTGTACAGATGCTGGTACTATTCTGTGTAATATTCTTTAGGGGAAATAAACTTTTTGATGTGGATTTTCCCCATCAACATTTATACTCATTATTGTCAATTCCATGCACCAACAATTCAAACTTCTGTGGATAGAGGGTCAGCCTGTTGGTTGGAATGCCTGGTCACGTCATACGAAACGCCTGGTCACATCATACGTAACGCCTGGTCGCATCATACGAAATGCCTGGTTGCATCACACAAAACACCTCACATGCATGCACGGCACGTCCCTACATAAGTGCATCAATCTTGAACACGATGTTAGACCCTATTTTCCCTCATACTTCAACTGTGTTTCCATACCCTTGACAATACGTGGGACGCACAGGTGGACCTGCTGGCTGATGTATCACATTACCATCTCATCCTACCAGGTACCCATTCACTGCTGGGTGAGCAGAGGCACATTTCAAACAACTCTGATTTCCCCACCACATGCAGCGTACAGTTGACTGAAATACTATCCAAGTTGGGGATAAGCCCAAGGTCACTTATATAATACCTGAGGTGGACCTCAGCTCTTCCTTGACAGTATTTCAGCCACAAACGGTCCGATTCTGGGATTCACCCCGCCGACCAGATCCTGGGCGGAAAGCAGTCTTATATAGTGCTCCAACTGCTCTACATATGCATTTTACCAGACACCGATCCACCATGTTTGTTTGATGCTTCTAATATAGCTGCACGTGTCAACATGACAGTTTGCTAAATGGAACAATGCAGCTCAAAACAAGCAGAAACATTACTGTTTGCACTTGTATGTTTAACTGAGATTAATGAACATAGAAAAATTACTGAAATAGTTCCATAATGGTGTGCGATAACCTCAGTGACATCCATCGGGGTCACATTTTAATGAACATGTACTCGATAGCTTCATTAACTTTGGAAACTAAAATATACATTTTCATGCAAGCACCCAAAGCCTGTTACTTTAGCTATGCGGCCAAAAATGGTGTCAGAAAAACTTGGAAACCATTACTACAGAAGGAACTTGTGTCCACCTGTCACCAAAATGGCAAAGGTGTCTGGTAATGCATTCATTCCACTCGGAGTTTCAGGTGTTCAAGATCTACCAGTGGAGCTTTGCTTTGTCACTCGGAGTTTAAGGTGTTCAAGGAGATCTACCAGTGGAGCTTCGCTTTGTCACTCGGAGTTTCAGGTGTTCAAGGAGATCTACCAGTGGAGCTTCGCTTTGTCACTCGAAGTTTCAGGTGTTCAAGGAGATCTACCAGTGGAGCTTCGCTTTGTCACTCGGAGTTTAAGGTGTTCAAGGAGATCTACCAGTGGAGCTTCGCTTTGTCACTCGGAGTTTCAGGTGTTCAAGGAGATCTACCAGTGGAGCTTCGCTTTGTCACTCGGAGTTTAAGGTGTTCAAGGAGATCTACCAGTGGAGCTTCGCTTTGTCACTCGGAGTTTCAGGTGTTCAAGGAGATCTACCAGTGGAGCTTCGCTTTGTCACTCGGAGTTTCAGGTGTTCAAGGAGATCTACCGGTGGAGCTTCGCTTTGTAAACATGCCCCTGGAATTAGTTGTGATTCTTAGATTTCCTGTCAAATGTTGACACTTTCTGGATCCACCCTTGAGTTGCAAGAAATTGTTACTATTAATAGCTGAAATATTGCTAGTGTCGTGTACACATACAAAAGGACAACAGGACTCTGTTCTCAACTACAACTATTTTTATTAGCTCCAAACCAGAACACAAATAAGTGGAACATACAGTACAGTGTGAGATGAGAGATGAGAGATGGTGCAGTGCTTGAGGAAGCAGCACGGGACTACGGTTACACGGAGACCATCAGGGAGGGACACCTACACATCATACAAGTCATCGGTATACACCAATCTACATCATACACAATACCTGATGACAGCAGTCCAAAAGTCAGCTTACAACAGATTTTCATTTGGGCATTTTTCTGAAAGTTCTTTGATGATCTCCTGATGCCACTCAGCAGACTGTGTTTGGGCCCAGGTCAGTGGTTTGAGGACAGTTGTATGACCTTGAACGGCCAAACAGAACCTCCCAATGGAACCAAATAGGAGCATGTTTCTAATGATGACTCTGTTACCATGACTACTAGAGCCAGGTTTTCATTGGCCTGTTTTAGTTTTCCATTTACTTTCAGGACTGCACTGTCAGAAGGCATACATCATGTGTGACAATAATAGAACAGTATGTTAAACGGCAACAACTGGTTTCATATTTTCAAAAACTCTGGTTAGCATAAAAGCCTTCCACATTTATATTCTGATCTCATTCTGCTATTCTTGCTAACTGCATTATCAAAATTGCATTCAAATTTCAAGTCCAGCCATGGTCCTGTTATTGTACATTCAAGTACAGCTGAAAGTTCTGTTAAATTGCATTCAAATACATCAAACTGTACATGATTTAAGTCTGAAATCTGGCATGCAAAGAAAACTACACTGAACATGAATGTAACATGACTGACGGTGAACACACGGACACATGGACAGTGCTTCACAATACTCACGTACTGACAGACAAGCTTACGAACACCCATGTCACAGTCGGGTTCCCTGGCACCAAGGACTATACAAAGGACATCACAACAGGCTGTGGGCAGTTCTCTAAGCCAGAAAGCTTCAACATCTCAAGTATCCCCTGGAAACTTCTACTCACAGAGCTTACACAGAGTTAATGATCAGATGTGTTTGGCGACCAGGCCCTGTTCCATAAAGCTATCTTAGCGCTTGGACTGTCGTAGGTCAATGTTAACACATGGATGTTCTGGTTAATTGGTCCTAAGATCATTTTGTGGAATGGGGCCATGCCCTGATGTTGACGTTTCTTGTATTTCTGTGAAGGTTCATTTAACTATATTGGAGATACAAATCATACAAATCATACAATCAACTCATTTCAGAATCAGATGGCACAGTTTACTCTAGGGCCCATCTTTGATGCAGACTGACCCTGTCCCGATGTCTGGCCGAGGTACATGACGTGTATAGTGTAGGCAAGGAGCTAATCTGTTAAAAAAACACCTTGTAGAAGATGCTCCACATTCCATGATGACACACAGATAATTAAAAGAGGCTCCCAGTCTGTACCAAAAGCCATCCTTACACTTCCGAAATATTGATGTACATAAGAAACCTCGGAACTGACTTGACTTTCTCTTTATGAGTATATGGTCAACAATCTGACATTCCTGGGATTGGCTGTCGCTTGGTTTCCTCCCAACCAATCACCTCCTCACATTCCTCACCCCTGTCACTCAAGATCAACATCCACCAAGGATGACCTTCCAACGCCTCTCACCATCCCGGTCAATGTCACCTAATGAAGATCTGCCACCACAGGCTACACCTGGGCAGCTATATAACTGACCAGTGCTTCAGCTCTCGCAAAGACCACATCATTACCACAAACCTCGGCAATATTTACCACTCATACCAAGGCATCACATCTCAGGGGCTTGCAGACGAGACTAATGACATAATGCAAGTCTTGTGTATCTGGTTAGACGTACAACCTCGACTCAACCAACTCCCATTTCTGGGTCACATGAGGAGCAGTATGTGTAGCAATGATATCTGTGCAGTGAGCTGTGAACATGCAGCTCGGTTCCTCTTCCCTCTATATCAGATGAAATCAAACATCACCGTCCCAATAGATCTAAGAATAACCCCAAAGTGGAATCAAAATTACCCCCGTGTCGGAAACTGACCACTCATACTTCATCCTTATCCTACGATGGAGCACACTGACTTAAGTCTTTCCTGTAAACATAATAATAAACACTAATTCTATCATTATCACAAATAAACACAAGTGCAATGGCCTAAAGCTGGCGGCCTGTTAAACACCAAGGCCATGTAAACATGGTGGAGTTTGAAATGAAGCAAGCAGCGTAGCTGTTACACAAAATCGAAAGCAGCGACTTACTCTAAATTACATCTCACACAAAATGTTGGATCTCTTGTTTTTTGACCATATGCATAATCCAACATTTTCTGTCTTTCCTTAAACAGAGTATCAAACAGTAGCTCATCCTTATTATCTAAGGTGTATGATTTTCTCTATACACATTACTTATAAAAGCATGACACTACATTTCTTTTTGATATGAGTTGAATAAAGAGAGCATTCTTTCATAACACAAATATAGTATAAATTGTATATTCAGATACTAAAACCGAGGCGTATCATATTCTAACAAAAACAAGTATAATGAATTGATAGACATCAGAAATGCAGAGTAAGTAGGCAAATGGAACTGAATAGAAAAAAGATGGACAAGAATTTCACTTCTCTTCAAGAAAAAAGAAGTATTTGAATATTATTTCATTATTGTCATCCAAGTATTATTCAGTAATACAACTTTCTTAATACTCTAAGCAGAAAGAGGATAGACAATTTAATGATGTTTGTATATGCACTTTTCCCTTAATTTCACACATCTTGACGAGGAGAGGGAAATGTATAAGTGTTGATCCTTTCAACATAACAATTCTCATGTGTCAGATAACAACTTCCACTGCAATGTCTAAAGCCAATCTACAGTGTGAAACATGTGATCTTATAGCACTGCAAAATAGGCTAGCTTGTCTATTTCCATAATGGCTGCAATCTGTGTCTGCCAACCACTCAGTTCTAGCTGAGGACGCGAAGACTTCCACTACAAGCAGGAATTCAAAGCAAGCATATGGACATGTCATATATAATACACAATCATCAATATAACAACAAGGGTGATAGATATTTCATTTCAGGACTGTAGTTCGATGAAAAAGAAAAGTCTATCAATATCATAGTTCACCTTGTCACAAAATCCCATACAGTTAGGATGAGGGGGGCAATGTGTGGCTGTAATACATGATACGTCAATCAATATGTCCTTCTATCCCACCAACTCTATCCTCAAGTCTATCTCATTATTCATCGCAAATCAGATCAATGCGGACCCATCTACTGACGATGGTCGCTCTGAATAAGTTTGTCGATATTTCTTGCTGCTTTGTTACTCTGCCAATGTCGGAACAAAATGCTATAAAGGGTGCCAGCAGTCGGCGTCCCGGTAGCTCTTGACTCAAAGCAATCACTCATATAAAGGCCCAACGGCCGGGCCCGAGAGTGCGGTATTGCTTTTTACTTCCATGTTTTGGCTAGAACTTTGGACTCGACTTCCGAGTGTTGTAAGTATGACCCAGACAGAGTCTCCCAGTCGAGGCGAGCAACATGTGCAGTTTACGCGTCTGCCATCGCTGCTAGGGAGAGGTTTCTGCTAGAGGTCGTAGTTAGAGCGAGGAGCCTGGATTCAGGTCATGTCGAATTCAAACCCATGGCGTCCATCCCTCATATAACACGGCCAGGTTGTCCAGATGGGTAGCCTCCTTCAGAACATAGTCCACCTGAAACACACACAAATAGTTTACGTTGAAATTCATTTTCACAAGCATTGAAAGGTTTTCTTTTTGCAGCGAGTGTGTCAATATTGTGTTCCAGCTAGTTAGAGGTAGTCTGAAAATACTTGAGCATGGGCCAACCAAAATAATAGCTTGATCAACAATTCCCTACTGATAGTCACAAAATTTGCAAGGTGGCGAATGGTAACCACCAGACCCTCATTAGTTGGCTCCCTCCTACAGAAAGAATGGGGTGCTGTGGCCACGTTCTGCCTGGGGATCTCCACGGACTGGCTAAGTCTTAGCCCGACAACACTGTCAACACAGCCAAGTCACTGACAAAGGAAAGGGGATAAAATGGGCTTACCAATTAGGATGGAGAATTTGGCAGTAGATAGAACTATAACCATGAAGCTACAACAATGCATCACAACCAGTTAAGCATATGAAAGTGAAAATTGGCTGAACCGATTCCATAAATAGTCCTGATCAACTACTTGCTATCAAGTCATTAAAATGGAATAATGGAGAATTTGTTTTTTATAGAAGATGAATGATTACAACAAAGACCATATATAAAACAGCTGGATTATATGATTTGTTGGAATCTGACCTGTTCTGCAACGGACATGCGTTTGTTGGGGTCCGGGTCTCTCCCATCTAGCTTCATCTTGACACGGCGCCACACCCCCACTGCATAGGTGTTCCTCTCCTGGATGGCTGAATTACACACAATTGGGTTGAATTACACACAATCAGACTGAACTACACACCATTGGGTTGAATTACACACACTAGCTGAATTACACACAATAAGGCTGAATTATACACAATCGGGCTGAATTACACACAATTGGGTTGAATTACACACAATTGGGTTGAATTACACACAAACGGGATGAGTTACACACATTAGCTGAATTACACACAATCAGGCTGAATTACACACAATCAGGCTGAATTAGACAATACGGCTGGATTACACACAGGCTGCATTACACACAATAAGGATAAATTACGAACGGGCTGAATTACACACACTCTAGCTGAATTGCACAACAAGGCTGACATACACAATCAGGCTGAATTACACACACTCAGGCTGAATTACACTCTGGCTGAATTACACTCTGGCTGAATTACACACTCTGTTTGAATTACACAGAATCAGGCTGAATTACAATCAGGCTGAATAACACAACCAGGCTGAATGACACACAACCAGGCTGAATTACACACAACTGGGCTGAATTACACACACTCAAGCTGAATTACATAATCAGGCTGAATTATACACAATTGGGCTGAATTACACACAACTGGGCTGAATTACACACAACACACGATCAGGCTGAATTACACACACTCGAGCTGAATTACACACAATCAGGCTGAATTACACACAGTCAGGCTGAATTACACACAGTCAGGCTGAATTACACACAGTCAGGCTGAATTACACACAGTCAGGCTGAATTACACACAATCAGGCTGAATTACACTCTGGCTGAATTACACACAGTCAGGCTGAATTACACACAGGGGCAATCAGTCATTAATCTCTGCAAAAACTGGAAGTGAACTTCGGGACCCATCAAAACCCCAAACACTTCAACTTCCTAATGTCCTTGCTCTCAAGTGGGTAAGGCTTTAAGATGCTTCCAGCAATATTCTAGCCACCATACAGAAAGGGACACACAGAATGAGCTTCACACTTTTCAACCGTGAAGGGAATCAAGTCCGCTCATCTGTAGGCTATTACCGGCATGTAATTTTTTGCCTACACAATACATAGGTTATACCATCTCTCACTGGTCCATGACAACCGAATATCCTACTTGACTTACCTTTCCCCGTACGTGGATCTCGGATAACTCTCTCCTTCTTAACAATGGGAGCTGAAAACAAGACAATCTGTTGAGTGCAAGAACAATGGCACCGCCCAAGAAGGTTTGGTTTAACACTGATTTGATCATATTGCAGCATGTCTGTAGCTTACTGTGGGAAAAGCCCAGAGTGACTCCAGTACAAGGATCTATACCAAATGTCACCTTTACAGTAAATAAAGAAGTTGTTATCCATACATTGTGTATACTTTGTTGATCATAATCAGGTCACTTCTGAATTTGACCTTCCACAATCAGCGGATCCTGGCACAATTAAGGGATGAAACTCTGCACAATGAATTGTGGCACTTCAGCCTAAATAACATACTGACATCCTAATCCTACTACTGTCTTATACACATGGCTGAGTGAGTGAGTGAGTATTGTTTTATGCGCTTTTAGCAATATTCCAGCAACATCTGGGCAGGGGACACCAGTAAACAGGCTTCGCACATTGTACCCATGTGGGGAATTGAACCCGGGTCTTTAGCGTGATGAGCGAACGTTTTAACCACTGGGCTACCCCACCGCCCCTTATACACATGGAACAGCAACCCTAGAAGATGCAGTAGTTGTGAAAGCAAACAATGAAAAACTGTTCCAGGAAAATATTAGATTCTAGCAAAAGGTAGACATCATATGATTGTGAGCTGGTTATTGAGGTGCTACAAGACTACTGACTGCTCTGTGCCCGGGCCGCTGCACCGGCCTGAGGGCTGAAGGGCGGGGTGTTGGGCTGCAGCTCTCTCTGGATTGTGGACATCCTGCGTGCAGGACTGGCTACTTCACGCTCGGCTGGCTTCTTCAAAGCTGAAGGAGAGAGGCAGCTGGTCAGTACATGAAGATCAACTCGGCCTCCTGGGCCCACTTGCACAAAGCGATCATAGCACTAGGATTATCATAACTCCCATACTTTATCATAGGCTTACGATAGTCTTAGCGCTAAGATGGCTTTGTGCAAGTGTGCCCTGCATTGATTAGGAACATTTATCAATTAGTCCATGCAAGTGTTGAAACCTGCGTCGCCACACCTCCCAAGGGTTCATAAAACCTTCTTGATATGGTAATAGAAAATATTTTCTGAAAATAACTAACTCAGTATTGTAAATTGATACTGGAAGACAAATAGGATCTCATCCCAGAGACCATACAAGGGAGAGACAGGCCTCAGCAGTAGAGTATCACTAACGTACACTGCCACGCTGAGTGTAACTGATACATTGGGGTGCCCTGCTGCTCTTCTCCTGGCAGCAGTCGGGTTGGACAGCTGATTTGTCAATTCACAAAAAACCTTGCATGTAAATCTTCGCAAAGATTTGATTCGTGTAACAGAGCAGCTTGGTCTCGTGTGTTGGGGATCGTTCTCCATCTGGCCCAGAGGCCCGTTCCACGGTTCTTGGTCCCTGCTCATTTAAATGTCTTTTCATATCAAATATATCTGCAGTAGTCGACAGAGCCAAGGCTCGGATTATATTCCTTCTAATGATGATCCTCATTTGATAAGGAAAGACACTGTCAGCTATCTCCTAGTAAGCCACCCTACGCCCCTGGTGGAAGGAAGGACCTAGTCTATGTCTATTCTTATCATAGGTGAACATAACATGTTTGAAACAGGACAAAGATAAACCTTTGTAACGTGCAACGAAAATTAAAATTAGTTATTTTGCGGAACTTTGTTGAACAACTAACTCCACAAGTATTGTGTGTACCCTGATTGTTCTCCTTGCTGGTAGGGTTCTCTTCCTCTTCTTCCTCCGTGTCGGGCAGGATGGGTGGAGCAAACTGCAGCAGGGTGTCGTATATCCTGCAGGGAAGACACAGATTACATATCACACCCTGACATTCGGCAGTACTGTGAAACAAGCATGCCATTGCCTAGATATAAGAACTATTGCAATGTGAAAATTGTAAGTTCTAGAAAAAAAAAGGAATAGTGGTTTTACAGCGCTTTTAGCAATATTCCAGGAATTTCACGACAGGGGACACCAGCCATGGACTTCATACATATTGCCCATGGGACAAGGGCACAGGGGACAGGGGACACCAGACATGGACTTCATATATATTGCCCATGGGACAAGGGCACAGGGGACAGGGGACACCAGCCATGGACTTCATACATATTGCCCATGGGACAGGGGACAGGGGACAGGGGACACCAGGCATGGACTTCATATATATTGACCATGGGACAGGGGACAGGGGGACAGGGGACAGGGGACACCAGCCATGGACTTCATACATATTGCCCATGGGACAAGGGCACAGGGGACAGGGGACACCAGCCATGGACTTCATACATATTGCCCATGGGACAGGGGACAGGGGACAGGGGACACCAGGCATGGACGTCATATATATTGACCATGGGACAGGGGACAGCAGCCATGGACTTCATATATATTGACCATGGGACAGGGGACAGGGGACACCAGACATTGACTTCATATATATTGACCATGGGACAGGGGACAGGGGACAGGGGACACCAGCCATGGACTTCATACTTTATAGCCCATGGGACAGGGGACAGGGGACAGGGGACACCAGGCATGGACTTCATATATATTGCCCATGGGACAGGGGACAGGGGACAGGGGACACCAGGCATGGACTTCATATATATTGCCCATGGGACAGGGGACAGGGGACAGGGGACAGGGGACAGCAGCCATGGACTTCATACTTTATAGCCCATGGGACAGGGGACAGGGGACAGGGGACACCAGGCATGGACTTCATACTTTATAGCCCATGGGACAGGGGACAGGGGGACAGGGGACACCAGACATGGACTTCATATGTATTGCCCATGGGACAGGGGACACCAGACATGGACTTCATACATATTGCCCATGGGACAGGGGACAGGGGACAGGGGACACCAGGCATGGACTTCATATATATTGCCCATGGGACAGGGGACAGGGGACAGGGGACACCAGGCATGGACTTCATATATATTGCCCATGGGACAGGGGACAGGGGACAGGGGACAGGGGACAGCAGCCATGGACTTCATATATATTGCCCATGGGACAGGGGACAGCAGCCATGGACTTCATATATATTGCCCATGGGACAGGGGACAGGGGACAGGGGACACCAGGCATGGACTTCATATATATTGACCATGGGACAGGGGACAAGGGGACAGGGGACAGGGGACACCAGCCATGGACTTCATACATATTGCCCATGGGACAAGGGCACAGGGGACAGGGGACACCAGCCATGGACTTCATACATATTGCCCATGGGACAGGGGACAGGGGACAGGGGACACCAGGCATGGACGTCATATATATTGACCATGGGACAGGGGACAGGGGACAGGGGACACCAGGCATGGACTTCATATATATTGCCCATGGGACAGGGGACAGGGGACAGGGGACACCAGGCATGGACTTCATATATATTGCCCATGGGACAGGGGACAGGGGACAGGGGACAGGGGACAGCAGCCATGGACTTCATATATATTGCCCATGGGACAGGGGACAGCAGCCATGGACTTCATATATATTGCCCATGGGACAGGGGACAGGGGACAGGGGACACCAGACATGGACTTCATATATATTGCCCATGGGACAGGGGACAGCAGCCATGGACTTCATATATATTGCCCATGGGACAGGGGACAGGGGGACAGGGGACACCAGACATGGACTTCATATATATTGACCATGGGACAGGGGACAGCAGCCATGGACTTCATATATATTGCCCATGGGACAGGGGACAGGGGGACAGGGGACACCAGACATGGACTTCATATATATTGCCCATGGGACAGGGGACAGGGGGACAGGGGACACCAGGCATGGACTTCATATATATTGCCCATGGGACAAGGGGACAGGGGGACAGGGGACACCAGACATGGACTTCATATATATTGACCATGGGACAGGGGACAGCAGCCATGGACTTCATATATATTGCCCATGGGACAGGGGACAGGGGGACAGGGGACACCAGACATGGACTTCATATATATTGCCCATGGGACAGGGGACAGCAGCCATGGACTTCATATATATTGCCCATGGGACAGGGGACAGGGGGACAGGGGACACCAGACATGGACTTCATATATATTGACCATGGGACAGGGGACAGCAGCCATGGACTTCATATATATTGCCCATGGGACAGGGGACAGGGGGACAGGGGACACCAGACATGGACTTCATATGTATTGACCATGGGACAGGGGACAGCAGCCATGGACTTCATATATATTGCCCATGGGACAGGGGACAGGGGGACAGGGGACACCAGGCATGGACTTCATATATATTGCCCATGGGACAAGGGGACAGGGGACAGGGGACAGCAGCCATGGACTTCATATATATTGACCATGGGACAGGGGACACCAGCCATGGACTTCATATATATTGCCCATGGGACAGGGGACAGGGGGACAGGGGACACCAGGCATGGACTTCATACATATTGCCCATGGGACAGGGGACAGGGGGACAGGGGACACCAGACATGGACTTCATACATATTGCCCATGGGACAGGGGACAGGGGGACAGGGGACACCAGACATGGACTTCATATATATTGCCCATGGGACAGGGGACAGGGGGACAGGGGACACCAGGCATGGACTTCATATATATTGCCCATGGGACAGGGGACAGGGGGACAGGGGACACCAGACATGGACTTCATATATATTGACCATGGGACAGGGGACAGGGGACAGGGGACAGGGGACACCAGGCATGGACTTCATATATATTGCCCATGGGACAGGGGACAGGGGACAGGGGACACCAGACATGGACGTCATATATATTGACCATGGGACAGGGGACAGGGGACACCAGGCATGGACTTCATATATATTGACCATGGAACAGGGGACAGGGGACAGGGGACACCAGACATGGACGTCATATATATTGCCCATGGGACAAGGGGACAGGGGACAGGGGACAGGGGACACCAGCCATGGACGTCATATATATTGCCCATGGGACAGGGGACAGGGGACACCAGACACGGACTTCATACATATTGCCCATGTAGGGAATGGAACCTGGGTGTTCAGCATGATGAGACAACGCCACCACCCAAAATAAAAAGTGGCTAGATGTGAGTCTAATAAACTTGTATATAACTTTCAAAAGAATGTTTCAATGATTTCCACTTTTGTACCTATGACACTATGGAGTATGGAGGTATGGCTAAAAGGAACAAAAACGGCTCATTTTTTTTAACTCTCAAGAGACAATCCAACTATTGGCAAGTCTGTGACCAAGATTACATTTTTCACCACACAGTATACTGACTCCGAGCCAACCAGTCCTTGTTGTAGACCCTTAATGCCGAGTGCCAGGCAGGGTAACAAGTACCATCTTTTAACATCTTCTCGTATGACACAGCAAGGCATCACACTTGACCTTCTGCTCTCTGGGTGGATGCTCTACTATTAGAGGCGGTCGGTTATTTCAAAAGATAAAGCATCACTCACTGTGGTATTTGCTCCAACAGATCTGCCAGCATCACCCTGGCCTCCTGCATGCCCTCTTTGGTCATGTCATCGCTCACGGCAGTCTTAAGGGCGGCAGCCATGTTCTCCGAGAAATTCTTATAGGTGGCCAGGTACTCCCGGATACCCCCCTCAATGACGTAGTCACCATAGTCCTGCTCCTCTTGCTGCAGAAAGGGGGATAACATTACCATTACCATGGTTACTTCAACACTCTTTCTTGTATTCCACAATTAGGGGTTCCCTCAATATTCTACCTTCTATCAACCGAGGACAATGCCACTGCCACAATGATTTTACTTCAGTACTCTACCTTATATTAATGAAGTACATTATAACTAAGGTGGACCTCTGCCAGTGTAGGTTGAGGTGAAGTGGGGTTTAACGTCGCAACCAAGATTATTGCATTTAATATATAGCCACATGCATGCACGTGTGCGTGGCCGCTTGTACTAGTCTTTTATAGTGCTAGCCCACTGAGATACCATTCTGCAGTTAATGTTTGTTTGTTGTTTAACGCCGCACTGAGCAATATTCCAGCTATATGACGGCGGTTTGTTAATAATCGAGTCTGAACCAGACAATCCAGTGATTGACATCATGAGCATCGATCCATGCAATTGGGATACGATGACATGCATCAACCAAGTCAGTGAGCCTGACCACCCGATCCCGTTAGTCGCCTCTTACGACAAGCATAGTCGCCTTTTTACGGCAAGCATGGGTTGCTGAAGACCTATTCTACCCCGGATCTTCACAGGTCGGTAACAACAAGAACCCCGGGCAGCGTTCGAAATTGGCACTAGTCCTATAGTCCTTGCCAAAATGCCCAATAGTTAAGGTATCCTAAGGACTAGTAGAAATTTGTCCTTTCTAAGGGATTTGCTACATGTCCGCATTATAAGGCCTAGTGGGCTAAACCTGCCGGACCTTCCGCTCTCCAGGTGGACGCTCTGCCACTAGACCAGGGATTTCCAGCAAATACCCCCTGCTACCCTGCAACCTACCTTGGCCATGGACTTAAGGATGGAGCGCAGATCAGACATCAGCTTGTGATGGGATGCTAGCACTGTCTTGATTGTTGAGACCTTGTCCTGGATGCTTATCTAAAAACATTTTTCAAAGTCACCTTAAGACATAAAAAAACACAGTTCACAGTACAATAGCAAAAATATGCTCATTTCCATGGAGAGTTTCATCCATGATGCTTCTCTATCTTTGAAGTACAAAACGAGAAACAACTGACATGTTACAATCAAGTTTCTGTGATGTTGTTCCCAAATACCCAAATAAGAAGATTGACTGGAATTTCTTTTCTAACGTACTTTGAATCCATCAATCTCTGCCTTTATGGTGTCTGTCTGTGTGTCCATCTCTGCAACGTCCTTGTTGACCTGGTCCAGCGTGGACTCCAGCCACTGGGCAGTGATCTTCTCACCCTCCTCTGGGGACTGGAAGACAAAGCACGAAACATGACCCATGCATCAGAGCACCTTTATGAATGCTAGACTAATCGTACACATTCAGCACTTTTCTCTGACAAGAGGCGTCATATACTATGCAGGGGATATTCAGAGGTGTTACTACAGGAAAACAAACATGGGTTGCTGAAGACTAATTCTAACCCATATCTTAACTGGTCCATTAATGTCATAGAGCTGGTCAGTTAATGATTTTTGGGCCATGTATTACAATGACTGGGCAAACTGCGTTCCTTATCGTCCATGGCAGAGTCACAGGTGACAGTGAGTGAGTCTGGTTTTACGCCACTTTTATCAATATTCAAGCAATATCACGGCGGGGATCACCAGAAATGGGCTTCACACATTGTACCAATGTCAGGAATTGAACCCGAGTCTTCGATGTGATGAACAAACACTTTAACCTAACTAGGCTACCCCACAGCTCCAAGCATGGGTGACTGGGGCCCCACAGGGTGGGCTGTGAAAGAGGCTGTAGTCATCACGTACCCGTGTAGTCATCACCTACCCGTGTGGTCATCACCTACCCGTGTGGTCATCACCTTACCGTGTAGTCATCACCTACCCGTGTGGTCATCACCTACCCGTGTGGTCATCACCTACCCGTGTAGTCATCACCTACCCGTATGGTCACCTACCTGTGTGGTCACCTACCCGTGTAGTCATCAACTACCTGTGTGGTCACCTACCCATGTAGTCATCACCTACCCGTGTAGTCATCACCTACAAGTGTGGTCACCTACCTGTATGGTCAACTACCCCTGTATGGTCAACTACCCCTGTAGTCATCACCTACCCGGATGGTCATCACCTACCTGTGTGGTCATCACCTACCCGTGTGGTAACCTTCCTGTGTGGTCATCACCTGCCCATGTGGTCATCACCTACCCGTGTAGTCATCACCTACCCGTGTGGTCATCACCTACCCGTGTGGTCATCACCTACCCGTGTGGTCACCTACCCGTGTTGTCACCTACCCATGTTGTCACCTACCCGTGTGGTCACCTACCCATGTAGTCATCACCTCCCCGTGTGGTCACCGACCCGTGTGGTCATCACCTACCCGTGTAGTCATCACCTACCCGTGTGGTCATCACCTACCCGTGTGGTCACCTACCCATGTAGTCATCACCTACCCGTGTGGTCACCTACCCGTGTGGTCACCTACCCGTGTGGTCATCACCTACCCGTGTAGTCATTACCTACCCGTGTGGTCATTACCTACCCGTGTGGTCACCTACCCATGTAGTCATCACCTACCCGTGTGGTCATCACCTACCCGTGTGGTCATCACCTACAAGTGTGGTCATCACCTACCCGTGTGGTCATCACCTAAACCGAGTAGTCATCACCTACTCGTGTGGTCATCACCTACCGGTGTAGTCATCACTATCACCTACCCGTGTAGTCATCACCTACCTGTGTGGTCATCACCTACCCGCGTGGTCATCACCTACCCATGTGGTCATCACCTACCCGTGTAGTCATCACCTACCCGTGTGGTCATCAGCTGCACCTCCAGGTCCGAGACACTGCTGCTGGACGACTCCATCAACACCCGTGTGGTCATCACCTTAACCGAGTAGTCATCACCTACTCGTGTGGTCATCACCTACCGGTGTAGTCATCACTATCACCTACCCGTGTAGTCATCACCTACCCGTGTGGTCATCACCTACCCGCGTGGTCATCACCTACCCGTGTGGTCATCACCTACCCGTGTAGTCATTACCTACCCGTGTGGTCATCACCTACCCGTGTGGTCACCTACCCATGTAGTCATCACCTACCCGTGTGGTCACCTACCTGTGTGGTCACCTACCCATGTAGTCATCACCTCCCCGTGTGGTCACCTACCCGTGTGGTCATCACCTACCCGTGTAGTCATCACCTACCCGTGTGGTCATCACCTACCCGTGTGGTCACCTACCCATGTAGTCATCACCTACCCGTGTGGTCATCACCTACCCGTGTGGTCATCACCTACAAGTGTGGTCATCACCTACCCGTGTGGTCATCACCTAAACCGAGTAGTCATCACCTACTCGTGTGGTCATCACCTACTGGTGTAGTCATCACTATCACCTACCCGTGTAGTCATCACCTACCCGTGTGGTCATCACCTACCCGCGTGGTCATCACCTACCCATGTGGTCATCACCTACCCGTGTAGTCATCACCTACCCGTGTGGTCATCAGCTGCACCTCCAGGTCCGAGACACTGCTGCTGGACGACTCCATCAACATGCACACCTCGTTACATCTGCCAAGACAACAGCGTTAGATTCATGTAACATCTACTGAGACAACAGCGTTAGATTCATGTATATCAAAGCCTGCCTCACTTGACTTTGTTATTGACAGAAACTAGTTTAATGTTGTTGCACAAACATAGAGGTGGTGAAATGGGGTTTCACGTTGCGTCCAAGGTTATTGCACTTATATAGCGACGTGAATGCATGTGCGTGTGTGGCTGCTTGTACTAGTCTGGACTAATGACGATCTTATAGTGCCAGCACATTGAGATACCATGCCTCAATTTAACATGAATACCCAACTCAGACACAGTATACTGACTCTGAGCAGACCAGTCTTTGTTTTAGCCCTTTAATGCCGAGTGCCAGATAGGGTAACAACAAGTTCAATCTTTTATCATCTTTTAACATCTTGTAGTATGATGTGGCCGGGGATGAAATCCCGGACCTTCTGCTCTCTGGGCGGACGCTCTACCACTAGACCACAGAGGCAGTCCACAAACAGAGAAACAAGTCTGCCTGATGTTCTTCCCACCTGTTGATGTGAGTGAGGAAGTTGGTGTCGGAGGACACTGCCTCAGCTGTCCGTGTTCTCAGTGCTTCGAAGTGCAAGATACCCTGACACAGAGAGACAACCTCCGTCACCATCTTGCTCTCCGTCTGAAACAAGAAACACCATCATTATATATATATATGTCTAGAATTGATAACATAGAAAAATATTCTTTAAAAAACGGCTTATTAACGACATACCTCCCTTGATTTGCATTTCCGGCAGTGTAATACAGGTCAATGGTCTCACTAACCTAGTCCTTTTCCAAATCATTTTTCCTTTCCGCACAGTTAAGTGTTACTATATATAGTCACGGACACAAGAAATGCAAATACCATTCATGTAGTTAATAATTGAAGAATTACTCAAACTCAAGAGATATTAGATTGGTTCCATGCACAAATGAACATACTGTTATGGTGTGTGAACCAACGCTCATGAATGCATCACATGTGACGTCATAGATCCATAACTCGAGATGCACCATTTGTCTTGTGTAGGATTCGCATGAAAAGTTTTGAAGTCACTTGCAGTGAATTGTGATAAGAACAGAAACACTCAGTGGTAACACTTGACTGATTGTTAGTTTGGTCATTAAGTAGCACACAATGGAAACATCTGTACTTTTCTAAGAAAATATAACGTGTTACATGAATATTAAAGGTAAAGAAAGAAACAAAAAAATTGTCATCCTCTATTTTATTGCATTTCTATGTAACATTAAATCTGTTCCGCAGCCAAGCAACCATGCTTCCATACCTCAAGTGACATTTTCCTGCGATTGCTTGCCTCCTCAAACTGCTGCAGGACAAAGTTGAGTGTTGGGTTGGCGCCGGCGGCCCACCGTAGTCTCTGCGTGATGCTACCCTCCAACTGACTGTAGCGGTCTTCACACCCAGCGATCACCCCCTCCTGGCTCAACAGGGACTGCATGCCCTAAACACATGTAACACAGGCATGTAAGTCAGGTCTTCACACCCAGCGATCACCTCCTCCTGGCTCAACAGGGACTGCATGCCCTGAACACATGTAACACAGGCATGTTAGTCAGGTCTTCACACCCAGCGATCACCCCCTCCTGGCTCAACAGGGACTGCATGCCCTGAACACATGTAACAGGCATGTAAGTCAGGTCTTCACACCCAGCGATCACCCCCTTCTGGCTCAACAGGGACTGCATGCCCTGAACACATGTAACAGGCATGTTAGTCAGGTCTTCACACCCAGCGATCACCTCCTCCTGGCTCAACAGGGACTGCATGCCCTGAACACATGTAACAGGCATGTAAGTCAGGTCTTCACACCCAGCGATCACCTCCTCCTGGCTCAACAGGGACTGCATGCCCTGAACACATGTAACAGGCATGTAAGTCAGGTCTTCACACCCAGCGATCACCCCCTTCTGGCTCAACAGGGACTGCATGCCCTGAACACATGGAACAGGCATGTTAGTCAGGTCTTCACACCCAGCGATCACCCCCTCCTGGCTCAACAGGGACTGCATGCCCTGAACACATGTAACAGGCATGTAAGTCAGGTCTTCACACCCAGCAATCACCCCCTCCTGGCTCAACAGGGACTGCATGCCCTGAACACATGTAACAGGCATGTAAGTCAGGTCTTCACACCCAGCGATCACCCCCTCCTGGCTCAACAGGGACTGCATGCCCTGAACACATGTAACAGGCATGTTAGTCAGGTCTTCACACCCAGCGATCACCTCCTCCTGGCTCAACAGGGACTGCATGCCCTGAACACATGTAACAGGCATGTAAGTCAGGTCTTCACACCCAGCGATCACCCCCTCCTGGCTCAACAGGGACTGCATGCTTGTTTGTCTGTTTTGCTTGTTGTTTAACGCCACACTCAGCAATATTCCAGCTACATGACGGCGGTCTGTAAATAATCGAGTCTGGACCAGACAATCCATCCATGCAACTGGAATACAATGATATGCATCAACCAAGTCAGCGAGCCTGACAACCCGATCCCGTTAGTCGCCTCTTAAGACAAGCATCGTCACCTTTTACGGCAAGCATGGGTTACTGAAGGCCAATTCTAACCGGATCTTCGCAGGAGCAGGATTGCATGACACACACATGTATGTTTTTTTACAGGCTCTGTAACACACTGCTGTAAGGACCCTGCTACACCAGGTAGCTAAGAAGGACAAGATACAACTGGGAATGGGATCAGAAACAGAGATAAGATAGCAGTTACATGAACTGCTGGAGGATGCTGACAACAGTTAAGTCAGTCACGGGCTATATCGGTATGACAGACAGGTGTGAAACGTAGAAGACAATACATACACAAGTTCTGATGTATTTAGACGTGACAGTAAAGTTTTCAGTCCACAGAAATTTATTCAGAATACAACTTAAAAAACATTTGGAAGTCTTTATTTGTAAAAAAACCATTGAAGAAATGTAAACTCACCTTTCTCATTTCGGACATGACATTGGCTCTGACTGGCAGGTCAAACTGGGTGGGATGGCGGCCGGCCTGTGAGAACAGGTCCTCATGCAGCCACTGGAACCTGGCCACCTGAGGCTGACAGCGCTGCAGGGACGTCTTTACCAGGCTGATGTTGTTGTCCAGACGTCTGGGAGCAGAAACATTCAATCTTATTAGGCTTTCAATTCAGCGAAAGATTTGATCAATATTACCAGACTGCCTCATAACTAACTCATGACAAGCATCTTGGTGACTTCAATGATTTCAAATACTGACCGCCTTTTTACCCTTGGGGATTTCCTTCTTGTCTAGTTATGCACCATTAGAAAACAAAACTTGGATATCTGAACTGGAAAATAAGGCTACTTCACTTAAAGGGCAAGTTCACACGGAAATGAACCTAATTTTCTTGTACTTTTTCCACAATAAAAGTGTTAACCTAGAAGTGTCATAGACAAAAATATAAAAATATCACAATTAATTAACATATGTTTTGCATTAAAACGATTTATATTTTTCACATTTACCAAGTGTTCTATTTCCATAACAAAAACACCATGGCTTATGCCCCTTGCAATATGACGTCATTGGTGCCAATTGATAAACATTATGACGTCATCATGCTTTGTTAGAGCCGCTTCACGTGGTGTAGGTACAGGTGTGTGATTCTAGCGTCTCAGATGCCAGCCAGCATAGTGTTATGCTGAGTCACCACTGCGTCGGAGTGTGTCGTAGGCCATGTCGTTTTTACCGAAAACTTGTACTTGATATCTTTTGCGTTCAGAATAGACAGGGACCCAGTTGAATTGGCACCAATTACGTCATAATCTAAGGGGGATAACTCAGGCCTGTTTAGCTCGAAAAACGAAGGCCTCATAACGGCATATCATTTTCACACTATTGTGAGCTTCCTACTTTCACTGTGAAAAAAATGAGTGTATATTTTCAAACACAGATACCAACTTATTCTAAAATTGCGTTTTGTTTAGAAAAAGAAAGACAGTAATTTTTGCGTGTACACTTCCCCTTTAAATGAGATAACCATGAATTTGAAAGCTGATTGAGAAATTGAGCTGATCCCTAAAATACTGTTTTGTCACGTTAAAAAATCAAACTTCAGACGGTGCTAGTTGTTACTCTGCCAGTGAAACTGGATTTAATCACAATGGAAACACAGTAACAGTTGTTGTGGAGGTGTAGTACGGTTCAGACTGAGAAGGAACTCACCTGGCCAGATCATGTTGTGGAGTGGTAGTACTGTTCAGACTGAGAAGGAACTCACCTGGCCAGATCATGTTGTGGAGTGGTAGTATGGTTCAGACTGAGAAGGAACTCACCTGGCCAGATCATGTTGTGGAGTGGTAGTACAGTTCAGACTGAGAAGGAACTCACCTGGCCAGATCAAGTTGTGGAGTGGTAGTATGGTTCAGACTTTGAGGGAACTCACCACGCCAGATCATGTTGTGGAGTGGTAGTACGGTTCAGACTGAGCATGAACTCACCTGGCCAGATCATGTTGTGGAGTGGTAGTACAGTTCAGACTGAGAAGGAACTGACCTGGCCAGATCATGTTGTGGAGTGGTAGTATGGTTCAGACTGAGAAGGAACTCACCTGGCCAGATCATGTTGTGGAGTGGTAGTACAGTTCAGACTGAGAAGGAACTCACCTGGCCAGATCATGTTGTGGAGTGATAGTACGGTTCAGACTGAGAAGGAACTCACCTGGCCAGATCATGTTTTCTCCAGGAGGAGTCCTGAGACCCTGTCAGGGAGGTGGCTTGAGTCAGGTGGACATGCTGGAACTGAGAGTTCCTCAAGCACTGGTCAACTGCCTTCTTGCACAGGTCATCCAGCGGCACCTTTGACTCGGCCCCAACATCCTTCAGCTCGATCTCCGCAGTGACATTCACGCCGAGGGTGTCCACAAACACACAGATGATGTAGCCCAGGATTTGGGAGGGGAAACCAATCACCTGGGAAACATGCCACATGTCTTATAAATGACATAATTCTAACAAATACCCTACCTCTATTATAAGGGTAACGCTTTTTTTTTCAGGGCATTATCATTTGCAGAAGCCCGAGGTTTTCCATTAACTGCACGACGAAGGAGGGCAGTTGAAAAGACCGAGGGCTTCTGCAAATGATAATGCCCTGGAAAAGAGCGTTACCGTTATTATAGCTAAAATGGATGGAATTTGATATCAAATAAAAAGAAACAACAACATCGGTTTTGAAATATTTACTGCAATCAACACGAATGTCACTGACCACATTTTACAAATATGGAAACGTCATAGAACAAACTAGATGACGTCACTAAAATACGTGACGTCATTTTCTCTACCCTATGACGTCACCTAACAACAGGCTTGATAATGGCCCGTCGTCAAGCAATATGAGGGCATTATCAAGTTACAGTGGCCCCGCTCATTTCTGATAACGTGCGGGCGGTCTAATGATAATTCTATCCATTTTAGCTATAATACATCATAGCCATAGATTGTTTATGCTGAGAATCACACCATAAATATTTTATCAATTTTCAACAGACGTCCTCTTTACTGCCAAACATCTTTAATTGGGTATTGTAGTGGTATTTTAGCCATATTGTAACGTCACCAGAAGAATTTATGGCTATGATGTAATAGACGTATCATTCATAGAATTATACACAATGATAACTATTGTTTAATTTCTCACAAGTAAAGGGAATCAGAAAGGATAACCTTAACCTACCACCATTATTCATTGGCAAATCAGTTTATTTAGTCAAACTTCAATCTCATTCAAATCAGATCTTACTTCTCGCTACCGCTGAACAGAGATCTGAGGACATCTGATTATGGGTCATGTCAGAATGACCTTTCATCTGACCAATCACAGCATCGCTTGCCAGATCAGGAAAATGGCAGTCAGAAATCGTTTTCTAATCATGCAACCTTGAAAAAAACCCAGGTATTCCTAATGACAGACATGGGCTTTACGACTGAATCCATGGAATCTAGGCCATCTGTTAGCCATTCCAAAATGTTCCTTTGTTCAGTTTTCCAATTTTAATTGCAAATTTGTCAAAATATGTTTCGAAGCGTAGTCACCATTTTGAAACTTGTGCCATAAAGCACGAGAAATCTGCCTTCTGATTTGCTAATGTTGACTTCTTCTCAGTCATTCCATTGGTCAGTCAAAGTTTGCGAAATGTTGGTCTGACATGACCCTTAATCGGATGTCCTCAGATCTTTGATCAGCGGTAGTGAGAACAAAGATCGGATTTTAATGAGATTGGGTCAAACTTCTACTGAGTTTGAACCTACCTGCTTCCTCACATAGTCTGCAATGAATTTCTTGATAGGTTTGGCCATCTGCTCATCATCGTAGCACACTCCGCCATCAAGGCCTGCAACACAAAGACTGATGTCACACACAGCCTGGTTGTTAAAGTCAGGACCATTTGGTGCCATCCATGGCCAGGACGTATGTGTTGTAACTTAAGTCCCTATAAAAGCAGTCTTCATATGGCTACAATGTTGTTGCTGCTCTACCTGGGAATTCGGTGAAACAGAATAAATCCAGATTTTTACATGGATTTGGAATGACTTAGGAATGATACTAATTGGTCAATCAGGTGTCAAATCACAATAACCAGCCCTGTCAGAAACAGCTGATTTGATGGAAACATCCCCATGTAAGCAAATGTGTATAGAAAAGTACTTCTTTTGGTAGGTATTTTGAAACATTGTTATGTACAATGACAAGTTACAAAAAGAAGAGTTCCAGTTCTACAATATTCAATGTGTGGCAATACATCTTATGTAGAAAACACGATAACAAATGCATTTCAAGTTTTGGGGACAACGGAGAACTTTAACGAAATTGGGAGTTTTTTTTATATATATACGACTTTGACATATTTTCAAGACAATGAGCAGTTTGACATCATGTAATGGGGAATGAAACCATGCAAGACCTGCTTAGTTTTCTTCAGGTGCACATACTTTACGTTAGCTTACAAACTTGCTGTGCTATATGCTTTCAATGCCTGTCATATGTTTTGAGTGAAGTATTACAATCTGATAAACAACTGCTTGAGAATATACAGCACCCTATTTGTTTAAACGCTGTTATCGGTCTTTTCAGATTGATAACCTACTCAAAATATTTGACTCACCCCTTGCCACCTCACTCAATATATTTACTATCATTAAAGAGTTCACATTTGTTTTAGTAATGGTAGAATGGAGATAAACCTACAGTGCTTTTAATGTAGAGTTAGGTTACCTGTAGATTTAACTGTGCTAAATTTAACATTTAAAACCACATGCTGCATGCTTGCTTCCAAAATGCAATCAAGCGCAGTTAAATCTACAGGTAACGTACCTCTACATTGAAAACACGTTATGTTCATCTCCACAATGTATTGTTCCGAGTACACAGACATATCTATCAGATCCTCATATGCTGGATACTCTGATTATGAGTGAACCAATAAAGACAAATGGCTTGATGATTGAAGACTCCTTTACTGTCAGATCAACTTCCAGAAAAGGGGACGTATGAGATGGTTCACATGTTATTCCTGGTCCTGTGACTGGCAAGGTTCACAGACGTGTGTTGTACACTCACCCTGCAGGGCAGCAGCAAACTGGGTGCCCATGTGGAAGAAGTCCTGCATGGCCTGGAGTCTCTTCAGGAAGAACAGATTGGACAACAGACCTCGAGTGCTGCTGGTGAAGGAGGACAGCTGAAACAGGTCAGAATGGAGGTTGGAATGAATGTTAGAATGGAGGTCGGAATGAGGTCCGAATGGAGGTCAGAATGAAAGTAAGAATGGAGGTTGGAATGAGGTCAGAGTGGAGTTGAGAGCTAGAGTAAGAAACCGGTCAGAATGGATGTCAGACTGGATGTAAAAATGTTAGAAGTATATTCTTGCAATATTTGCTGCATACAATAATACTAACTAGGTCAAACTTCTGAAGAGCCAACATTTATTTTCCAGACATTCAGTACTGTATTACCAAGGACCCATGAAGATCCGGAGTAGACTAGGTCTTCAGCAACCCATGCTTGCTGTAAAAGGCGACTATGCTTGTCGTAAGAGGCGACGAACAGAATCGGGTGTATGATGCATGTCATCGAATCTCAATTGCGTGGATCAATACCCATGATGTCAATCACTGGATTGTCTGGTCCAGACTTGATTATTTACAGACTGCCGTCATAGTGCTGGAATATTGCTGAGTGCGGCGTTAAACAACAAACAAACAAAAACACATGTGAAGAAGAAGTGCTGCAGAGATTCCCACATGATTAAGAAGGAGATGTTGTAACAAGCACCACTGTTCCTGTACCTGCATGGACTTGGCCTCCTTGACAACGTCCACCTTCCTCCAGACGTCCGGCACCTGTACAGAATCAATGGCCTCCAACATGCTGGCAAACTCATTCTCCAGTCGGGTGAACAAGCCGTTGAATCCCATCAGCAGCATCTGCCCCGGGGTGAGGTCCCCGGAGTCGTGGTCAGAGCCCTGGAGCAGCTTGTTGAAGTCACACTGCATGTTCCTCACGATCGTCATGCACTCCATCGAATCGTTCTGGAAGTTGGGTATTGGTCAACATTTCAAGATGATTGGTTAATGGTGGATCATAATTGAGAATTGGACACTGTTGAGTTTAGAGTATCCTTTCCTTGTATCTTTCACGTTAACAATCTGTCTTGCAAAACTCTTTAATGATATTTTACTGCACAATGTTACACTCTGCAACAAAAACCCATCTATTACAACAACAGGCCTTGTAAAAGTGTTTCAGACCTTTTTGTTCTTATACATGTTATGCTTAATACCACTATAAATTCATAAAAGTACACTGAAAAAGTGGAAAATAATCTATCACAGATTTCATGGTGAATTCCTTTATTGGAAATGCAGTCAGGTGACTGGACTAAACATCAGGTACACAAACAAAATATCTACATTACACTACAGCGTACGTCAGCTCTGTGAAAACAGATTGATCAGAATTGCTGATAATGCTGCGTAGACAAGTTTACATACCTATATTCCCATGACAACATGATTATGCTGAGCAGACAAGATTACATACCTCTATTCCCAAGATAGCATGATTATGCTGAGCAGAAAAGATTACATACCTCTATTCCCAAGACAGCATGATTATGCTGAGCAGACAAGATTACATACCTCTATTCCCATGACAGCATGATTATGCTGAGCAGACAAGATTACATACCTCTATTCCCATGACAGCATGATTATGCTGAGCAGACAAGATTACATACCTCTATTCCCATGACAGCATGATAATGCTGAGCAGACAAGATTACATACCTCTATTCCCATGACAGCATGACTATGCTGAGTAGACAAGATTACATACCTCTATTCCCATGACAGCATGATAATGCTGAGTAGACAAGTTTACATACCTATATTCCCATGACAACATGATTATGCTGAGCAGACAAGATTACATACCTCTATTCCCAAGATAGCATGATTATGCTGAGCAGACAAGATTACATACCTCTATTCCCAAGACAGCATGATTATGCTGAGCAGACAAGATTACATACCTCTATTCCCATGACAGCATGATTATGCTGAGCAGACAAGATTACATACCTCTATTCCCATGACAGCATGATTATGCTGAGCAGACAAGATTACATACCTCTATTCCCATGACAGCATGATAATGCTGAGCAGACAAAATTACATACCTCTATTCCCATGACAGCATGACTATGCTGAGTAGACAAGATTACATACCTCTATTCCCATGACAGCATGATAATGCTGAGTAGACAAGTTTACATTCCTATATTCCCATGACAACATATTTATGCTGAGCAGACAAGATTACATACCTCTATTCCCATGACAGCATGATTATGCTGAGCAGACAAGATTACATACCTCTATTCCCATGACAGCATGATAATGCTGAGCAGACAAGATTACATACCTCTATTCCCAAGATAGCATGATTATGCTGAGCAGACAAGATTACATACCTCTATTCCCATGACAGCATGATAATGCTGAGTAGACAAGATTACATACCTATATTCCCATGACAACATATTTATGCTGAGTAGACAAGATTACATACCTCTATTCCCATGACAGCATTCCTGTGCAGCACCTCTAGCTGGGCGACGAGGGCGTCCAGTGGCTGCTTGAGGTCGGAGATCATGTTCTCGAGGTGCGACAGCAAGGACAAGAGACTGGCGTCCTGGGCCTGGATCAGCTTCAGGGTCTCCGGCAGGATGATTGTGCGGAAGTTGATGTTCAGGTCCTGCAACACGGCATCAGGGTAAAACACAGCCAGTAGAGACCAGTACAAGTCTGGGAGGACTACAACACGGCATCAGGGTAAAACACAGCCAATAGAGACCTTTACAAGTCAGGGAGGACTACAACACGGCATCAGGGTAAAACACAGCCAGTAGAGACCTGTACTAGTCTGGGAGGACTACAACACGGCATCAGGGTAAAACACAGCCAATAGAGACCTTTACAAGTCAGGGAGGACTACAACACGGCATCAGGTAAAACACAGGCAGTAGAGACCTGTACTAGTCTGGGAGGACTACAACACGGCATCAGGTAAAACACAGGCAGTAGAGACCTGTACTAGTCTGGGAGGACTACAACACGGCATCAGGGTAAAACACAGGCAGTAGAGATCTGTACAAGTCTGGGAGGACTACAACACGGCATCAGGTAAAACACAGGCAGTAGAGACCTGTACTAGTCTGGGAGGACTACAACACGGCATCAGGGTAAAACACAGGCAGTAGAGACCTGTACAAGTCTGGGAGGACTACAACACGGCATCAGGTAAAACACAGGCAGTAGAGACCTGTACTAGTCTGGGAGGACTACAACACGGCATCAGGGTAAAACACAGGCAGTAGAGATCTGTACAAGTCTGGGAGGACTACAACACGGCATCAGGTAAAACACAGGCAGTAGAGACCTGTACAAGTCTGGGAGGACTACAACACGGCATCAGGGTAAAACACAGGCAGTAGAGATCTGTACAAGTCTGGGAGGACTACAACACGGCATCAGGGTAAAACACAGCCAATAGAGACCTGTACAAGTCAGGGAGGACTACAACACAGCATCAGGGTAAAACACAGCCAATAGAGACCTGTACAAGTCTGGGAGGACTACAACACGGCATCAGGGTAAAACACAGGCAGAAGAGACCTGTACAAGTCTGGGAGGACCACAACATGGCATCAGGGTATAACACAGCCAATAGAGACCTGTACAAGTCTGGGAGGACTACAACACGGCATCAGGGTAAAACACAGCCAATAGAGACCTGTACAAGTCTGGGAGGACTACAACACGGCATCAGGGTAAAACACAGGCAGTAGAGACCTGTACAAGTCTGGGAGGACTACAACACGGCATCAGGGTAAAACACAGGCAGAAGAGACCTGTACAAGTCTGGGAGGACTACAACACGTCATCAGGGTAAAACACAGGCAGAAGAGACCTGTACAAGTCTGGGAGGACTACAACACGGCATCAGGGTAAAACACAGCCAGTAGAGACCTGTACAAGTCTGACAGTACTACAACACGGCATCAGGGTAAAACACAGGCAGTAGAGACCTGTACAAGTCTGGGAGGACTACAACACGGCATCAGGGTAAAACACAGGCAGAAGAGACCTGTACAAGTCTGGGAGGACTACAACACGGCATCAGGTAAAACACAGCCAATAGAGACCTGTACAAGTCAGGGAGGACTACAACACAGCATCAGGGTAAAACACAGGCAGTAGAGACCTTTACAAGTCAGGGAGGACTACAACACGGCATCAGGTAAAACACAGCCAGTAGAGACCTGTACTAGTCTGGGAGGACTACAACACGGCATCAGGGCAAAACACAGGCAGTAGAGATCTGTACTAGTCTGGGAGGACTACAACACAGCATCAGGTAAAACACAGGCAGTAGAGACCTGTACAAGTCTGGGAGGACTACAACACGGCATCAGGTAAAACACAGGCAGTAGAGACCTGTACAAGTCTGGGAGGACTACAACACGGCATCAGGTAAAACACAGCCAATAGAGACCTGTACAAGTCTGGGAGGACTACAACACGGCATCAGGTAAAACACAGGCAGTAGAGACCTGTACAAGTCAGGGAGGACTACAACACAGCATCAGGGTAAAACACAGCCAATAGAGACCTTTACAAGTCAGGGAGGACTACAACACGGCATCAGGTAAAACACAGCCAATAGAGACCTTTACAAGTCTGGGAGGACTTCTTGTTTTTTTCCTAAAATATGTTTTGTTACATGAGCCACAAGTGCAAAATGAGTTGTGAGACAAGTTGAGTTTAAATAAATGGTTCCAACCCTTAACAACACCAAGGAAATCAACTCTCATGCAGTTTAAATACTGTAAAAATATTTTGACATAAGAATATATGTGTGACTTTAACACAAACACAAACTGGTTGATAGCAATGACCTTGTTAGTCTGACAAGATGGTCCATGAAAACATTTGAACAAAAACTGCATAAGGAAGAGAATATGGATGTAACTTCTTTATTATGAGGAACACAGCATTTCGGAGTATATACTTACTCCTTCATCAGGTGAATAAATGCTATGAGGCAGAGAAGATATATATGTACCTGTAAGGACAACAAGAGTATTTAGATAACAAAGGTGAAAATTAACAAGGGAGGCCTACACTTAACTTAGCACTGATTGGTAATAGGCCATGGACAATGGGAAAACAGGAGGCAGGGGGTAATTAACACTGATAGCCACTAACAGGTACATATATTCACCTGATGAAGGAGTAAGCATATACTCTGAAACGTTGTGTTCCTCATAATAAAGAAGTTGACATACATATTCTCTTCCTTATGTATATCACTTCTACATACCTTTAAAAGACTTAAAAACTGCATTGTTTAAGTGTAGGGATACATACTGTAGCTTGACTCAAGCATCATGACATGTATTGTATAATGAGGTAGGCCTATTGTGTTACCACTATTGCCACCAGTCATGAGTCTGTGTTACCTGGAGGGCCACATATGCATTGTGTGTGGAAGTCAGGGCATGGTGTAGCTCTCGGAAGTTCTCCACGTCCCCTGCCTGAAACATACACAAAACTCAGATGGAAACATGTAAATTGTCACACAACTTCTGTGATAACATACAATACACATGTACTCAACGTCTCAAATCCTAACAACATACTTACCATGGTGTTGTTTTTGAGAGTGTCGAGGAACATGTTGACATTGCCGCTCATGCTGGACAACTCGTCGAGGAACCAGTCCCCGTCCCGGGAGGTCAGGTCCATGAGGCGGTCCCCGGCACCTAGGGAACACAGCCAGGGCATGAATGACATGCTATATCATCGCCCATAAAAAAATAGAGAAGGGGGGCAACCCCGTTTTCCATTATGAAGAGTGCACCCTGATGTCAGTAGTGTAAGTAAGGTTAAGATGTATGGATATACAACTTCTTTATTACAATTAGGAGCGACGTTGCGCTGTAGGTTCTAACACCGTTATCAAGCAAGTGATGTACAGAGTATGGGTGACCCTTCTGTGTATATAACAGGCTTCTCCACTCCAGTGTAACTGCATCTCAAACCTACTCACCTGTATAAACACGGCCTCCTATCCTGTATACATACTTGTCAACCATACTCTGTACATCACTTGCTTGAAAACTGTGTTAGAACCTACACCAAAACATCGCTCCTAATTGTAATAAAGAAGTTGTTCATCCATATATCTTACCCCAACTTGGTACTCCAACTTCTAAATGCCTCTCGAAGAAGTCAGTATTGTATTTGTCTTCATGCAGAAATAAGAGGCTCCATTGTAGAGATGTTTCACTGTTGTACAACTAACTGACAGAACCGAGAATGTTTATAGTTTTATTTAATTCCAATGTTATGAGAATATTTTGGGATACGAGAATACGCTTATCATTAGTGGAACGTTGTGCTCTTCCATAGGGCTGGGAAAATACACCAACTGTGCGATCCAATAGGTATCCATTAACTTGTTCACGATCCGATACGTATCACGATACTTGTATGTGCTCTTATCTGTGGTTCTATGCCATCTCTTTCATAAACAGGATGGCCAAATACCTGGCACACTGACGATTTACAGTTGGCAGTGTCAAGTATGGGGCAATGGATGAAAATATTTACTTTTTCACAAATAACTTTCACTACTAATTGGTGTTTGGTGTTAACAGCAACCTTTGATTATTGAATGAATGGGTTTCATAATGAGTTGACAAGATGCTGAGGGAATGAGTGAGTTGCCGCCTTTAACATTATTCCAGTTATATCACGGCATGTCAACTTAATGTGGGAGGACAGCAGCAACGATGCAGGTCTCAGACGGTTACCACTTCACAAAACCCACCAACATGGGTATGGTGCTAACAAACCTAGAAACATAACCAGGGCAACCAGGAATTATACACAAGACTATAGGTTTCTGACGTGCTCAAAGGACACAAAGGACACACACTGAACTGGGGCCTTAGATGACAGGGCCACCCCCATGACTGTCAGAATTGTTGTATTTCAAGAGTAAAAATACAGGAAATCTGACATCAGTTTAATAAAATCAGTATAATAAACATTCGAATCTAACTAACAGTTTATCATCAACACTTTGTAATAAGCGACAGGGAAGATGTTGTGTTTCTTTCGTTTTCATACTATATTGCTTTTTTCGGTCCCATAAAAACAGGTCAACAATGCTGTTGGGTTCATGAAACCATTATCCTACATGGGCTGCATACAGTTGTTTGTGAACTCACTGATCTGGATGTAAAACTGTGTGTGTTACCTGAGGCCGCCCCCTCCATCATGATGTATCTCTTGTTGAGGGAGCAGAGGGCCGACACGATCACACAGATCAGGCTTGTCACGCCACACATGCCGCTGTCTGCAACACATCACATACTTGACAATGTTCAACCTTCCACATGAAACAACCTAAGTATTGGCAACATAAAACAAAGTGAATGAACTTGTTGCAATAACTAAATTAGTTAACAGTTTGTCAGCTTATCATAGGAGGAACGCCCAAAGTCCTGCAGGTCGTAGATCTTCCCTACTTTAGTGAACCTGAAAGGTAAGGGGGTGACAGACACCAAACATCATAATCAGAGCTAATCCAGCTGATCCTGGCGTGCCCAGGGAGGCAACTCTTCAAAACAAATTAATGACCCCTTCCAATCCACCAACATTTGAACATTAAAATACATCCCAGTAGATGTAGAATAAACTATGCTAATGTTGCAAAGAAAATCATGTCAGTAACTGCCCAGCGAGTCCCACTGAAAGGCACGTCGCCACATCCACATTAGTTTATACTGACATCACAGAGACACATGCTCACCTTGCACAAAGGCCTGTATTGCTCTCTCAGACTCATGGTACTGTATCTCAAGGATAGGCGTGTCCACCAACTCCTGGGAACGACGATCCAGCAACTGGTAAAACAATATAACAGTTAGACAGCTTTCCATGATGAGAAACCACACATCCCCACCCCATCTCAACACACTATCAATATCAATATTATACTTCCTTTTTCATAGTTTAATTACAGGATGCACTAGATAAACCTCAACACATTCGACACAAGTGTTAGATAATCAAGCAATGTTTTTCAAAATAATAGAAACACCGATAACAGTATGTGTTTTGGCCAGAAACTGTTTAAGATATTAGGCCTTAGACATATTAGAAATATGACATGTTTCATTACACGGCAGAGTAAATTGTCGGCCATTACAGTACCTTCCGTATCTTGGCATTGGTTTCAGTGTCGATACTCTGGAGCCGAGTTTCCGTTGTCATGACGACCTGTGTCTTGCTGCTGGGTGCTGTAGACCCGGGCCCGAACAGGTCGTGATACCGCGAGGTTATCTGCTCACATCTGACACAAGGCAGAGGGCGTACAGTTCATATGTTACTGTCATCATATCAAACATACGCACATCAATATTGTAAATTTTGAGATTAAATTTTTTATTTTACTTATCCGATCTCACACTATGCATTTCTTCCTTCTTCTTTCAAAACTTATGTGGAAACATTGATGGGGATGTGACACAGCTGTACAATGCTGCCTGAGGCACAAACATTAGCCAACACTTCCTCCTCAAGTCTATGTGACAATGAAAGAGGAGACAGAAACAGCCCACGACCTCAACCTCTTACTCGAACTAGGGGCAAGCCATCTGTGTCGATGTTTTCTAGTGTTGTGGTGGGGGAACTAGCAGAGTCTGTTTTGCTAGCGACAAGGCATAACCCTGTCATGAGTGAGTGTGAGTGTGAGTGTGAGTGTGTTGAATATTACACCACTTTTAGCAACATCATGGCAGGGGACACCACAAATGGGCTTCACACATGGAGTGACAAGCAAACACTTTAACCACTAGGCTACCCCACCTCCCCAACCCTGTCATGAACAGTGTCCAACTCACTTGTTTGTGGTGAAGTCACACACCAGCTCCTGCAGCCACCACAGATAGTGGGATGTCCTCGCCTCGTCAGCAAATATGGCTCCAAACTGAAACATTCCAACATGTCTCTGTAATCTCCATCGTCATTCAGCATCAGAATGTGACTTGTTTATACAGGTAACTGGTTATGACATGCAAGAGCAGACCTCAGCCACAGGCTAACTTCGACCAACCTCTCCTAGTAGCCTACACTACTCAGGGACTTATCTCTACCTGCTCAGAGGCCGGTATTTGGCTTCCATTCTGCAGCAATTTTCAGTAAATATTCCAAAAAGGGAACTCATAAAATCTAATTTCATCTTAATATAGTTAGAACTGATGCGACGGCTTGATGGAGGTGACCTGTATTCCAAGGATAACATGGCCATAAAGGAGGAGTGTGTGAGTGAGATAAAAAATAACGTCACATCAGCATTTTTTCAGCCATATAGCGACCAATAAAGGAGGAAGAGGCTTAATCTTACATCATTGTCCTGAATGCAATGTTAAACACAATGTTAAAATACATCTCAAATTAAGAATTTAAGAAAAATCCCATTGAACAAAATAATTTCCCCAACAATTTGCCTGCCAAAATCACATTGTTTGAAACCCTAGATAAATCCCTGCTACTGTGACATGTGCCTGTGCTTCTCACCTGTGATACAATGGTGCTGTAGCTGTGCAGCACCTCAAACACGCTGTGTAGCAGTGACCGTCGCTGTTGCAGGTGACCACTCATCTCTGTCTCCAGCTGTTCACACTGAAACACACAGCACAGTGTCACCAGCACTGCTCATACTACAGTAGGCTGGAGCTGTCGGAGGTCCACGAAGGAAGATATTGGAGTGTCTCTCGAAGTTAGAACACACCTTACATCGATCACTAATACAGTAAACTACCTATGCTGTGATATTGGAGCACATTTGAAATAAGGAACAACTAACCCCTTCTTCGTTCTCTGTTTGTTTCAATGACTTCACCACACAGTTTGCTGACAAAGGGAAAGTGAATGTCAGCCTGATCAGTGTATCAAGCCCACCAGTACTATAAGCTTCATGTCTGACCCAGACAGGACCAGCTGAGGTACACAGACAGGACCAGCTGAGGTACACAGACAGGACAGGACCAGCTGAGGTACACAGACAGGACCAGCTGAGGTACACAGACAGGACCAGCTGAGGTACACAGACAGGACCAGCTGAGGTACACATCCATCATTGTAAGAAAGCTGGATTAAATGACATGTTTCACATTATTCCAACATTACCTTGGCTTCATAGATTGTCCGTTGTGGGAAATCCAGGTCATCTGTTAGACGACATATAATGCTTCAACCACTAGATAACCCAACTGCCCTACCATCTCACCTGCCCTGCGATCTGACCCAGATCCCCGGAGAAATGATATATAACGCTTCAACCACTAGATAACCCAACTGCCCTACCATCTCACCTGCCCTGCGATCTGACCCACGTTATCAGCGAGACGATATACAACGCTTCAACTACTAGATAACCCAACTGCCCTACCAACTCACCTGCCCTTCAATCTGACAAAGGTCCCCAGCGAGGCAATATATAACGCTTCAACCACAAGATAACCCGACTGCCCTATCAACTCACCTGCCCCACAATCTGACCCACGTTATCAGCGAGACGAAATATAACGCTTCAACCTCTAGATAACCCAACTGCCCTACCAACTCACCTGTCCTACAATCTGACCCAGATCCCCGGCGAAATGATATATAACGCTTCAACTACTAGATAACCCAACTGCCCTACCAACTCACCTGCCCTTCAATCTGACAAAGGTCCCCAGCGAGATGATATATAACGCTTCAGCCACAAGATAACCCGACTGCCCTATCAACTCACCTGCCCTTCAATCTGACAAAGGTCCCCAGCGAGATGATATATAATGCTTCAACCACTAGATAACCCGGCTGTCCTATCAACTCACCTGCCCCACAATCTGACCCAGGTTCCTGGCGAAACGATATTCAACGCTTCAACTACCAGTGAGTGAGTGAGTATGGTTTTACGCCGCTTTTAGCATTATTCCAGCAATATCACGGCGGGGGACACCAGAAATGGGCTTCACACATTGTACTCATGTCGGGAATCGAACCCGGGTCTTCGGCGTGACGAGCGAACGCTTTAACCACTAGGCTACCCGACCGCCCCCTTCAACTACTAGATAATCCAACTACCCTATCAACTCACCTGCCCTTCAATCTGACCCAGATCCCTGGCGAGGCAAAATATAATGTTTCAACCACTAGATAACCCAACTCACCTGCCCCACGATCTGACTCTGGCCCGCACCCTGGAGGAACTCCGTGGCAGCAGAGAAGCTGGGTGCTCCCAGGTCCAGGGGCTTGGCCACTTCGGAACACATCTTCTGGAACACTGACCCCTGCATGGTCTCCAGGCAGTGCTGAGAAGTAGAAACAAGCCTGATGCAATACACATCAGCCCAAAACAATACACAGATCTTTCCAGGGGATATGTTGAAGAAAGGGCTGAACAGAAAATAAGGTCTCAAACCAAAATATGTTACAATGCAAGGGAGGTTTAATGCCCTTCTCAGCAACACTCCCGCCATAACAAAGCATGTCACACCAGAAATGGTCCCACAGGTTGAGAATCTAACCTGTGTGTCTTCAGTGTCATATGGCTAGGAATATTCCTGAAAGGGGCATAGAACCCTACGTATTTCCTCATGTACAATCCTGTAATAATGATGTAACAATTGTTAATAAAGACCTTGAGAAGACAAAGCCACCCATCATCCCAGAGCAGTGTCAGTAATTAATGGTGGTTCTAGGGTCCTTGAGGGTTTCTTGATTTAGTAGGGGCACCCTAGACCTGTACTTTCTGACATCAGTTAATATGCTACTCAAAAGACGTTAAAGAACACAGGATTCTTTCGCATTACTATAGTTAATCTGTCATCCCATGACAGTAGTTCACATTCACCCCTTGACTTTTATGCTAAATGTCCAACACTACAGAATGAACAAGAATGAGTTCTTCCACTTCAACAGCCCCCTCACCTTGTGCATCTTCTGCCAGTGACTGAACTCGTTGATCTTCTCCTCCACGGCCTTGTAGGCCGAGTCCTTGGCTGCCTTGACCACCGAGTACTCTGCGTACCTCTCCTGCAGGGAGTACAGGGCGTGGCCGGCATCGCGCTGAGCCTCCATCAACAACTGCTTCACCTCCTTCATCCCGTCCATGTCAGTCAGGTGGGACAGGTGGCGCTCGCACATCTGTATCCATGACAACTCTACTTCCCTCAGCTCGGGCACAGCAGTCATGATATCTTCTCTGAAACACAAGGTCTTACATCAATACCAGAAAACTGTGGCATTGAGTGATACAGTGTCATGCACCAGATACACACAACCCAGTAGCCTGTAGGGTCCTGCAGGTCCTACCCTGACTGACGTACCTCAGTGTTCCCGCTGACTGTTCCTGCTGACCCGCGAGACATGTCTGAACAGTCTTGTAATAGTCCCAGGTGCAACTGCTTTATGTCAGCCATACATGACTTTGTAAGTGTCCTATTCAATTCCATCTTGGTCAAGGTTTGTAAATTTGGTGAAACGTTTAACTTGGTATGGTTGCAATATTGCAAAATTACAACATGGAAAAGCCATGTTCTCATTCAAGTAACATTTCCCTCAACTGAATATTATCAAAATGTCCAATAAAGCCTCACACCAAAAATTGTTTCTGAATTGAAATTAAGCAATTTCTCAATGTCAGATCCTGTATTCAAAGCAGATACCAAAATATGTATACAAGATAACACTGCGTTTCAATGTTATTGCGCACATAGTCATGAATTATTCTGGTTTTCTTTCTGGTTTGATCTATATCCGAAAGTTACTTCTGACATCCTCCTCCTTCTCCTGCCTACCTGTTCTTTGTCCAGGCCGCCTTCATCTCCATAACCCTGATAGCGAACATGCTGCAGGTGATCTCACGCTCCATCTCCTTCTTGCTCTTCTTCTTCTCCCCCGCTCCCGCCGCCGTGGTCATCCCCCCTCCGTAGAAGGCCCCCGTGTAGCCCCCCTCGTTCCCGGTGGTCCAGTCCACCAGCGGGTCATACACAAAGGCCTCCAGCAGTGTCAGCAGCGTCTCTCGGCCTTTACGCATCGTCTTCATCACGTGCTCACTTGCCGTTCGGAAAGTCCCCTGGAACACCAAAACATCACTGTCATAACAAAGTGCCATAGCATCCATTGGTTCAAAATGTTGAATGAAATTAGTAGAACAAATAATGACATTTATAGGAAAAAGGTAGTAAAAATTTCTAAAAGTGCTATATATATCAAAAGGCACAAGTTCAGTATGTGCCTGGTAAACATGCAAAGTTTTGTAAGAAAGTATTTAACGGTTTTTGAGTTACGCTCTGGAAACGAACACCACCCCTGTAGAACCTAAGTCCAACTTATTGCCATGGAAACGTGAAAAATAAAAATTTCTAAAATTCCTAAATAGCAAGATCGAGGCACCAGTCCAGTATGTGTCTGGTAAACATGCAAAGTTTTTGTTGGAAATTATTTAACGGTTTTTGAGTTATGCTCCGGAAACGAACAGCACCCTTATAGAACCTAAGTCCAACTTGTTGCCATGGAAACGTAAAAAATAAAAATTTATAAAATTCCTAAATAGCAAAAGGCACCAGTTCAGCATGAGTCTGATACACATGCAAAGTTTCGTAGAGAAATATTTAACGGTTTATTTAACGAGTTATGCTCCGGAAACGATTTCGGGACGCACACACACACACGTTCGCACACACGCATTTCTATATCCCCTGCCAACTTCGTTTGGGCGGGGGATAAAAATACAATATCAGTAAATCAATAAAATGCTTTTCCTAGCACTGTCTCCATGCACACCTACAATCTAATGACATCTTGGAAATACTTGATTCACTTCTTGTCGACAGTGTCAACTCCGTGTAGTGAGTGAGTGAGTGAGGTTTTACGCTGCTGTTAGCAATATTCCAGCAATATCACTGTAGGGGGACACCAGAAATAGGCTTCACACATTGTACCCATGATACAGCTGGAGTGAGTGAGTGAGTGAGTATGGTTTTACACCGCTTTTAGCAATATTCCAGCAATATCACTGCGGGGGACACCAGAAATGGAGTTCACACATTGTACCCACATCAGGAATCGAACCTAGGTCTTTAACCACTAGGCTACCCGACTGCCCCGTAACTCCGTGTAAAGACACTGGCCTAAGAAATATGATGGACACAATGACAACGTGTGACAAGGAGATAGAAACTCATTCACAAGGCTGAAAGTTTTCAAATTCCATTTATCAAGCCAAACTGATCAAATACAAGCAAATATATAACACCAGATTCTATAATCTTCAGTGCTAAACCACTCATGCACCAAAGTTTTTCATGGTCTGTTATTTCCACATCCATCTATTCAGTTATAGTATTGCTCTGGTGAATTACAAAGCATCAGTTCATTTAATTTTTTCAACCCATAGTTACACTGAAAAATATCCTTTTCAAAAATCCTTTTCTATCAAAGAATATTTTTACATTCTAAAATAAACAGTACACAGTTCACTCTTCTTATTAAAACAGAAGACTGAAAAACAACAAAATCAATTGTTGGGATCCATTTTGTACTGCAAAACTGGTCATGATAAATTATATTTTATCACTAATGCTTCCAAACGAAAATATTTCAAACATGTTGGCAACAAATGTGACAAAAACACAACAACAATTCAACAAATCATTTCGATTTAATTGTTAAGATCAAAACATTCATAGAGATGACTGTCAAATTTCCCTGGCTCAATGTCACAGTAATCTAATTGGATAAAGGTACTGGTATGTGTCTCCCTGAAATCCAATCATCTAAAAATATTGATGCATGTAAACCACACATCCTTGTCAAACTCATTACCGCATCCCAGCGTATGTCCGGCTAGTCTGCAGTGCATACAGTGACGCATGGACTCCAGGATTGATCGTTACAGTCTTCAGTGATGAGGGCAGGCCTAACACACCTGGGACCCCGTCACAAAACACCTGTATTTAGGGAGCAAGATAATGTTCTTCCCATGGAATTTTGAAAAGACAAAAAACCTTGCAGGTACGGAGGTAAGTGATCAAGTTGATTGTTGTATCACCTAGTCTCAAAAAGTCTCAAACTGCATCACAGCATCTCGTAAACCAGTAACATGATCAATGTATTCACTATTCAGTCATAAATGTCTTGCTAATTCATATTTTCTAATAGCCCAAAGGAAGAGATTGAAATACTTTCTATTACAGCTGTAAAGTAATTCCTCAATATGGTATTTATGTCCTCTTGCTGTGCAGATGTTAAGGCTACAGTTATCTGTAGATTGTCTTGACTCAAAAATGCTCAAGTGTTCAACAATCTGGATACCGTAATCGACGTAATAAGTGCCCAGGGCGCTCTCAAAATTAGAAATAGGGGGCTCTTATTAGAATATTATTTTGAGTTGAAAGATCGTAAATTTCGTGGTTTATGCTGACAACCTGAAATGTTTATATACGACAAAAATATTTTTCCAGGTTTAATTGCCCATAATTAAGGGCAAATATAACATACGAGTGCGTATTATCCGTGAATAAATAAGTCTTGTGTACAGTTGGAAGGGGTGCTAATTGAGATTGTTCACTAGCCAATAGATTAGCAAATATCGCCGTGGGCGCTTATTAGAGCAGGGCGCTTATTACGTCGAATACGGTAAACCTTAAATTAACATCAAACTGAAAGAGAGAGATGATGTGGGACAGAAGCACCATGGAGTGTTCCAAACAATTACATTCAGATGGTTCACGTTTGAACAAAAAGGTTTGAATCCCGGTTCGCCCACATTATGTTTCTAGGTTTGTCAGCACCATACACGTGCTCGCGGGTTTCACAGAAGTGGTAAACGTCTGAAACCTGCATCACTTCGGGCTTTCCTCCCACATTAAGCTGACACGTCGTGATATAACTGGAATACTGTTAAAAGCGGCGTTAATGCCAACTCACTCACTCACTGAACAGAAAGGACAAGTAATCACTTGTTTTAACATATCATTCCAAAATCCCTTCCATAGCACCTGTATGCTGATAAAACTGCCATGTAGAATAATCAACAAGTTGAATTATATGCTACACCAACTTGTGTCTAGGACTCCATTTTCCCCTTTTATCATCTTTAACAGCTATGAATATATCAACAGTTCAATGAAGGTTTCAGAAATAATTTCTTTTTTGCAGATTTGTAAGATGAGGCCAACTACTTCTTATTACTACCAAATAGTATTCAGCACTTAACGACCCCAATCATGTGTATCATCCAGCTTTAATTTCAATTAAAACATTATCAATTTAACCGAATAAATCTATGTTCTGAACAGAAAAACATTCAATAGAATAATATTCCTTCTGACCATCATAGTTCCTGCCTGTATTCCAATCTATCACTCGTGATATTTGCAATTTACTTATTATGAAATTGATGAGGATATTTGCCCTTGTCTAAGGTTGAAATCCATTATACTGGAGCCCCTCGGCCAGGAGGAAGTGAGGGAATTGATCCTACACTATAAGGGAAATGCATGGTCACTGGGGACTCGTGGTGTTTACAGTGCTATTGACAATATGCATAATCACTTGCATCATGCCGCCATCCTAGCTGCTGTTGATAGAGACGATGCTGTTTACACTTCACAGACGATGTCAATGCCATCACTTCCTGTCAAGGACAACTTCTGTCAACTGCAAAAAATTTCTATCGACGACCATGATGATGTGCATTAATCCAGACTTGAGGAGACGTGTATTTCAGATTGGCAATAGATGTACACTGACAATCATGGTAATATTTATTTATCAAGATATCAATCAATTATCATGACAGACTGGAACCACTCAAACTACCAGTGACAATATCAAATATGTGCAGATTTCAACTAGCATCATTAAAACCATTTCAATTGATTAGTCTTTACCTCAACTTCTTAGGCTGTTAGTTTAAAACTAATCATGTGTGAGACAGTACTCCTTGTGTTTGGTTTGTTTGTTGTTTAACGCCGCACTCAGCAATATTCCAGCTGTATGACGGCAGTCTGTAAATAAACGAATCTGGACCAGACAATCCAGGGATCGACATCATGAACATCAATCTATGCAATTGGGATACAATGACATGCATCAACCAAGTCAGCGAGCCTGACCACCCGAACCCGTTAGTACGACAAGCACAGTCACCTTTTATGGAGATAGTGTTTGTTACGCACTAAATCTAAGCAGTCCTTAGCTTGTTTCTGAAAGCCCATGGTTATCTTTATTGGCACGTTAAATATTCTACTCAAAAGAAGTTAAGTACCATCCAACTCTTTAATTACTGTATTTGATGATCTGTATAGTACTACGAAGGTATTGGTTGGTTCTTAACACCTTTTGAGTCGTATGCCTGTTCAACTTAATAATCGAGCCTTCAAACCTCTGTTTAAGAGTAACAACACCATTGTTGCATTATGAATAAAAGACCTTCACGGTTGGACCTAGCCCTGATTGTGTGCTTGATGTCATGGTTCTCAGATGTAACGTATGGCAGCAACAACTGATGTCACATATTTAGCCTCGATGTCAAAGCCAGGATCTTTGAAAATTTCAACCGTTCTTACAATTTCTATCTTTCCCCAGTCTGTAACCAAGTCATTGTCAGGTGCGCCATACATTACACTGTGTGTATCCCTGCCATAACTTGTGTTTGGCGATGCTACAATCCGGGGGTCATTTGGGGCAGAAACATCTTTGGCATTATCAGTAGTATGAATACATTTGCAAAAATGTGTAAGATCGATTCTGATTGGACCACTTGTGACTTTCCGCCAATGAAAGGCGCTGATAGAATACTGAGACGCATCCGGCAATGAAATCAGGACATTTACATTCAATAATCACGAAGCAGAAGTCCGTGTGATGAAAACTATTTTTGAAACAGTCAGTGACTCACTCGCATAATCCAACAAAACAAACCCATCTACATGAATGCGCCCGATGTTCCACTGAGCGTGAATATTATGAGCTGCCTCACCAGAACACTGTTGGCAATAATCAAATGTAAAATATTTGTATTTTGTCACGAGCCTTGGCATGTGACTCACAAAAATAAATTCACAGGGACAGATACTCCATCATTCCTCGTCATGAGTAGTTTATTGCTTTTATTACCTATCACCAAATTTCTATTAACATAAGAAGCTAAAAATAAAAACCTACATTCACCCTAATATGAGAGAGGCAAAGTCACTTTTTGTCATATTACTACGCATGCAAAACGGCATCAAATTCCTGGAATTTCACCAAAGCACAGCCCAACTACATTATGATTCCACAATCGTAAATTAGTTCAACTGAAACATACCTGGGAATATTAAACCAAATATTCCATCATTCAGCATTGAGAATCATTTTGTTTTCATTCACTAGAAACATTAAGTACTTCACAGTAGGTGATATAGTATATCTGATAAAGAATCAAACATGTGCAGTTTACTTCAAACCATTTACAAGTTCAACGCTTGTCATTGCACTAACAGCCGGCTTACATCATTACAGAGTGGAAATGAAAAAACTTGCAATTTCTACAATTTGCATGAAATGATTCTTCAAGTGAAGATTATTCCACAAATATGTTTATGTGAAAAAATGTTTTTAAATATCAGTCAATGTCAAATATAAACACTGGAAGGGGTGCAACCCTGACCTTGAAGTGATCAGTGTTTTTGCGGCACGAAGTTTCAGAAGGAACTTCCAGTTACTGTTCACAAGTGTATGAAAACCAAGCCATCGGTCTGTGCTGGGAAGAAGAGTTTACAGTGGTGTACACTTATTCTGAATCGCATGATGTATCTACGATCCGGCGACGTTTGGAAGGAGTGTGTTCAACGGAAGACTGGACAGACTTGCAAATGTTTATTTTGAATACACCACCGTAAGCTGGACCGGAAAAGAAGGAGTGTTACTGTGTAGCATATCAGCATTTGTTTTGTGAATTGGATGACAGAACCACATCATGTTTTTGTACCGATGAATTTAACACGGGGACCACGTTAGAGATACAAATGGCAGTGGAGAGTGCATTCATGGACATAGGCCTAGCTACAGGTTCAATTGATGCACAGGAACTTGACAGAATGGTGAAAATGCCGCGCTGTTGACTTTGTGTGATTTGCGAGTATGTGTTTATTGAATGGATGTTTTTATGACCAGTAACTTGCATTATCTGATTTGGCGGGATGCCTTTACTTGAAAGTGACTGAATCGTGTAATATCGCACACTATGGTTACGGATGCTTTTGTCAGAGGACAAATTGGCTTTGGAATCCATGGCTACCATCAGTGCTTCCAGCTTATGGTCGCCCACAGGTTGTCTTTATGTTTTCAACTCCGCTTTGCTCATTAATTCAAGGAAGGATCTCACCACTTTCATGTTCAGTGTAGTTTTTTTATTTGTGTTGACATTTTCATTGTCCTCCAAGAATTTGTCAATATCACTGTCATTGACTTCTGCAAACCTTTTGGCTTGCTTAGCAATGCCCGGGGTGTCGTTACGACCATCTAGGAAATCGTCTGTCTCTAAATCATCCAAAACGACTGATCTGGGCTGAGATTGAGGTTATGGGAGATGGCAGACATTGAAGACACTGTTTGTGGAAGAACATGTAGCCGACAACGAGTGACTTGTAACTCATCAATCTGTTTTGACAACAAAAAATGCTGAAACTGTTCAATGGTTGTATAATGTTAACAACTCTCCCAACCACAGTTCCATCGATCTTGACAAGCTATATAGACCATTCAATTTTATCATGAGTTGTCATGGGTTGTTCATGAGAAAAAGGTGAATGAACCTTATCGATGAATGAGGAAAGTAGTTCTGGCAACCAAATCAAATGGCAACATTCAGAAACAGCCAATAGCGGTATCAGTTAATGGCGGAATAGCAGAATAATAGTGTCATATTAAAGTCAAAACAGATAGAATTTTCCCTCAGGATGACAATATCCCTCTGACAACCCAATAAAAACAAACAACAGAACATGGTGAGTAGTTGTTATTGAGGCAAGAACACAACAGAGGTCAGTGTGGCATCAAAACATGCCATCGTTAGATGTCTGTGATGTCATTTAACATCAATGTTTATAGCTATTTGAATGTCAGTTTGCACATTTTCATGGTCACTGACACTAGAACTGATAGAAGGTGATTGACAGTGCAATGATTGACATTGGAACCTGCAAGGAAGGTCAGAATATCTAACTACTGCCTAAATGCTGAACTTCGCAGTAGTGTCAGACTTATCCACTATTTGCAATCTGCCAAGTGTTTAGTCATCTAAATCACTATTGCTTTCTTCATCAGTCCCTAAATATCTTCACTTGGCATCAGGTGCCCCCATGCAATCCTGCGAGTCGACAGAGCAGTACTCATCATATAATGAATGAAGCGGCATGGTTTGAGGCCAGTGTTTTGAGTGTTTAGTCGATAAGAATTTACAGAACCACTGACAACAGTCTTTAAACAAAACATGGCACTCTATATGCTCAAGCAGTTTTTTTACACTGTGAGTGTGTCAGAATTTACAGAATAACTGACAACAGAATTTAAACAAAACATGGCGCTCTATATGCTCAAGCAGTTTGTTTACACTGTAATACTTCGCACGAACTTTGACAGGCACTGAAAGCATGCTAACATGAGGTGGGTACCCCAAAAGAAAACTAAGTAAGCCTTGCAGAGATTTTGTTCTACAGCACACATCACTATTATGAGTGAGTGAGTGAGTATGGTTTTACAACGCTTTTAGCAATATTCCAGCAATATCACGGCAGGGCATTGTACCCATGTCGGGAATCGAACCTGGGTTTTCGGTGTAACGAGCGAACGCTTTAACCACTATAGGCTACCCAACCGCCCTTTCACTATTTGGACATCATATCTCTTGTTGTGACTCAAAAGGTAAGACATCACAGTCATACAAAGAAAAGTGCTGAATAGCAAGCTCTCTGTTGTCCTCAAAGATAGAAATACATCCTCTTTGCATATTTCTATACTGTTTTCTGAATGAAAATATTGCCCTACATCCTTTGAACCTTGTAGTAACCACAACTTTGCATTTTGTAGCATATACTTGTACATATAATTAATTGAATATACCTACCAACAATGACTGTAAGAGAAGTACCATTGTAAAAATATTAGCTTCTGCGGTGATGCAGACATCATATCGGCTGGTTCAATCAGAGGGGGTTTATTGTGAATTGATACCTCTGATTGACCAAACAAAATTGATTATTTACCAAATTCATGGTAGAATAGCATTATTAAAATACAGTGGCCCTCACTTTGCCTGAAAACTTGAGGGCCATTGTTTGATAACTCTGTCCATTTCAAATATAAACAACAATCACGGAAACAATTTCAACCATTTTGCACACTTTACCATGTTGACTAATTCTCTGTTTACTAAATCTAGCAACATACTGGCCTTTCTGTCAATATGAAATCATTAATTTAGGAAGATAACATTTTGAAAAACCCTTTCAAAAATGAAACTCAAATGCCACTTTTGTCATGTGTTTCAGATAGTTGAAAACACTCCCAAATGAACAACAGCACAGCAGTGTCCGCAGCCCCGGGGAAGTCCAGTGGAGGCTTCACCCCCCTAGCTATAGGCCTGATGACGGGGCAGTTCATCATGATGGTGGTGATGGTGGGGGGCAACAGCATCTTCATCCTTGCCATCATCAAGTACCGCAAACTGAAGACCATCAACAGCATGTTTGTGGCCAATCTATCCCTGTCCGACCTCATCCTCGGGATCACCATGTCCTTCCAGATCTCTTTCTTCTTTCAGCCCTGGATGGAACATGTGAAGGAACTCTGCATCCTCCGATTCCAGTTTGTCAACCTCTTCAGCAAGGCAGCTCTGTACTCCCTCTGCCTCACCGTCATCGACCGCTTCATTGCCATCACCTACCCCTTGAAGTACCCCAGCATCATGACCAACACCAAGGCATATGTCCTCATTGCCATCATGTGGATCTACGCCCTCACCAACGCCCTCGTCCCGATCATCTTTGACATCAACACATGGGACACCGCTGACTTGTGTCTGTACGAGCTTGTGACGGAAAGGAAGTACCGCCTGTATATCCACACCGAGGACCTCCTCCTCTCCATCTTCCTAATGGTGTGCTACTCCTACATCTACATCGTTGTCCGCAGACACAAGAGGAAGATTGCAACGGAGAACATGGCATCTGATCGCAGGTTCCTCCAGGACAAGAAGCTGGCCAAGTTCAGCATCATCATCGCCATCGTGTTCACCATCTGCTGGCTACCCTTCAGCATCATTCAGGAGGTCCAGGTGTACAAGTTCTCCGTCACTGGAGCATTTGTGGGCAACTTTGCTGTCTTTCTGGGCATTTCAAATTCAGCCATAAATCCATTTATCTACACATGGAAGAATCCGGACTTCCGCAGCGCTATTAAAAAACTGCTTAGACTTGAGCATCTTCCTCAACAGACAAATATCAATTCTGTTGAATCGATCAGTTAGAACAGACTACAAGGACATAGAAACCAGATGAGATGGCTTCGCTGGCCAAGTCCTGGGTTGACATCAGCACATGGGGCTTATGTTGTAAGTTATTGTAAGGATCGTCAACTAATTATATATTTTACATCTGATACAAAGGACTCATCAAGTGGTTCTACGTCTTGCAATGTAACTATTGCAACTACAACATAATTATTGCTTTCCTAACACCCTGATCCAAAGTGTACGCGACTCTGCTCGTCCCACTAGCCTGACGTCAATACTCATGTCACAGTGATATTACAGGCAGTCCACGTGTGCGTGTGTGTGTGTGTACGTGCGTGCGTGCGTGCTCAGTCTTCATGGCTTGCTTGGACCAGTGTTTGTAACAAACTCATGATAACTTGCTTTCATGTGGTATGTATGTACCCATGTCGGTAATTCAGTACAATTACTAGTATTTAACTTTTTAAGATATTTTAAGAAAGTAAGAAAACGTTGTTTCTATATAATAGTGTGCCTGTTTCTTAGCAAATGAATACAAATATGTGTGATACGTATTTCTACATTGATGACGTAATTAGGTACTAAGACGACACAACAGGGTTAAGATGTGGTGAGGTGATAGTTCAAATATTTTTGACACATACTTCCTTTCACTTTTGCTTGAAGCAATATGTAAAATGGGAATATAAGATTTCAACGTGTCATTACGTCTTTGATGATTTTTTGCTTTTAGTCTCCCACTTGTGGCGGCAACACTTCACTGAGTGTCTGATTGACTTAACGTGTCCGTAGAGAACCGTCCACTGTGAGAGTTGTGGAGTGAACACAAAAACAAACTAGCAGGCATCCTTCACATACAGAATCCATAATACCTAACTTTGTTTCCTATGTATGTTCAATATAGACAGCATTAATGTGCAGCCTCGGACCAATCAATGGAGAAAGTGACAGCATAATGACGTTATGACACATTTCTGATGAAAGTGACAATTTGATGAATTGATGACACATTTCTAGAGAAAGTGACAATTTAATGACTTGACACAATTCTGGAGAAATGACAAACATACTAGACATGTCAAAAGCTGACGAGCCTGAATTGCCATCATTGAAGCACTCCGGAAGCATACCCCCAGCAATGTATGCTATGTTATTGTTGTAAGATTTATAGAAATAGCCACACTATTAGATTTCCTCTTGATTGACTGCCTCATGACATTTCCGTATAGCTGCTAAGCATTGCAAGATAGATAATATAGTAGATATATGCTGCAACCAAGTCTACACGTCAGCCAATGAAAACATTTGTCATGCACCGCTGAGCCGCTAGCTTTAGGCCACGCCTCCACATAGTTTTGTTTTGGAGTCTGATTAAAGAGCGTGTGATTTCAGCTATTTCACTTGGACATTGAAATATTTTCAATGAATGTTATGAATTTTTTCCTCTCGGAAAGTGACCTAATGTATTGAGGAAAATTGATATTCTGAAAGAAATCACAGTCAATTTTTTCACTTTACTTTCCCTTTAAGCTTATGTGGTCAAAAGCTGTCTTAAATGCCTATTTTACAAGTAGTGACCTTGGCCAATCAAATTGCAGATAGATCACCCTAACGTATAGAGGCTGTATAAGTGAGTGAGTGAGTATGGTTTTACACCACTTTTAGCAATAATCCAGCAATATCACATCGGGGAACACCAGAAATAGGCTTCTCGGGAATCGAACCCGGGTCTTCGGCGTGATGAGCAAACGCTTTAACAACTAGGCTACCCGACCAAAGAGGCTGTATAAAGTAACGAATACTCTTATGAAGGCTGGTCAAAAAGTTCTCAGCCTAACAAACAAATCCAACAATTGTGAATTTTTTTTAAAAATATTTTTTTCAACATAATCTCCCTGCTTTTCAATACACTTATCATATCTATAGTGGGGCAGTCGGGTAGCCTAGTGGTTAAAGCATTTGCCCGTCACGCCGAAGACCCGGTTTCGATTCCCGACATGAGTACAATGTGTGAAGCCTATTTCTGGTGTCCCCCGCCGTGATATTGCTGGAATATTGCTAAAAGCGGTGTAAAACCATATTCACTCACTCACTCACTCACATCTATAGTGAAGCTTTTCAATTCCAGTCAGGAAAAAGGTTTCTGAAGCCACCCTGAAAAACTCATTCACGGCAGCTTTAAGGTCATAGTTGTCATCATAGAGCTTTCCATGAAGGTGTTCCTTCAGTTTGTTGCCGATCCTTGCATTAAAAATCTTATAAAGTTATATCATTTGGTGGGTCTTGACCGAATCACCGGTCGATTCCAAGAAAACGTGTGTACAGCTGATTGCTGTTTCCAGCTTAGTTTACGAGAAAATACGCAAGGTAATCTTAATCCCTAAATATAAAACAATGCCTAGCAGATCAATAAATACTATTTAATCGGTAAATAAACATGTCTGGTGATTTTTTTATCTCAAATTTCGAATTTGTACTGACGAAGTTTCTCATCACCCGTTCGTTTGCCGGACTTCGCTGAAAGGGTACGGTGTAATTTTTTTCTGCGCATAATATTCAAATTTCTTTTTTTTCAAAATATTGAACCCGCTAGAGGGGGGTGCGCATTATACACGGGTGCGCACTATACTCAAGAAAATACGGTAATAGGCACCAGTAATTGTCTTTTCACTTTCTAAGTAATCAACAAGGATCACACCCTTTGCATCCCAAAATACGGTGGTTATATCTTTATTCACTGATCTTGAAGACTTGAATTTCTTTGGTGCTGGAGAAGTGGAATGGTGCCATTCCATGGATTGATGTTTTGACTCGGGATCATAGTGGTAGACCCATGTTTCATCACCAATTACTAATCTCTTTTTGAATTTGACGAAATCTTCCTCAATATGCTCTAAATTGTCTCTGGCAATGTCAGTTCTTCTTTCCTTAAGATCCGAATTTAGAAACTTAGGCACCCAATGAGCAGATATATTATTCTTTTTTTGTTCATGAAGAATAGTTTCAATGGATCCATGGCTTGGACCTGTGTCTTCCTCAAGTTCAGCAATGGTAATACGTCTATCTGACAGCATAAGTTTTTTCTATCTCCTTGATTCAATCTTCATCAGTGGAAGTTGATGGACGTCCAGACCTAGGGTCATCATCAAGGCTTGTTCTCCCAGCCTTAAACATATCACAGCTTATCCCCATACACAATTGTGACATGCAGTCCTGAATTTCTTGGGGAGTACTTTTCTGTAAAGTCAAAAACTTGATGACAGCTCGGTACTCATTCTCTTCCATTTCTGTGTCCCGTTGGCCCCCTATCACGTTCAACTGGCTGTCACTTATATACAAACAGCCTCCACAGAACAAATACACTTGCAATGAACAACTCCAACAATGTACTACATTGGATAGTTCACAATGTTATGGCCCATACTTGAAAGTTAGTCACGCTTAGAACTTTTTGACCAGTCCTGGTACTTGTCTAGCACTTACAAGTGGTAGATATGGATATTCTATTGCCATGCACATGACCACCATTTTTATTTTTTCAAAATAAACACTTTATAACATTGAAGGAGGACGTTGTGAATATCCATCAAACATCAAAAAAGCAATGTGTCCAATTGTTTCTGACAGAAAAGATCATTGCAAAGGATGTATTCTATAATAAAATGCACTGCAGTGGAAGCCATTATAATATTTCAAACTATAAAGTCAACATTGCTGCAGCTACGCGCAGAACAAGTGGGAAGTAGATATTCATGAGTTAAGTTCACTGCTATCAGTGTGTGTGTGTGTGGTGTGTGTGCGTGTGTGTGTTTGCGTGTGCGTGTGTGTGTGTGTGGTGTGTGTGGTGTGTGTGCGTGTGAGCATGTGTGCGTGCGTGTGGTGTGTGCGTGTGTGTGGTGTGCGTGCGGTGTGTGTGTGTGGTGTGTGTGTGTGTGTGTGTGGTGTGTTTGCGTGTGCTTGCGTGTGTGTGTGCGGTGTGTGTGCGGTGTGTGTGCGTGTGTGGTGTGTTTGCGTGTGCTTGCGTGTGTGTGTGCGGTGTGCGTGCGGTGTGTGTGCGGTGTGTGTGTGTGTGTGGTGTGTTTGCGTGTGCTTGCGTGTGTGTGTGCGGTGTGTGTGCGGTGTGTGTGCGGTGTGTGTGTGTGTGTGTGTGGTGTGTTTGCGTGTGCTTGCGTGTGTGTGTGCGGTGTGCGTGCGGTGTGTGTGTGGTGTGTGTGTGTGGTGTGTTTGCGTGTGCTTGCGTGTGTGTGTGCGGTGTGTGTGCGTGTGTGTGCGTGTGTTTGCGTGTGCGTGTGTGTGTGTGCGTGTGTGTGTACGACCAACAAAGATCCATGACATAAGCTGACTTTAATGTTACTGTATTTCCCCATTTCCAAACAGATCAAAGGACAGAGGTATGGATGTGTATCATATCAGAAGCAGCGTTTCAGCCAGCTGGCCTCATGGCTAAGTATCTTGCATGAAACACCCAGCCAGTCAGGCTCAGGAAATACATGGAAATTGTGTTGACTTAGATGAAAGGCAATTCCCATGGAAAATACTGCCATGTCCATGGAAACAAGCTGATCAATTTGATTGCAAAGAAATTCACATGAAATAAAACCATGATCTCTGACACAATAGGAAATTGTTTTTTACCATCTGCAAATCCAATTACAACATACCTATCACAGTTAAGCATCACATTAATCATCATCATCATCATCATCATCATCATCATCATCATCATCTATAATTTCTACTCTTGGATCATAAAAAGTGTCCAGTTGCAATGTAGCTTTGATGTAGCAATGAAAAACAACTACACTCCAGTTTCCGCTTGAAGTCATATTACTTTTTATTAGCTCTGTAAATGGAGGGTCACACCAACACCACTTAAATCATTTATCAAGTATTCGTTCTCTCCACAGAAAATTACTACTGAGCATACAGCACTTCCATTCTCATGCATCTTTGCCAGGCTTACAGATTATGTGAAACCTGATCTGATTGGCTGCTCACCTGAAAGTGTTCCCATTAACCAATCAATACTTCTGTAATATCAATCAAACCTGTCACACACTCTCTCTCTCCCACATCTAACTGACAGAGTTACCTAAGATGGAAGCTGCTCTATTACAGTTTGTTTGAGCAGTTCTATTCCCAGCTGGACTGGGTCATGGCTATGGAGGGTTTCCCACTTTCTGTGCTCTGTCAATACAACTGAACCAACACACGGAACCAACACACGGAACAAACACACGGAACAAACACCGAACACAAGGACCACAAGGACCACAAAACCAACAAGCTGCTGCTCTTTACACAGATTCTAAATTATTAACGATTATTAGGCATGATGTGATGTAAAGTTTTGAAATTTAAACCTTCCTTAATCAAGGAGTTAAAAACTTCTCATCCCCCAAACCAGCAACACTTGCAGACACTAAACAAACAAGTTAACCATGTCTTACAAAACCTGAAATCTGCAGAATCACATCTGCACTCAAAAAACATGTGGGCAATTATTTCTCCATAGTCAGCATCTTTCAAAATATGTTACCAAAGAACTATCCATATTCAGCTACTTTCAAAGTAGGTCACCTAGAACTATCCATATTAACAGCTACTTTTAAAAGAGGTCACCTTAGAACTATCCATATTAACAGCTACTTTAAAAAGAGGTCACCTTAGAACTATCCGTATTCACCTACTTTCAAAGTACGTCTCCTAAAAACTATCTATCTTCAGATAAGTATTAAAAAGATCACATAAGTACCTCCTACAGTGAGTGAGTGAGTGAGTGAGCGAGCGAGGTTTACACTGCACTCAGTATCACCATGATCACAACAGCCTGTACATGACTGACTTGCCAGGCAATCCAGCAATCCTACTCTGAGTTCCATGCGGCCAGCATAGGGCCTCTGCCACAGGCCAGCGCCATGTGACGATTCGTCACATGTTATAGTCCATTCAAGAAATTGCATATGTAACTAAAATATCGACCAATGAGAGCACTGCTTTCCAACACACACAGATTCTGTGCGGGTCTGATGTGTGCCCAGTTGGTGTCAAAGTGGCGAGTTGACAGCATTCGGTCGATATTATTTCATAGCAATAAAGAATTGGGAGGTGTCATGTATTGGAATCGATAGTATTATCACCCTAGACAAGGTAGATATGACGTGATTTCACTTTAGAAACAGCGATACAAGGCAAGTGGTGCCATACGTAGTGTTCAGCCTTGTGTAAAGGTATACTAGGATAGTGCATTTCTTACACTCATGATACTTATTGATCTAGAAATATTTAAGCAACGACACAAGGGCCTGTGTACAGGGACAGACCACCACACACCAACAAGAGCTGCCTTACCTCAATGCCAGTAACACCCAGAGCTGTCTCTATGTTCTGAGTCATCCTGAATGGGACTCTCTCAGGGACCCTCAGACCTTTGCCTTTTTCAAAACACACATTGTAGTCTATATGGACAACCTGGTGAAAAAAAAGTAAACAGTTCCACTGTTGTTGAAATGAACAACAATGCATGACGGCACCCAATCAGCCACACAAAATAACCCTCTATACTTTTCCCCATCCTACAACAAGCAAAACGTTTGGGGGGGTTCTACCCTGTGATCCTCACGGGGAAATGCAATTTCAATCAGGTCAATGAATTCTTGTTTGTTGTTTAACACTACACTCGGCAATATTGCAGCTATGATGACAGCTTGTCATTAATTGAACCTGACCAGACAAACCAGTGATTGATACAGGGAGATCAATCAACCAAGTAACCAAGCCTGACCACCGACTCATTAAGTTGCCTCTTTCGACAAGTATAGGTTGCTGGGGACCTATTCTAACCCAGATTCCCCATGAAATACTATCACCTAAAGCCATATACTTACATACTGAAATTGAAGGTACAGTCTCACTGTCATCACATTTCATCAGATATCCAGATTTATCACGTACCTCGCCCGTTGCCAGATCAACCAGTACATTGTCAAGGTGACGATCCCCGAGTCCAATGATGTAGCCGATCATAGACATGACAGCAGTGGACCTGGCATAGGTCTGAGTGATCTGCCACCATTCATTGGGACCCGAGCTGGCACACCACAGCTCCCTGGGGATCAAACAAGGTAAAGATTAATCTCCTATCGCTCTACCAGACACGTAATGCGTGTACATCTGACAATCAGATGCATCAGATTATCAGACGCCCTATATTGAAAACAAATAAAACTATAACAGCAAGATATTATTCATCCAATTCATGCTCCACACAATGTTTGTTCGTTTGTTGTTTAAGGCCGCACTTCGCAATATTCCAGCCATATGATGGCGGTCTGTAAATAATCGAGTCTGGACCAGACAATTCGGTGATTGATATCATGAGTATCGATCCACGCAATTGGGATACGATGACATGCATCAACCAAGTCAGCGAGTCTGACCACTTACGACAAGCATAGTTATCTCGTATCTGATCACAAATATCCACCATGAACCTACTGGCCCCGTTTATCAAGGCCCTTTTTAAGAGATTATGATTGGTTCGAAACTGACTTGTTTATCATGGCTATGTCAGTGTTAGTGGCAAGCACCGGAGTGAGTTAGTGGCAAGCACCAGAGTGAGTGGATGTCACACAAAGCAGAGATTTACAACATTCTAGCTGTGTATGATAAGGTTTGACCAAGCAAACCAGTGGTTGGTAGCATGAGCAATGATTCCCACTCTAATAGGAAGATGATATAAGCCAGTCAACACATCTTCATATTTATCAGCTCAGAGTACAAGAAGTTGGATGCTGTGGATATAATCTAGCTCTGAATCTCCATGCGACTAAAAGAATCGTGCTTTGTGAGTTGACCTGGTGAGGAGGTCATTCCAAGGCCCTGTCGACTCATGCATCATGAGCTGACCTGGTGAGGCCATTCCAAGGCCCTGTAGACTCATGCATCATGAGCTGACCTGGTGAGGTCATTCCAAGGCCCTGTAGACTCATGCATCATGAGCTGACCTGGTGAGGCCATTCCAAGGCCCTGTAGACTCATGCATCATGAGCTGACCTGGTGAGGCCATTCCAAGGCCCTGTAGACTCATGCATCATGAGCTGACCTGGTGAGGAGGTCATTCCAAGGCCCTGTAGACTCATGCATCATGAGCTGACCTGGTGTGGAGGTCATTCCAAGGCCCTGTAGACTCATGCATCATGAGCTGACCTGGTGAGGAGGTCATTCCAAGGCCCTGTCAACTTATACATCATGAGCTGACCTGGTGAGGAGGTCATTCCAAGTCCCTGTAGACTCATGCATCATGAGCTGACCTGGTGAGGTCATTCCAAGGCCCTGTCAACTCATACATCATGAGCTGACCTGGTGAGGAGGTCATTCCAAGGCCCTGTCAACTCTTACATCATGAGCTGACCTGGTGAGGAGGTCATTCCAAGGCCCTGTCGACTCATGCATCATGAGCTGACCTGGCGAGGTCATTCCAAGGCCCTGTCGACTCATGTATCATGAGCTGACCTGGTGAGGAGGTCATTCCAAGGCCCTGTCGACTCATGCATCATGAGCTGACCTGGCGAGGTCATTCCAAGGCCCTGTAAACGCATGCATCATGAGCTGACCTGGTGAGGAGGTCATTCCAAGGCCCTGTCGACTCATGCATCATGAGCTGACCTGGTGAGGTCATTCCAAGGCCCTGTAAACTCATGTATCATGAGCTGACCTGGTGAGGAGGTCATTCCAAGGCCCTGTAGACTCATGCATCATGAGCTGACCTAGTGAGGAGGTGATTCCAAGGCCCTGTAGACTCATGCTTCGCAAGCTTACCTGGCCAGGAGGTCTTTGGGCGTCTCCTCCATCAGCTCCTCCAGGACGTTCCTCAGGACACTCAGTGGCCACTCCTTACGGCTGTCCAGGTTGTCAATGCCCTGAACCAACATAAACAAAAATGATAAAATGAGTAAATGTAACATGGATTGCTGTATTCATAACACATTTCATTAATATGTATCACAACCTCGTTCTAGTAGATTTATTTTGGCATTCTCTTAACCAACAGGTTCAGTTGTCATGGAAACATATAACATACATCATATCATGACACAGAATGTGAGTGAGAGTATGGTTTTACACCGCTTTTAGCAGTATTCCAGCAATATCACGGCGGGGGAACACCAGAAATGGGCTTCACACATTGTACCCATGTCGGGAATCGAACCTGGGTCTTCCGGGTGACGAGCGAACGCTTTAACCACCAGGCTACCTGACGGCACCCATGGCACAGAAGGGTGATACTGCAGTTGGAGAGTGTCATGGATATGCTCTATTTACATTGAGATAAATATCACAGATCTATTAGGACTTGCAGATGCACAGAAATGTTAAATCTAAAATTGCCCTTTAAATGCCATGGCATTAAATGTGCCATAACACCAGTAAATCCGAATAATATTACTTATCCAAATGGAACACACCAAGATCTGATGGTAGGAAAACACGTTTCACGTGGCAGGGAGGGCATGATGATGGGGCCACCTACCTTATCCTTCAGTGCCGGTGTGAGCTTGTTGTAGTAGATGTCGCTGGGGCGCAGGATGGTGGCCGCATTGCTGGAAGCACTGCTCTGTCCTGATGAGCTTATCTGCAGGAAAACAGCAGAATACAGTCAGAGTCAATGAGTGAATGCTGTTTTAGGCTGCTGTGCTGTGTATATTCAAATAATCTATCAAGTCACCAAGCTTGACTACCCAAATCCATTTGGTCGCCTTTGACAATCTGTTCAACTGTTATATGACGCCACGCTTAAGACGCCGCCATGACTCCTTGCCTCTGATGACACCATGTAAGTTCAACCGATAGACACAGCAATCAGTCATAAACGATGGAGCCGGACACCATAGAAAATTGAAAGTTTTCTCATGGCGGATTCACGCTGGCAAAGGAAGAAACCAGTAGCGAAACACCCTTATGCTAAAACCATTTTTAAAATATATTTTTAATTAAGTTCCATGTGTAAATGCCCTGAATCCAAAGAAGGGAAGGGTGAAAATATTCAGGGAAACTTCAGGGAACATTTATAAGGAAAGTACCTGACGATGCTGTTCCCAAGGGGATATGATAGTCACAACACTGATCTAAAGTCAACCCCTATATAAGAAATCTTTACAAAGTTTAGCACAATAGAATTTGCCCATTATTTATATTATATGACAATCTGCCATAGATCTGAGTACACGCCAATATCTGCCCAATGTGTGGAGTAGATATGAGAATCTGCCATGGATCAGAGTCCAACCACAGATCTGAGTCCTACATATTTATATGCCTATCCTATCTCACACTACGCATTTCTTCTTTCTTTTTTCGATTCTTATGTGGAAACGTGCTTGAACAAAGTCTCCTGCTTCTGAAAACATTTCACCCGAACACATCCCAGTATCACCATGGTCACCGCAGTGCGTTGTGACTTGACACGACCTGATCACCTGACGACCTCTGCCACATCATTCTCTTTGTTAGAGCTGACAGGCTAGCGGAGATATGATGGTTGGGACGGCATATAGTGAGATAGGATAAGTATATAAATATACAATTTAATATAAACATTAGAAATTATTAAACTTATCGTGTGTCACACTATTAATTTATCCCACGGTTGGACAGTGGGGCACAGCTACACTAGCTCTTTGAGAATACAACCTTGAGACAGACACGAGGAAGCTGGTGTTTAACAGTGATACAAATGAAAGAATTTATAACACTTTACAGGTGAAATGTGTTTATGTTTATGTTAATTGGAGGTCACAACATAAAATCGTGTAGAACATGTGTTATGTGTTTTCCTGAATAAAGATCGATTCATCGTATGATTTATAACCGATCCGGAAGGGGTCTTCAGGCAAGCAGTTCTATGAACAATAGGGTGAGCCAGCTTGGCATCTCTTTTTAACACTTCGTCAAAGCTATCAACCACGCCCGAGGGATTGAAGCATGCTAAGATGAGAAGAGGAATGATCAACAACAATCACAAGAGGATCATCGAAACAATACCAAGACATCACCAAGTGTTGGTCGCGTCTGGAGAGGAAGTCGCTCGAACATTCAGTGAGTTGCTGACCTGTTGGAAGTCAAGCATCAGCGACAGGAGCGACATTGACTTGGTGGAGCCCAGCCTGTTGATATGCCAGACGACCAATAGATTCACCAACTGGATTCTGACGTGTGAAGCACGAAGGAGCTTGGCCCAGTGGGACACTGCCAGAATGACAGCCTTGAATTGAAAGTTTGTGGATATGGAGTGGCTTTTCTTCGATGAACCAGCGGTCAAGGTGTCAACGAGGAGGGGTTAGGTCGAGACAAACGGACACAAAGAGACTCTGGCACAAACATTTGACATCACTGAAGTTTCGGACGCAGTGACATTGGCACGGAGATATGGACCCAGCAATTGTTGATCTGGAGGTAGAATTTCAGGAAGCACGGAATCTGTGAAAGCTGAAGTGGTCCCAGGACGTAGGCAGAGGCAGGGTAGATAGAGGTAGGTTGGGCAGGAACCAAATACGGAGACAGCGACGTAGATCTACTTGGGGGACCACACGAGTCTCAATGTGAAGAAGAGGGTCAATCCTCCTGTCAATAGCGAACCAAGGACCAATTCCAGGGAGGCGCAGAACAGTAGAAGTCAGCACAAGCGCGGTTGTCAGGATACAGGTAGACATTGGGGTAGGCATGTATATGTTGATACGGATCCAGAAGGGGGGGGTTCAATCCCAGCTGTGTGGACGATCCTCGTATTCGATGCGTCTTGTCGCTGAGGGTTTAATCGTAGGAGGGGGAACAATCCTGACGATGCCAACAATCAAAGTCACCGTGTAGAAGGGAAGCAAAACTGAGATGACTATCGATCTGCAGAATCAGCACAGGAAACATCCTCCTAATGCAGCGATCGTCATGTCAAACAGGAGTGGTCTGTGATGAATGTGTAGCTCCATTGCAATGTCAATCCGTAGCGCATTGATTCCAAGATGTCGATACTCCAGACATTGATCTGGAATGCGATCCCAGCTAGTAGAAGCAGAGGATGAACTCACATGATCAATCTTGCAACAAAGCGGTCAGCATGGTGAGGACCGGAACATCGCCTAGAGGAGTGGATGATGATAAGTGACTGGCAGCTGACGGTAGGGGAACGCTAGGAAGGTGCCTGGGATGCTTCGTCTTTAGAGAAAATCATGCAGATGTCTGAGGCAGCTAGCTCCAATGTAGGCTTGGAGACAGGCACACCGTCAATGAGGAGACTGTCCAAGATGCCATCATCTTCGACTGACAAGGATGGGATGGTAGATGCCGGAGGAGGCTTCACGACAGAACAGGAGGAGGTGACAGAACGGGAGGAGGTGACAGCCAGCTTCGTGTCCCTTTCAGGCTTCTTAGTAGATAAGGGCCCATGTTTCATGTCCCAGGACTTTAAACATCGCTAGTGTTTACTGCAACAGCCACGGCAATCACAACGAGGGTCATGAGGATAAGCTTTTGAGTAAGTAGGGCGGCAATTTACACAAACCGGGAGTTGATCATGTTCGATACCCATCCCCACTTCAAAATAGTGATGTAAAGTGTGTGCAGAAAGCTCGTAGCTTACGCAAAGGAACAGAAAAATAACAAAAATGTTTTCTCTACAACTCAATACACATCTGCACAGGGTGGCGATGAGAAAGAGAGTGAGACGGCAGGAGTTCACTACACACAGGATTACTGACCTTATTGATGGGGTGGTGACCATGGTGATGCTATGATGTGTTCAGGCTAAATGTTTTTAGCATGTTTAGAAGTTAGAAACTTTGTTCAAGCAAATTTTCATATGAGGATTGAAAGAAGGACGAAACGCATAGTGTGAGATGGGACAAGCTTTAAAATTCAACTTATTCACAAACATTTCAAGACAATTTAAATCCTTTTTACCTTGAGGGTCTGTGCAATTGCCTCCCTTTGCTGCCATTTCTTGTACAGACCGAACAGAGGTGTGGCTCCCTCCACCCACTGAATGAGGCCTGACCGTGGTCCAAGTGGTGTCACAGAGTAGTGTCGAGCTCGGTACAGCTGACGGGTCCCCCTGCACAACAGAAAGAAGCTTATCACCGGGAAATACATCTGTTTTATTATGGTAAAAGTCCACATTTACTGTTAACTCTCAACATTCTTTAACATTCAATGCTAGCACAAGTGAATGATTGTGTGTTAATTTACAACCCAGTCAGTAATGGCCAAGCTAATTCACATCAGCCAATATGTCAGGCAAACCAGGGATTGATAGCATGAGCAGCATCTGATGTCTTTAGGTTAAGATGACACAGTCAGTCAGGTCCCACATTGTGACCAACCGGCTGATATGAAGAACAGTTATCATACCTCCAAGATCTGATTGGTCCATGTGATCTTGATAAAATACTGTGTATTCAGCCTTGGAGGGTAATAAATCTCCCTGTGCTAGAGGCACTGATAAGGCCACATGTGGAGTTCTGAGAGGCAGAATAAATCCCTTATACCCCACTTCAAAGCAAAAGACATACAAAACTATCAGATTTCAAAACAGAGCGACAGTACTTACTTGTTTGACTTGGAGAACATGTTATTTACAATAGACAGGAACTGCATGATTCTCTCATCTAAGTGGAGGTCCTCGAGGCCCTTGAATAGGTACGGGTATCTGAAATGACCACAAACAAGGATAGTGGCTACATAAAGGTAAACAAGCACTGACCATAATTGTTTAACAATAGAATAAAATGAGTTGGTTTTCCCTGTAGTGTTATTTCAAATTACAGCTTTGTAATCACCAAATATTCCAACACGAACCTTCGGCCATCTGATCCAAGCAGGACCAGTTTCTTGGGTTTGGTCTTCGTGGGGAGGATTTGTGCCGTGTTGTAGACAGACTCTATGGTGACTGTCTGTCCGAGCACACCGAGTCCGGGCATAGGGATGACCGAGCTGACCAGACTGGACAGTCGAGGGCTGATTTCCTCCATCCGCAACTGCAGACTGTTTCGCTTCTGGGCTCGCTGCTGCAGGCTGACATGCAGCTGATGGACAAACATCAACAGTGAATGAGGGAGTTCAACATGACTTTGATCAGTGAATGAGGGAGTTCAACATGACTTGGATCAGTGAGTGAGAGAGTTTAACGTGACTTTGATCAGTGAGTGAGGGAGTTTAACGTGACTTTGATCAGTGAGTGAGGGAGTTTAACGCCACTTTGGTCAGTGAGTGAGGGAGTTTAACGTGACTTTGATCAGTGGATGAGGGAGTTTAACGTGACTTTGATCAGTGAGTGAGGGAGTTCAACATGACTTTGATCAGTGAGTGAGACAGTTTAACGTGACTTTGATCAGTGGATGAGGGAGTTTAACGCCACTTTGATCAGTGAGTGAGTGAGTTTAACGTGACTTTGATCAGTGGATGAGGGAGTTTAACGCCACTTTGATCAGTGAGTGAGGGAGTGTAACGTGACTTTGATCAGTGAGTGTGGGAGTTTAACGTGACTTTGATCAGTGAGTGAGGGAGTTTAACATGACTTTGATCAGTGAGTGAGGGAATTTAACGTGACTATGATCAGTGAATGAGGGAGTTTAACATGACTTTGATCAGTGAGTTTAACGCCACTTTGATCAGTGAGTGAGGGAGTTTAACGTGACTTTGATCAGTGAATGAGGGAGTTTGACAGACTTTGATCAGTGAGTGAGAGTTTAATGCCACTTTGATCAGTGAGTGAGGGAGTTCAGTTTAACGCTACTGTCATTAGTGAGGGAGTTTAACACCACTTTGATCAGTGAGTGAGGGAGTTTAACACCACTTTGATCAGTGAGTGAGGGAGTTTGGTTTAACGCTACTGTCATCAGTGAGTGAGGGAGTTTGACGCCACTGCTCGGCTTCAGAGTCCTTTCAGAGCATATTTTTGTAAGATTTGATCACAGCAACAAACCTGTTTGAAGAGCTGCCAGTTGACGGCAGGGTTGGAGGGGTTGCTAGGGTTCCTCAGCCTCTGCAGGGCGTTCTCTATCAGTTCCCCATACGTGTCCTGGAACCACTTCTCATGCGGTGTCTCCGCCGCCTGGCTGGTAATCTCGTGGAGCCGCTCCATTGTGTATAGGATCTGAGTGAACACAAACACATCTTCAGTTTCCACATCACATACCACAGCAACATCAACATACTCTATGGAGAATATTAGAGCTCCTGTGTAAGTCCAATTTTATGAAACGAGTGAAAAGTTTTCGTATCTGACAAGCGATATTTGTTAGTGAAACTTGTTCCTGCAGTACATAAGCAGCACTTTGGCATTACACAACGTGTAATACAGCTGTATGTTTATTGAACGGGTGATCTCTTCACGGACGAGTTACAAATTCTTGTACAACACTTACTGGCTTCATAATGGTCTTGTGCTTCTCTCTGATGATGGCCGTCTTCTCCTCCTTGTTCAGTGACTGGTTGGCGTTGACTTTCTTCACCTCACTCTCCAGCTGGGCCAGGGAGCGCACCACGTCCGTATGCTGCTGGTTTAGGGTGCCAAGCCACAGTTCATCCCACAGCAGCGTGACGCGCCGCAGTTCCTGCACCATCTGCTGCACCTCGGAGATCATCCTGGAACACAGGACAGGTTCAAGTCTCCGGCATGACATGGCACGGGAACACAGGAACAGGTTCAAGTCTCCGGCATGACATGGCACGGGAACACAGGACTGGTTCAAGTCTTCGGCATGACATGGCGCGGGAACACAGGAACAGGTTCAAGTCTCCGGCATGACATGGCACGGGAACACAGGACAGGTTCAAGTCTTCGGCATGACATGGCACGGGAACACAGGAACAGGTTCAAGTCTCCGGCATGACATGGCGCGGAACACAGGAACAGGTTCAAGTCTTCGGCATGACATGGCGCGGGAACACAAGAAATAGGTCAAGAGAAAAATCAGTCTGTGCCAAAAACATTTTGGGTATTTTTTCCAGTAAATTTGTGTAAACACAAAGACCATAACTATCTGAGCTTACTAGACTGAAAGATATTTCACTGGACTGATGTCATTTAAATGAAGGGCTTGTAACCTGTAAGACTTTGTTGCCCGATACAAATGTGCATAACTGAATGTATAACCTAACTCATACACTCATACAGAAAGCAGTGTTAGAAACTGGCACTAGTCCTATAGTCCTTGCCAAACTGCCCAATGTTTAAGGGATCAAAAGGACTAGTAGAAATTTGACATTTTTAAGGTTTTGCGATATGTTGTCATTAAAAATGACTGAAATTGTTAGTTTCTACTGCAGGATAGAATGTAATAATGCCATTTCTAAGATTTATTCCAAGTAAATACGGTATTACATCACTGAATACATGATTGGTCTGAGGGACACGAGAGCTCCCCTCCACCTACTTGGGGTTGTGGTGAGACAGGGTGTCCACGATGGTGGCTAGGCAAGTCTGCAGCATGGTGGCACTGGGGTCCTCCATGACCGGATCCTCTCCCTCATCCTCTCCCTGTGACCCTTGACCTCCTTCATCAGGGTCAAGGCTCTCCTCTTCTTCTGACAAGTAGTTGCTCAGCAAACCTTGAAGTAAATAGACACATCTGGGACTTTGACATTTGTTTTTTAAGTATTTACTTTACCATTTCTGAACAGTTTCAAATATTTAACTATGTTTGGCCAGTGTGTGCAGTATTCCTTAACATTGATTACCAGTTTCACCTGTCTGCAAAAATAACCTGCTATGGATTCATGCAACTGGCAGTAGAAGTGGCAGTCCACATGGAATAGTACTTGCTAAGTATTCACTTGTCTCAGACTTGCAAACTGTTTTCAAAACCTGCACTTTCGCTGTAAAGTGAGTGATTGACGTTTTCGAAATCAGCAATATTATAAATCTCTGTCACAAGTGAGGGATTTATGTTTGTGGGGGTATCTAGACAAGGCTACCCAGGTGCGTTACAATACCATGAGTCACAATACATTCATCGGTAAGTCACACATTGACCCACCTCTCTATCGACCCTCCTCTGTCTGTGACCAACCTACCTCTCTACCGACCCACCTCTCTGGTCTGTGACAGACCCACCTCTCTGGTTTGTGACCAACCCATCCCTCTGGTCTGTGACTGACCCACCTCTCTACCAAACCACCTCTCTACCAAACCACCTCTCTACCGACCAACCTCTCTGGTCTGTGACAGACCCACCTCTCTGGTTTGTGACCAACCCACTTCTCTGGTCTGTGACTGACCCACCTCTCTACCAAACCACCTCTCTACCAAACCACCTCTCTACCGAACCACCTCTCTTCCAACCAACCTCTCTGGTCTGTGACTGACCCACCTCTCTGGTCTGTGACCGACCCACCCCTCTGGTCTGTGACTGACCCACCCCTCTGGTCTGTGACTGACCCACCTCTCTGGTCTGTGACCGACCCACCACTCTACCCAACCACCTCTCTAACGAACCACCTCTCTTCCAACCAACCTCTCTGGTCTGTGACTGACCCACCTCTCTGGTCTGTGACTGACCCACCTCTCTACCCAACCACCTCTCTACCGAACCACCTCTCTTCCAACCAACCTCTCTGGTCTGTGACTGACCCACCTCTCTGGTCTGTGACCGACCCACCCCTCTGGTCTGTGACTGACCCACCTCTCTACCCAACCACTTCTCTACCGAACCACCTCTCTTCCAACCAACCTCTCTGGTCTGTGACCGACCCACCCCTCTGGTCTGTGACCGACCCACCCCTCTGGTCTGTGACCGACCCACCCCTCTGGTCTGTGACAGACCCACCTCTCTGGTCTGTGACCGACCCACCCCTCTGGTCTGTGACTGACCCACCTCTCTACCCAACCACCTCTCTACCGACCACCTCTCTTCCAACCAACCTCTCTGGTCTGTGACTGACCCACCTCTCTGGTCTGTGACCGACCCACCCCTCTGGTCTGTGACTGACCCACCTCTCTACCCAACCACTTCTCTACCGAACCACTTCTCTTCCAACCAACCTCTCTGGTCTGTGACCGACCCACCCCTCTGGTCTGTGACCGACCCACCCCTCTGGTCTGTGACTGACCCACCTCTCTGGTCTGTGACCGACCCACCCCTTTGGTCTGTGACTGACCCACCTCTCTACCAAACCACCTCTCTATCAAACCACCTCTCTACCGAACCACCTCTCTTCCGACCAACCTCTCTGGTCTGTGACAGACCCACCTCTCTGGTCTGTGACCGACCCACCCACCTCTCTTCCGACCCACCCCTCTGGTCTGTGACTGACCCACCTCTCTACCAAACCACCTCTCTACCAAACAACCTCTCTACCGAACCACCTCTCTTCCGACCCACCCCTCTGGTCAGTGACTGACCCACCACTCTACCCAACCACCTCTCTAACGAACCACCTCTCTTCCAACCAACCTCTCTGGTCTGTGACCGACCCACCCCTCTGGTCTGTGACTGACCCACCCCTCTGGTCTGTGACTGACCCACCTCTCTGGTTTGTGACCAACCCATCCCTCTGGTCTGTGACTGACCCACCTCTCTACCAAACCACCTCTCTACCAAACCACCTCTCTACCGACCAACCTCTCTGGTCTGTGACAGACCCACCTCTCTGGTTTGTGACCAACCCACTTCTCTGGTCTGTGACTGACCCACCTCTCTACCAAACCACCTCTCTACCAAACCACCTCTCTACCGAACCACCTCTCTTCCAACCAACCTCTCTGGTCTGTGACTGACCCACCTCTCTGGTCTGTGACCGACCCACCCCTCTGGTCTGTGACTGACCCACCCCTCTGGTCTGTGACTGACCCACCTCTCTGGTCTGTGACCGACCCACCACTCTACCCAACCACCTCTCTAACGAACCACCTCTCTTCCAACCAACCTCTCTGGTCTGTGACTGACCCACCTCTCTGGTCTGTGACTGACCCACCTCTCTACCCAACCACCTCTCTACCGAACCACCTCTCTTCCAACCAACCTCTCTGGTCTGTGACTGACCAACCTCTCTGGTCTGTGACCGACCCACCCCTCTGGTCTGTGACCGACCCACCCCTCTGGTCTGTGACTGACCCACCTCTCTGGTCTGTGACCGACCCACCCCTCTGGTCTGTGACTGACCCACCTCTCTACCCAACCACCTCTCTACCGACCACCTCTCTTCCAACCAACCTCTCTGGTCTGTGACTGACCCACCTCTCTGGTCTGTGACCGACCCATTCCCTCTGGTCGGTGACTGACCCACCTCTCTACCCAACCACTTCTCTACCGAACCACTTCTCTTCCAACCAACCTCTCTGGTCTGTGACCGACCCACCCCTCTGGTCTGTGACCGACCCACCCCTCTGGTCTGTGACTGACCCACCTCTCTGGTCTGTGACCGACCCACCCCTCTGGTCTGTGACTGACCCACCTCTCTACCAAACCACCTCTCTATCAAACCACCTCTCTATCAAACCACCTCTCTACCGAACCACCTCTCTTCCGACCAACCTCTCTGGTCTGTGACAGACCCACCTCTCTGGTCTGTGACCGACCCACCCACCTCTCTTCCGACCCACCCCTCTGGTCTGTGACTGACCCACCTCTCTACCAAACCACCTCTCTACCAAACCACCTCTCTACCGAACCACCTCTCTTCCGACCCACCCCTCTGGTCAGTGACTGACCCACCACTCTACCCAACCACCTCTCTAACGAACCACCTCTCTTCCAACCAACCTCTCTGGTCTGTGACAGACCCACCCCTCTGGTCTGTGACTGACCCACCCCTCTGGTCTGTGACTGACCCACCTCTCTGGTCTGTGACCGACCCACCCCTCTGGTCTGTGACTGACCCACCTCTCTACCCAACCACCTCTCTTCCAACCAACCTCTCTGGTCTGTGACCGACCCACCCCTCTGGTCTGTGACTGACCCACCTCTCTGGTCTGTGACCGACCCACCCCTCTGGTCTGTGACTGACCCACCTCTCTACCAAACCACCTCTCTACCAAACCACCTCTCTACCGAACCACCTCTCTTCCAACCAACCTCTCTGGTCTGTGACTGACCCACCTCTCTGGTCTGTGACCGACCCACCCACCTCTCTTCCGACCCACCCCTCTGGTCTGTGACCGACCCACCCCTCTGGTCTGTGACTGACCCACCTCTCTACCAAACCACCTCTCTACCAAACCACCTCTCTACCCAACCACCTCTCTTCCGACCCACCTCTCTGGTCTGTGACTGACCCACCTCTCTGGTCTGTGACTGACCCACCTCTCTGGTCTGTGACTGACCCACCCCTCTGGTCTGTGACTGACCCACCTCTCTGGTCTGTGACCGACCCACCACTCTACCCAACCACCTCTCTAACGAACCACCTCTCTTCCAACCAACCTCTCTGGTCTGTGACTGACCCACCTCTCTGGTCTGTGACTGACCCACCTCTCTACCAAACCACCTCTCTAACGAACCATCTCTCTTCCGACCCACCCCTCTGGTCTGTGACTGACCCACCTCTCTGGTCTGTGACCGACCCACCCCTCTGGTCTGTGACTGACCCACCTCTCTACCAAACCACCTCTCTACCGAACCACCTCTCTTCCAACCAACCTCTCTGGTCTGTGACTGACCCACCTCTCTGGTCTGTGACCGACCCACCTCTCTGGTCTGTGACTGACCCACCTCTCTACCCAACCACTTCTCTACTGACCCACCTCTCTACCCAACCACTTCTCTACCGAACCACCTCTCTTCCAACCAACCTCTCTGGTCTGTGACGGACCCACCTCTCTGGTCTGTGACCGACCCACCCCTCTGGTCTGTGACTGACCCACCTCTCTACCAAACCACCTCTCTATCAAACCACCTCTCTACCTGAACCACCTCTCTTCCGACCAACCTCTCTGGTCTGTGACTGACCCATCTCTCTGGTCTGTGACCGACCCACCCACCTCTCTTCCGACCCACCCCTCTGGTCTGTGACTGACCCACCTCTCTACCAAACCACCTCTCTACCAAACCACCTCTCTACCGAACCACCTCTCTTCCGACCCACCCCTCTGGTCAGTGACTGACCCACCACTCTACCCAACCACCTCTCTAACGAACCACCTCTCTTCCAACCAACCTCTCTGGTCTGTGACCGACCCACCCCTCTGGTCTGTGACTGACCCACCCCTCTGGTCTGTGACTGACCCACCTCTCTGGTCTGTGACCGACCCACCCCTCTGGTCTGTGACTGACCCACCTCTCTACCCAACCACCTCTCTACCAAACCACCTCTCTTCCAACCAACCTCTCTGGTCTGTGACCGACCCACCCCTCTGGTCTGTGACTGACCCACCTCTCTGGTCTGTGACCGACCCACCCCTCTGGTCTGTGACTGACCCACCCCTCTACCAAACCACCTCTCTACCAAACCACCTCTCTACCGAACCACCTCTCTTCCGACCAACCTCTCTGGTCTGTGACTGACCCACCTCTCTGGTCTGTGACCGACCCACCCACCTCTCTTCCGACCCACCCCTCTGGTCTGTGACCGACCCGACCCTCTGGTCTGTGACTGACCCACCTCTCTACCAAACCACCTCTCTACCAAACCACCTCTCTACCGAACCACCTCTCTTCCGACCCACCCCTCTGGTCTGTGACTGACCCACCTCTCTACCAAACCACCTCTCTACCAAACCACCTCTCTACCAAACCACCTCTCTACCCAACCACCTCTCTTCCGACCCACCTCTCTGGTCTGTGACTGACCCACCTCTCTGGTCTGTGACTGACCCACCCCTCTGGTCTGTGACTGACCCACCTCTCTGGTCTGTGACCGACCCACCACTCTACCCAACCACCTCTCTAACGAACCACCTCTCTTCCAACCAACCTCTCTGGTCTGTGACTGACCCACCTCTCTGGTCTGTGACTGACCCACCTCTCTACCAAACCACCTCTCTAACGAACCACCTCTCTTCCGACCCACCTCTCTGGTCTGTGACCGACCCACCCCTCTGGTCTGTGACCGACCCACCACTCTACCCAACCACCTCTCTAACGAACCACCTCTCTTCCATCCCACCTCTCTGGTCTGTGACTGACCCACCCCTCTGGTCTGTGACTGACCCACCACTCTACCGAACCACCTCTCTACCGAACCACCTCTCTTCCGACCCACCTCTCTGGTCTGTGACCTTGGCCTCCATCTTGTTGGCGGAGCTGCCGACCACAGCTGGGTATATGATGAGGTGTGGGGCATCCTGGGCCACCCGACACAGCAGATCAGACACACTCTGTCTCACATAGCCTTCTGGATGGCTCAGTCGGGAAAACAACTGGGGGATTATTCCTGAAGAGAGTAGGTAATACATTACAAACTATCTCAATGGCTATATGTTGTGATGTACCCTGTGTGTGAGCCTATGTACTCCAAGCCGACATCACACCATATGCCCCAAGAGAACAGTTGACAAAATCTTTATCTCACCAACATTCATGCATACAGAGCTGGAATATATGTTCAAAGTCTTATTTTTATTATTTAAATTCGGATTCGTCCTGATATCATTTACCGCTGCTAATATAGTTTAGCAAGGTTTCATTGCTATTCCATTATTGCTATGACAACACATGCCTATGTTGAAGCAAACCGCCTACCCTTCCATGGCGTTGTGGGGGTCTGTGCCAGGCCACTTTCCAGCACATTTCTCAGCTCCCATGCGTGTTTCACCAGCAGACGAAGCAGCCGCAGAGTGGAGATGATGTTGCAATCAGCATTGTCGGTTTCTTCGTTCTGCAGCAATAGTTGTTTCCACACATACATAAATGATAACATTTACGTCAATTCGTAAGTATCCTCACCCATTCAATTATTAACATTCCCCACATGCTAATCAACATTTCCCAAAACAAATAACTAGACAGAACAATGTCAGACATGACTGTAAAGAGGCTGCAGAGCTGTCTGTAAAAAGCAGTGTTTGTAAAGATGCTGTGGCTTCACACATTGTACCCATGTTGGGAATCAACCCCGGGGCTATGACGTGGCGAGCGAAAGCTTTAACCCCAAGGCTACCCGAACGCCCCATATGAACACTGCAGCCGGTCTGTAAAGCCATATTCACTACCCATTCTGATTGACTTACAACTCCATTGAGATGCAGGTACGTGAAGTAGGCCTTGGCGGACAGCTTGTAGTAGTGATACACTCTCTGCACCACTCCCTGCCACACCGCCAACAACTGCTCGATACACTCCTCACTCGCCATCTGCAGCGATGTGGATGTTGCTAGCAGCTGCTTCCTCGTCGTCTCGGTGCCATCATCGTAGAGACTCTGCAGGGGAAGAACACAAGCATGACTCTTGACTGTAACTGTGTAGATGTCCTGGGGCAAGGAAATTATTCAGTATCTCTGCTGCAGTTAATTTTCCCATAGTGTGTGGCCTACAAGAATGTTGTCTGAATTTCCATACTTTGCCAAAATTTGGAAATTATTGTACAAGATACACGCATCAATATGTGCATCCCACTGACCTAAATTGCTATTAAACAACGCTGACATTGTCTACAACATACACCTGTCAATGTGTGCGAGGTACATGCTCCCAATGACCTACATGTCTATTATACAACGCTGATATTGTCTACAAGATACACACATCAACGTGTGCGAGGTACATGCTCCCACTGACCTACATGTCTATTATACAACGCTGATATTGTCTACAAGATACACATGTGTAAACGTGTGCGAGGTACATGCTCCCACTGACCTACATGTCTATTAAACAACGCCGATATTGTCTACAAGATACACATGTGTAAACGTGTGCGAGGTACATGCTCCCAATGACCTACATGTCTATTAAACAACGCTGATATTGTCTACAAGATACACACATCAATGTGTGCGAGGTACATGCTCCCACTGACCTACATGTCTATTAAACAACGCTGATATTGTCTACAAGATACACCTGTCAACGTGTGCGAGGTACATGCTGCCACTGACCTACATCGCTATTATACAACGCTGATATTGTCTACAAGATACACCTGTCAACGTGTGCGAGGTACATGCTCCCACTGACCTACATCGCTATTATACAACGCTGATATTGTCTACAAGATACACACGTCAACGTGTGCGAGGTACATGCTCCCACTGACCTACATCGCTATTAAACAGTGCTGACATTGTCTACAAGATACACACGTCAACGTGTGCGAGGTACATGCTCCCACTGACCTACATCGCTATTATACAACGCTGATATTGTCTACAAGATACACACGTCAACGTGTGCGAGGTACATGCTCCCACTGACCTACATCGCTATTATACAACGCTGATATTGTCTACAAGATACACACGTCAACGTGTGCGAGGTACATGCTCCCACTGACCTACATCGCTATTATACAACGCTGATATTGTCTACAAGATACACACGTCAACGTGTGCGAGGTACATGCTCCCACTGACCTACATCGCTATTATACAACGCTGATATTGTCTACAAGATACACACGTCACCGTGTGCGAGGTACATGCTCCCACTGACCTACATCGCTATTATACAACGCTGATATTGTCTACAAGATACACACGTCACCGTGTGCGAGGTACATGCTCCCACTGACCTGGTCCTGGTCACTAATGTCCTCCTCACTGGACAGCGGACTGTGGATCTGGCTCAACACGCCCAGCACCCTCTCTGTCTCCTCGCTGCTTGTACCCTGCAGCACACAAACACAGTCCATATATACCACCAGTTTAACATTTATACTGTCATAAAAATTTGCTTATTTTTGTGTAATTCAATATCTGCATTGCAAAGTTGTTGCACATTTACTGGTATAGCCGACAGCTGATATGTTACCTTGGGGATGATTGATAAAATCTGTCCTTTTTCTTCAGTTGACAGCTCCACACTCCCATGGCTGGAACAGAGGCACCAGTGTTGAACAAACAAATGTTGCAAATCAGTTGGTACAGAAAATGAATGAGGATTGACTCTGACTGACACTTCCAACAATATCGCAGTATATGACTATGGAAACCAAGGACAAGTTACTGACTTTCAGCGTTCAAATTCCTGTATCTTACCTGGCATTGTCTACTGCCTTCCTCCCCCATTTGTAGCACCACCCAGCCAGGGTGAACCAGGACTTGGCCAGTTTGGGAGATTCCATTGCACAGAGGTGGAGCAGGCGACCAATGATACTGTCACTGTCAGACAGGATGGGGTTGTCGCCAATCTTCAGAACTAAACATAGAACAGACAAAACATTAGCATTAATTTCCTTTAAACTAATAAATTTTATCTGTACATCTTCAATCATTTCACAATACAATCAAACTTTTATATACTGTAATCCCACAACAATCAAACAGAAACAATTTTTCATCTTTAAGGATACAGCTGTGAAGAAATAATCAAACACTCGAGCTCCTCACAGCGATATCCCGTTTGTGGAGCTATACTATCGCTGCCACCAGTCAAAACTCCCCAGTGACAGATGACCACAACCATGCCTGGAGTTGATCTTGCAACCGAATGACCATTATGTTTACAAACAAGTGACAACTGCTGTGTTGCCGAATACACACATCCTGGCTTAATTACTTTCTTTGTTTTTCAGTTTGAATTTCTATTTCATTACAACTATCATGTAATTGATATGGTAAGAAAGTAAGGGAGAAATTGGGTGATTTTCCGTTAGTCTGCAATCTCGAACCAATCTGATTATACAACAAAGTAAATTCATCTGGAAATCATCGTCAGTCGTAAACCTTTTCAAAATGAACTACGATGGCATTCCTAAAGACATAAACAAAAGTATGAATGTTACTACATTTGGGGTTAGGGGGCAAATTTCAGATTCTTGTATTGGCCGGGCCCACACTGATGGCTCTATGTGGCCGAGAGTGTAACGATGGTGTCAGGCGCTAGGAAGGAGCTTGAGAAACACTATTCCAAGGGAGATAATTCCCCCAGCCCCACAACTGCAGACCACTAGTTACCTTGTTCCTGGTCCTCCATAGCAAGGCTGAGTCCCAGTCTCTTCTTTGCTCCCTTCTCTTCCATCTCCATCAACAGCTTGATGTTCCTCACCGTGTGGGACGACGTGCCACTGCCGTCTCCCTGTCCACTCAGCTTGACCTGCGCCGCCACCGACCCCAGCAGTTTCTGGTCCCCCTGCATCCACTTGACCAGGGTCACCAGCGACCTGGAACACAGCTCTGCACAGCTGCCCACGACGGGCTTCTTCTGAGCCGTGTCGCCCAGGAGGATGTTCCCCATGATGCTGCTGCTCATCACCTCGATGGCATCCTTGGGCTGGCTGATGCTGTGGAGCAGCTTAGCGCTCTCTCGCTCCACCTTCATCACCTCCATCTGGTTAAGGCTGCCATTGCAAGAGCGCAGACTGGCCAGAGCAGGGACCAGGTCGTTCGGGAAGGTAATGCGGCCGTTCTCGTTGCTGTTCCTCATGAGGGTGATGACTTGTCTCACCAGCAAGTCCTCAGCCAGCTCGTAGCTGTGTTGTTTGCGGGACAGAGACGACGCTGCCAGGAGAGTGCGAGACAGCTGGTTCTTTAACTCTGCAACATCATGATATAGGCGTAATGATCCCCTAATAGCAGTACTGCAGCATTTAACATAGCAGAAAGAGGCATCACAAGTTGTACACTTCACGAACTTGGGTCTCTGATGTCACAAGAACACACTAGTCTATTACAAAGTCCATAGTTATATTGTGAAAGGCACTTAAATACATTTCAGTATGATGACGGTATTAATGTTTAACTCTTTAAAAAAGGAAGGGAATGGAATTTTACGACAGTATCCAACCTGGATGACATCATATTGATTTATTCTCAACAATGAAGTAATATGACATTATATAAGACAGCTACGTGATAAATCGCTAACAACAATGAAGAACAAAGCATGCTTTATTTCACGATAAAACCTTGCTCTATCATAAAGGCATTTCAGGAGAATCAAATATGTGCTAGCAATTTGATGATGTCGTAAATTGGACAACATTATATTTGAGAGGGAAGTGTTGAGCGAGGTATCCCCATAGATGTAGCTGGGCTACGCAGATAAATGCAGTGGCCGAAAAACCGCACTCAAAAGTGGGAGAGATATGTCAATTGGTATGAGGAGAAAAGGTACAGATAATCGACGTGAGGATTGTGAGAATGTGCGGGAAATACCAAACTTAACCCACATGTTAATGAAATGGACTTGTCCGACAATGCAGAGGTTGGATTCTATTCAACCATCATTAGGGAGTCATCATTATTAAAATTTAGGCAATATTCAAAAAGCTTGCACATTTAATCTACATCTTTAAAGAGGCTGTGCCCCTCATGGTTTATTCTCCCTGTAGTATTTTATTTTCACCTGGCTTGCGGTCACATCCCGGCAGAAGCAGCTGGAGGTTGAGCAGTCTCAGGGTCTGCATGTACGTCCCCAGCTCCTGGCTGTCTGGCTCCACCAGCAGCTGCTCCGACAGCGACAACAGTGACGTCTGGGACAACAACACCAATCAGTGACAAACTACCCTGCTACAAGATATATACAGTCACTCTACCCTAGAACATTATCAGTGACAAACTACCCTGCTACAAGATATATACAGTCACTCTACCATAGAACATGATCAGTGACAAACTACCCTGCTACAAGATATATACAGTCACTCTACCATAGAACATTATCAGTGACAAACTACCACTGCAACAAGAGACCATGGTCACGCTACCCTAGAACATTATCAGTGACAAACTACCACTGCAACAAGAGATGCATGGTCACGCTACCCTAGAACATTATCAGTGCAATACTGTCCCACGGTAGACCATAAAAGTAATGACAGCAACTGTTTACTGAAATCTGGCACCGATCCTTAAAGAGAACAGAAGAATGTGAACACACCGCTGACAAACACACACACAACATCTGTGCTGCCACAGGTAGAGACATAGACCTGAGGCCGTACCTTCACTCTCTTCTCATCCAGCTGTTTCCGCAGCATGGACACTGTGTTCAGTTCATTGAGCACCTGTCCAGACAGGGTCGGAGGCCAGTCCATTGCCTTGATTCTCAACAACCCCTCCCCACACCGCTCCGCCTGGCTCAGGCACTTCTGGATGTCGGTCCTATAAATACATACAACTCAAATGTTGGCAAAGTGACACACAGTTTACACAAAATTGTTACCTGTGAACTCAAACACTGAACAATGTATCAAGGACTGCAATGTCTCGGATGTAGAACACTAATCTGTCTCAATGTGAAGGATGGAGCATTTAGTGGAAGAGGTACTGTGTGCGGGGAAAGAAGACATTGCAAACTCTGCAAATCAAGGATAAAACACAGCTGATTCCCAGCAATGATGTTTTGACTGATGAGTTATCAAGAAAACCTTAAAAAGGAAACCAACAATGCTCTTACATGGATGTATATGTTAACTGTTATGTTATTGCCTATGAGGCAAGTTCTCAAAACGAAAATCCAAATGTGTACCCGATGCCAACTTTCATTTATATATTTTTGCTATACCAGTCTACAGTGAGTTAGGAATAGAGTCTGTTTTTGGTTATGTTAACATTACATGGGCAGTGATTTCAAATGTTAGCTAATATCCCAAGTCAGCATGCTGCTACTTCTAGCGCCCCCACCTGTGGTTTGTTTGCTTGTGTTCCTGCAGGAGTGTTGCAGCCTTGATGAACTGGGAGTGGATATTCTCCAGCTCTGTGCGTGGGTTCCACGTCAAGCCTCCTGCCTCCGACTTGCTCATCTCGGACAAGGAAGCCCCTGGCACCAGCTCCAGGCTCTCCCGAACACCACTCAGGTTCCCACTGTCAAAGTGGGACAGTGCTCTGGGGAAACAATGCATTCAAAATATCAACATACAATCTACCTGGAGAGCTTGAGTAGCCGCTTAGTTCAATCAAAGATCTTGTCAATCAATTGTTCCAAATTAGGAAAGAATATGGATGGAATATTATCGTAGCTTGTCAACCACACCACATAAGAATATGTTCCTTTATTATTGTCTAAAATTTTATTTCAGAAATTAATTTCAATTTATGATAAAATAAGCTTTCCTGTATGAATTTAGATATTTGAAGATCTATTTGAGGCCTCCTACTTGATGTAGTTGATGTCATAGTTGGAGTTGAAGGCCGTCTGTACGGTGCTGAGAGTGTTCTCGGAGCGGTACTTCTGTACAGACTCCTGCCACTCAAGCACCGCATCCCAGTCACTCAGCTGAATGTAGCAGTCCATCACCTAGGGAGACAAGCACTGCATCATCACAACACTTCATATGGACATATTTAGGCCACAGTCAGCCATATCACGTCAGTCTGGAATAATCAAGTCTGGGTATGAAAAAAAAGTGGTCGACATCATGAACAAGCCACTTAGCTGGGTGGGGTGAGGTGAAATGGGGCTTAACGTCCAAGATTATTGCACTTACATAGCGATGTGCATGCATGTGTGTATGTGTGCGTAGTCTGGACTGATGATGATTTTAATACCATGAAATACCAAGCCGCAGTGAACATGAATACCCTACTGAGATACAGTATACTGAGTCCCGAGCCGACCAGTCCTTGTTTTAGCGCCTTAATGCCAAGCGCCAGGCAGTGTAACAAGGAGTACCATCTTTTAACGTCTTTTGGTATGACGAGGCAGGGGATAAAACCCTGACCTACCTCTCTCCGGGCGGACGTTCTACCAATAGACCACAGAGGCATTCCCACAATGCTGGGACAGGATAACACAATCAGCCAGGTCATACACTGTAACCATCCAATCCTCACTACTGTGGACTCAAAGAATCTCCAGCAGTGGAGTCAGTGCTTGTACTAGTGCTGGTTTTATAATACTAACCTGGCCCACGGAGATACCATGTCGCAGCCTTAAATGGAAACTCCTGTCTGAGAGTCTACAGACTCCAGCTGATGCAGAGCACTGGGCAGGATAACAACAAGTACCACCAACCTTCCTATCTCAGGGGATTCTGGGGATCTTCTTATCCTTAATGCGAAATTCCAGCATTTTTATTTTACTACAGCTGTGATGATGAGTAAGCTTTCAACTACAATATTGTAAGGGCATGAGCACTGTAACACACATGATTCAGCTTTTCCTGTTGGGAAGGAATCATGGGAGTAAAACACAAAAACAACTAGAGCTACCTTACAGCTCCGAAACAAATGCTGAGTTGAAACTGACCTCGTTCACCATGAAGTTGACAGTGCCAGGGTTCTTCTCTGGCTGCTTGCTCAGGATCATCTTGTGAAGAGGTTTGTTTTCACTGCCAGGTCTTGGACTCCCCTCCGGGGACGAACTCGATGACCTCCCTTTGCTGTCGTCATCACTCTCCACTGACATGGTATTCTTCAGCATCGACTTGAACTCCCTCGCTGCAGCCTCATACCTGGGGGGAGGGAAAGTCCAACATATCACAGTGACAATAATGAAGACATATCACTCTTGACTTGTGATCCATGCATGTGGCCAATTCAATGAAATCAGTGTCCTGAATGAAGGGGAATGCTGGGGTCCAGTTTGGGTCCAGTTTGTATCTGCTTGTGTGCTGCCCCGTGTGTGTATGTGTGTATGTGTGCTGCCCCGTGTGTGTATGTGTGCTGTCCCGTGTGTGTATGTGTGCTGCCCCGTGTGTGTATGTGTGATGCCCCGTGTGTGTATGTGTGATGCCCCGTGTGTGTATTTGTGCTGCCCCGTGTGTGTATGTGTGCTGCCCCGTGTGTGTATGTGTGCTGCCCCGTGTGTGTATGTGTGCTGCCCCGTGTGTGTATGTGTGATGCCCCGTGTGTGTATGTGTGATGCCCCGTGTGTGTATGTGTGCTGCCCCGTGTGTGTATGTGTGCTGCCCCGTGTGTGTATGTGTGCTGCCCCGTGTGTGTATGTGTGCTGCCCCGTGTGTGTATGTGTGCTGCCCTGTGTGTGTATGTGTGATGCCCCGTGTGTGTATGAGTGCTGCCCCGTGTGTGTATGTGTGCTGTCCCGTGTGTGTATGTGTGATGCCCCGTGTGTGTATGTGTGATGCCTGGTCAGAATCTGTTGATCTGTCTAATGATTACAAAAGCAAGGGATGTTGCTCTTAATACCAAGCACTGTTTTGTCTGGTCCAGATTTGATGATAAACAGGTCACCATCACATAGCTGGAATACTGCTGAGTGCAGCCTAAAGAACAAGGAGAACAATTGCTAAAATAATGTGAGATACCTTCTCTCTGCTTTCTCTGCTACTGCCTTGATCCAGGAGAACTTGCGTCCAGCGACATCCCGACACCAGTTGTACACCCCCATCACACACTCCGGACTGCGGAGGTCACACAGTGCCTGAGTCAGGTACACCACACCCTGCTCAAACTCGGGAACCTGCAGACAGGTCACACACTGTTACACACTGTTACACACTGTTACACATCTGAGTACACTTGAGTACAATCTATTACAACTCAAAGTGCCATATACTTCTTTTATCCAGTTAATGCTGAGCACAAGCCAAGGTAACAACAACTACCATCTTTTTTGGTATAATGCAGCCCGATTTTCAAACCACTGACCCGCTGTAAGGGCATGTGCTCTATCCACTAGACCACGGAGATGGTTTCAAACAGTCTTACTCAATTGTATGTACGATAACAAGGATGGCACATTAAATCTGAATACATTTTGACTTATCAAAAGCTAAAAGTAACACATGAAAACATCTGGATTACTTACATTGGTATTGTCCGCATCAACCATGTCTTTGAGAAGTTCATAAGCATGCCGTGCTGCGGCTGCAGACATCCCAGCATGCACTGCCATCTTGATGATGCACACTCGGATACGTGCGATCCATTCCTGGCAAGTGTTCCGATTGGTGCGGAAAAATGTCCTCACAGTCTGAAGAGCATATGAAATTTGCACAAGTAATAATGAAAGGGATCTATCAATGAAATCCTTCACATTAATTTACTCCAAGCCAAACAATTTTTCACTGAACGTTAAATGTTCTTGCAGTTAGTTCTGAAGTCTTCTTGTCACCTTGTCTATGTTATGAGCATCGACTGCCCTCTAAGTTTCTCTGTACTGCAATCATGATCACCCCGATCCTTCACCATGTCCCTGTCCTGTCCATGCAGAGACAGGGCAAGTGGCATTCTACTTAATACGGGCACTTAACTTAATGGTGGCACTTAACTTAATGTTGACACTAAACATAATGGTGGCATTTTACTTAATAGGGGCACTTAACTTATTAGTGGCCTTAAACTTAATGGTGGCACTTAACTCATTGTTGACACTATACTTAATGGGAGCACTTATCTTAATGGTGAAACTCAACTTCATGGTGACACTTGTCTTAATGGTGAAACTGAACTTAATTGAGACAATTATTGTTGACACTTAACTTAATGGAGGCACTTGCTTCCCGTTGACACTTAACTTACTGTTGACACTTTACTTAATAGTGAAACTAAACCTAATAGTGGCACTAAACTTAATGGAGGCACATAACTTACTGTTGACACTTAACTTAATGGTGGCACTTAACTTAACTTACTGTTGACACTTAGCTTACTGTGGACACTTTACTTAATAGTGAAACTAAACCAAATAGTGGCACTAAACTTAATGGAGGCACATAACTTACTGTTGACACTTTACTTAATTGAGGCACTTAACTTACTGTTGACACTTAACTTAATGGTGGCACTTAACTTATTTTTGACACTTAACGTAATGGAGGCACATAACTTAATGGAGGCACATAACTTAATAACCCTACCATACTGGCCCCACAATACTGTCCCTACAAAACTGCCCCTACACTACTGTCCCTACACTACTGCCCCTACACTACTGTCCCTACACTACGGTCCCTACACTACTGCCCCTACGCTACTGCCCCTACGCTACTGCCCCTACACTACTGCCCCTACAATACTGTCCATTCAATACTGCCCCTACACTACTGCCCCTAAACTAGTCCATTCAATACTGCCCCCACAATACTGTCCCCACAATACTGCCCCTACACTACTGTCCCTACACTACTGCCCATTCAATACTGCCCCTACACTACTGCCCCTACACTACTGTCCCTACACTACTGCCCCTACAATACTGTCCCTACACTACTGCCCCTACACTACTGCTCCTACACTACTGTCCCTACAATACTGCCCCTACACTACTGCCCCTACACTACTGCCCCAACACTACTGTCCATTCAATACTGCCCCTACACTACTGCCCCTACACTACTGTCCCTAAACTACTGTCCCCGAAATACTGCCCCTACACTACTGCCCCTACAATACTGTCCCTACAATACTGCCCCTACACTACTGTCCATTCAATACTGCCCCTACACACTGTCCCTACAATACTGCCCCTACACTACTGTCCCTACACTACTGCCCCTACACTACTGTCCCTACACTACTGCCCCTACACTACTGCCCCTACACTACTGCCCCTACACTACTGTCCCTACAATACTGTCCCTACACTACTGCCCCTACAATACTGTCCCTACACTACTGCCCCTACACTACTACCCCTACATTCTTGTCCCTACACTAGTGTCCCTACAATACTGCCACTACAATACTGTCCCTACACTAGTGTCCCTACAATACTGCCCAAACATAAGCAAGGACAAAAATAGAAACTCCTTCTTTCTCATGAAGGCCTCACTTACCTTGGGAGGTGTTGGCATGGCAACAGCGCATCCCTCGTAGGCGTTGTAGAGGAGCTTCTCTAGATGCTCCATAAACTGCAGCAGCAGGTGGACTCGCAGGAGGCTGGTGTACTCCCCTGGACGCTCACCTGAAAAACACAGCAGTGTCAGAACCTTACTCCGGACTCACCCTCCTGAAACACACAGCAGTGTCAGGCCCGTACTCCAGACTCACCCTCCCTAATTAGCACTGGGGCTGGTGGCCAATGCTGACCATCACAACATGGGCAATTAGGATTCCCCCTGATCTGCTAGCCGTACATAGCAAAGCTGACAATTAAGACGATACTTGTTTATGTCAACACTGATAACATGGACTATGTGATGTGCAATTTTGTAGAATTTTCCTATTCGGAATATTCTATAAGTAATACGTTACCACTGTTATACCGAGGCTGTTGTCTCCCACAACTGCTGCTATAGCGAAATCTACCACAGAGATCTCAATTACCTCATGCAGCACGTGCGTAGCCACCTAGCTGCCATGTGACACCCTTCACTCTTGTCTCCTGCGAGAGCAAGTGCTCGGGGGACGGACGGGCGGGCAGCAGCCCAGTGGTAACGTATTACTTATAGAATATTCCGAATAGGAAAATTCTACAAATTACATTAAGTAATACGTTACCACTGTTATACCGAGGCTGACTACCACAGTAGGCGGTGGGGAGCACCTACAACCCGAATCCTGACTGCTAGCGTTCCTTCCGACCAGCGGAAGTAAACACCAAGGCGGAAGCACTCGATGCGCATGCACCTAGCTAGGCGTTACCCTATAGGAATACCAAAGCACTGTCAAGCGCATACCGTAAGGCTCAATCGTCATTGCCAAAACGATTGGTGACTCCAAACAGCCCCACTGGATAGGTATTTCATCGCCGCAGCGGATGAGAACACTGTATCCGCGTGAGCTTAATCTTAGATCAGGTTAAACAGTCGAAAAGAGGGAAATTAATTTCATTCAGACCGTATATCCCAGAGCAAGCCTACTTAAAGTATGCATTAGGCGCGTGACCTAATTCCAGTATTTGTAAGCATGCATCACAAGGTTGGGATACACGACAGACAATTAAAGACATAATTGTCAAAATACAAATAAGGACAAAGCACACAAAAAGCCGCCCTCACCTGTGGTGTGAGTGCGCTGGTTTGCGGGACCCCAACTCCTGTACCCACGGCAGTGGGAACATTGGAGTCGACCCAGATTGACCACCGTGCAAGGTCAGACGCCTGAGGAGTTCGGAATTGCGCTGGGCACACCCCTTAGGTGCCCGCTTGCGCCGCGATCCGCGGGCCAAGACGGTGCACACTCTCCACGACGGCATCAGCGACCTGTTTGAGGTAATGATTGGCAAAAACCGAGTCAGAACGCCAGTAACAACCTCGTAATATTCTGCGAACAGAGATATTCGAGTGTAGGGCAATTGTTGCCGCTAGCGCCCTGATCTCGTGCGGGTTTGACCCCGCTACCGGTAACCCCCGAAACCGGTACGCCAGATTGATGACAGAACGAAGCCACAACGCAACCGAGTTGCGAGTTATGTCAACCGTGTGATTAGGGTTACACGATATGAACAGACGGTCACGCCCTTGTCTACGTTCATTCGAAACCTTAAGATAATACTTAAGGGCCCTAACCGGACACAGCGCTCTGTCCACAGTATCAGCAGGATGTAAGATTTCTTTGAGTGATCTTACAGTGAATTCTCTCTCCGTTTGCCCGACTCTCTGATTCTTGGCGACGAAGCCCATGAGCAGGCCCAGGTGGACCGCTCCTTCGTCACCCCTATCGAATCGTACCTTGGCGACATCGAGTGCATGAATTTCGGATACACGTGCCGCCGTGGCAAAGGAGAGGAGAAATGCTGTTTTCCAAGTCACATGCCGGAACGAAGCACTATGCAAGGGTTCATACGGAGCTTCCGTAAGTGATTGCAACACTAGGGAAAGATCCCAGGCCGGTGCCCGAAGGCGGCCCTTCTTAAGATCGTGCTGTTTGAAACCCTTGATAATACCCCGTATCACCGGCTCTTTGGAGAGACTGGTACCCATAGCAACGCCCCGTACCGTAGCAACGGACGAGACATAGTTGGCAATGGAAACCCCCGGAGAGTTTCCGGGTCTCTCGCAAGTGAGACATGAAACGAGCAATATCCTGCACAGATACCTTATCTGGCGAATGAATGTGATGTTTACAACACCACTTCGTGAAAAGAACCCAACGTGCATTATACACCTTCTGGGTAGAATCACGATGCATACTAACGTATGCCCGAGACGCCCGGCGAGAAAAAACTTTACTCCTCAGACGCTCGGTGACAACATCCACGCGTGCAGATTGAACTGCCCTGCGTTTGGATGAAGCTGACGGGTGTGAGGGTGGATCAAGAGATCCGGTCTCACAGGCAGTGGAAGTGGCGACTGCGTGACCTGGGTCAGCAAGTCGGGGTACCACGATCAGTTCGGCCACATGGGCGCGATCAGTAACATTCGACAGCGAACTCCTCGGAGCCGGCTAAGAATGTGTGGTATCAACGCTGTCGGCGGGTAAGCATAAGCGTCCAAGCCCGTCCAGTCTAACGCGAGAGCATCGTGATCGATGGCCCTCGGGTCCGGGACTGGTGATACAAACAACGGGAGTTGATTGTTGAACCGCGTTGCGAACAGGTCGACCATCGGACGACCCAAACGTTCGCACAGCCACTGAAACACTACTGGGTTCAGCATCCACTCTGTGGGGCTCGGATCCTGAGGCCTCGATAGAGCATCGGCCAGTACGTTCCGCACACCTGGGATGTGACGGGCGCGTATCTGGCACGGGACACTGTCCACCAGAGCGTAAAACTCGAACGTGAGATCGAGTAGCGAGTGACTGTGGGTTCCCCCCAGTTTGTTCACATAGGACACTACCGTCGTGTTGTCGGTCGCCAGCATGAGCCGGTCGTCGACGAGACGATGCTGCCAGTGATTGACTGCGTTGATCACTGCCTTGAACTCGAGACAAGTGATGTGAAGACCTAGTTCGTCTACGCACCACAGCCCCGAGCTCACCTCCCCCTTTAGATGGGCGCCCCAGCCCACTAGAGAGGCGTCTGTATACAGGGTCAACGTGGCCCGGTAGGGCCGCATAGAGACTCCTGATAAGACAATGTAAGGGACCGTCCACCACTCCAGATGCGGTCGGAGCCGATCCGGGAGGGCGACGGTCGCACTGTTCACCTCCGTTGCTAACAACTGGATTAAAAACCGTTGCAGCGGGCGCAGTTGGAGACGACCCCGTTCGGTGCAGTCCTGGGCTGATACAAGTAGCCCTAACAGCTGTTCCCAAAAGTGAACAGTCTGTTGCACCGCTAAGACTTTGGCAATCATCGCCTGAATTTTGTGCCACCGGTTTGGGGGGACAAAGAGGCGATGGGACACCGTGTTGAACCGACCTCCGATGAACAGCAAGTTCTGAGAAGGGGTTAACTCGCTCTTGGGGAGATTGATAATCCACCCAAATTGCTCCAAGAGCCGACGTGCGAAAACGAGATGGCGTGACAGGGTGTCCGTCATTCGATTTGCTACTAGCGAGTCGTCCAGGTACGCGAAGTACCGGACACCCCTCCTGTGGAGGAACCCCACTATGGGGGTGGTTAACCGGGTGAACAGCCAGGGAGCGGACGTGTGAATCATTCTGAGTTCGGCACTGTCCTACATGGGAACGAGAAATATCCTGGAGTAAAACCCCGGTGTTATTTCTGGTAGAGCTAACTCCCGTACTGCCCCTTCTCCACCAACCTGCCGATGGCATCGGCGAGGATGGGAAGATCGGTTTCCGAATCGAAACCTGCCAACGGGGCAACGGTGAGCGGCGGATTTGCTTTGAGATCAAGCCGATAGCCGTACCGAATCGCGTTGACCACCCACGGGTCGTCGAACACTTGTTCCCAATTCTCCCAGTAAGTCTGGAGTCTGGCTCCCACTGGGGAAGGAGAGGGGGCCCTGACAGGTTGCGGCAGGCGCAACTGTCCAGGGCCAAGTGACTCGGGTTCGCCTAAGGGCCAACCGAAGTTGGCGCTGTCGGCATACGAACCCATCCAATGAGAGTCACCTGGAGGGGCCCTTGCCGTCCGTCGACGACTTGGGCTTCCCCCAGTTCCCCGTCTTCCCGCGAAAGGGCAGCTGATTGCCCATACCGGAGCCCTCAGGGCGGGGCTACTTCCCAGAGGAAGAAGAACCCGACCCCTTAGACCTACCGGCCGCAGCAGCCTGGGGCGCGCTCCGGTTAGGAGCGGCACCCAGGCGCCTATGCAGGGACCCAACAAGAGCAAGTGTGTGCCGAGAGTCCTCGGCAACGTACTCCAGGGAAGCATTTAAACTGAGCAGGCAGTTGTAAATGCGCTGGTCACGGTCCGTGGGAGAACCTTCGACCAGACGGGCCGCTGCAGCCAAGTAAGTGTCTCCGTGAGACATGGAGTGCCGAGCGAGGGCGTCCAGCTGGTGCAAGGTAGCTTGCGTTACCGTAGCAGCCGGTGGGGCACGGACACCCAACCGCTCAACATGGGCCTCCGCGGTAGGACCAGCCTCGGGAAAGGCAAGGTCATGTACCGGGAATAAACCCTTTCTCCACGACGTCGGAGGCAACGGGAGACCCCGACCGGAGGCCGCCGCGAAGGCGTTCTCCAAGGAAGGCTTGAAACCGCGCAGCAAGGTTGATGCGGGGAAAGCCGTGTCGGAAGACTCATCGTATACCTCGGAGGAACCCACAGTCGTGGATTCCCCGCGGTACCGGCCGGGGCATGTCCTCAAAGAGGTCATAAACCATGGCCACGCGGTCCTAAACCGATAGCGGGAGCAACGGTTCGGGGGAAGGACCGGTGACCACGGGAGCCGCCGCCGTACCGGTGGACCCCGCGTCCGACCCCGCGGCCACCGAAGTGGCCGGGGACGGAACAGCCAGCGGCCTATCCTGAGATAAGGCCGCCAGCTTGGAGTCCACAAGTTATGCAAGTAATGCAGCGACGGAATCCCCGGACAGCACACGGGCCGCCAAGAGATCCGCCGCTTTACCGGTGGACCCCGCGTCCGACCCCGCGGCCACCGAAGAGCCCGGGGTACGGAACAGCCAGCGGCCTATCTTGCGATAAGGCCGCCAGCTTGGAGACCACAAGTTTCGACAACAATGCGGCGACGGAATCCCCAGACAGCCCGAGGGCCGCAAGGGGATCCGCCGCAGCCGAGGAGGTGGTACCCGCACGGGGACCCCGACCGGACGAACCGGCCACCACAGGGGTGGAGACGGACTGTACGTACAGCCGGTACCGCTCAAACTCCGCAGGCCCCAGACCTTCGCACAGGATGCACCGGGTGTCCCTGCAAGGAACCCTGCACCGCGGGCAACGATCGTGGGGATCCCGGGACGACAAAAACTTTCTGCACACCCCACAACTCCGAGGAGCAGGGGTAGAGGGGGTGGATACTGGGGACATATCCATGTCAGACATTGATTGTTTGCTATAAACAAAGAACAAAACATGGTTACAACGCACGCACCACAATGATTCACAAACGAACATTTTCACAAGAAAATAAACGAGCAATGTGAACATATAACATACACATATAACTTTTATTAAAGAAATAAGTGATGTTAACCCCCAAAACATACAAGAACAGGGGAAACGTAAAACACAACGTGCATACGCGAACCCCGCAAGTATATAGAAAAAAGGGCGGGAAAAATTTTCCGTTTGGCGGGAAAATTATAACCAAGCGTAGCTACCGCAACGCCCCATAAAAGCACAGTTTATTAGAGAATAAACTATAATAAATATCACCAAATCTTCAAGGAACGCTTCAGCAGGAGAAAACACGTCTTGCTAAGCAGACGAAGGAGACAAGAGTGAAGGGTGTCACATGGCAGCTAGGTGGCTACGCACGTGCTGCATGAGGTAATTGAGATCTCTGTGGTAGATTTCGCTATAGCAGCAGTTGTGGGAGACAACAGCCTCGGTACAACAGTGGTAACGTATTACTTAATGTAATAACAGTGTACCTGATGTTGGTTGGTTGGTTGGTTTGTTGTTTAACGCCGCACTCAGCAATATTCCAGCTATATGACGGCAATCTGTAAATAATCGAATCTGGACCAGACAATCCAGTGATTAATATCATGAGCATCGATCCACACAATTGGGATCGATGACATGCATCAACCAAGTCAGCCAGCCTGACCACCCGATCCCATTAGTCGCCTTTTACGACAAGCATAGTCACCTTTTACGGCAAGCATGGGTTGCTGAAGACCTATTCTACCCCAGAATCTTCACGGGTAGTACCTGATGTGCTTTCTATGAACAACACTGACAAGTGAAACTCTCCACATTCCTGACAATTCTTGTCTGCTCTACATTCCTGACAAGCCAAACTTTCAGTAAACTACGGTTACAACAAACTCAAACAGATCACTAACTTTAGTTTGTCATAACCGTAATACGTCACAAGCATATATACAGCATATATACACAAATGGCTGGGACCAAAAATAAAAGCGTTAGTTAAAAAAGTGTGTTCATTATGAACTTAGTTTACTGTACTTTTGGGAGCATCTGCTGCGCCTCCGTCCTCTGTGTCCTCCCGGCTGACCTCTGTAGCTATGGACTTCAGCACACTTTCTATGGTCATGAAAGTCTCCTGTGGTTTGCCGAGCGGTGTCCTCAGCCTGGCTAACACACAGAAGTTGGCAGCCTCCCAAGTGGCCCAGAACCACAGCAGGGACTCGTTCCCGTCAATCTACACAGACACAACCACAGTATTAAACATATGTACAGTTAGAAAACATATAACTTTTTAAACTGTACATTCAAACACCCATTCTCTACTGTTTTCTCTACTGGGGTGCGTGGGGGTTGGTAGAGAGAGAGTGTGTGTGTGTTGTTTAAGCTCTGCACTCAGCAATATTTCAGCTATATTTCAACACCTTTAAAATATAAAGTGTGGACCAGTCAATCAAGTAATTGCTACTGTGAGTGACAATCCACACCATCAAGCTAGGATGACATGCACTCAACCATGTCACTGTGCCCCACCACCCACTCCACTCGGCCGCCTCCTACAAACAGCACTCTACTGTTTCAATGTATCATATAGACAGAATGCACTTACTACCTATTTTAAAGAAGATTGCTTCTATGTGAGATTGAGGTCAATAAATATTGTCAACACTGTTAACACTATAGCAGTAATGTCACTAGGGGACAAGAACAATGGGCTACCCCATGTCTGCTAAGAATATCAAAGAAGTGATTTATTGCACCAAGTATCTAAAATGAAGTGTTTGAACATCTTAGCTCCCTCATCATTGCTTCTGTTGTGGTTTGTTTGTTGTTTAACGCCACACTCAACATTATTCCAGCTATATGATGGCGGTCTGTAAATAATCCAGTTTGGACCAGACAATCCAGTGATTGATATCATGAGCATCGATCCATGCAGTTTGGATATGATGACATGCATCAACCAAGTCAGCGAGTCTGACCACTCGATCCTCTTAGTCACCTCTTATGACAAGCGTAGTCGCCTTTTATGGCCAGCATGGTTTGCTGAAGACCTATTCTAACCCAGATCTTCATGGGTCTGCTTCCGAGAATATTACTACACATAGTGACTGACCAAGTCGGCGAGAGTGACGACGTCCGCTGTCTTCTCCTGCTCCTTGTCGGAGCGCTGGGAACTGTGGTACATGGCCTCCAGCCAGTGCAGCACTCCCTGTTGGCTGCAGCAACAACACAGTACAGTTTGATAGACAGTGCTTACAAGTTGACGGATGACAAAGGAGAAACAATTTATGGATAACACCTTCTTTAATTACGGTAAAGGTGACATTTCGGTAAAGATCTTTATATCATTGTCAAGCAAGATCCTTATACTGTTGTCCTTGCTTGACAACGGTATAAGGATCTATACTGAAATGTTGCTTTTACAGTAATTAAAGAAGGTGTTATCCATAAATTGCGTCTAATTTAACACAGTTCAGTCACTCGGAGCATCAAGTACTAAACACAAAACAATTCAACACTGCAAACAGGGCTGAGTCAATGTTGTATAACGCCACTGTCAACAATATTCCAGCACCATCATGGCTGTTTTAAATAATCTTGGACAAGACCACCCAGTAATTGAACAGTCAACATAATGACATGCACCCAGCCAAGTCATGGAGTCTGACCACTCCATCCTCTGTAGTCACATGACAAGCATGGGATACTGAGTGAGTATTGTTTTACGAGGCATTAGCTATATTCCAGCTATATCACGCCCGGAGACACCAGAAATGGGCTTCAAACACTGAAGGAATCGAACCCGGGTCTTCAGCGTGACAATCAAACATTTTAACCACAAGGCTACCCCACCATGGGATACTGAAGACCTATTCTAAGCTGGAAACATCACAGGGGTATTACGAACAGGGTTCATCTGACAGCATATGAGAAAAAGAAACTATCCTTTCCTGAACTGACCTCAGGAATGACAGCTATTTATATCTATGCCACAATAGTGAAAGCAATCTGACTGAAGACTTGTAAGAGTATAAGACAATTCTCTGAATTGAGCTGAGAACAAATAGAACTATATATTGCCTCATCCTGTTCTTTCACTGAAGCTTCATGTGTACTGGCCTGTGACACCACTGACTGACTGACCTGGGCTGCATGTGTACTGGCCTGTGACCCCACTGACTGACTGACCTGGGCTGCATGTGTACTGGCCTGTGACCCCACTACCTGACTGACCTGGGCTGCATGTGTACTGGTCTGTGACACCACTACCTGACTGACCTGGGCTGCATGTGTACTGGTCTGTGACACCACTGACTGACTGACCTGGGCTGCATGTGTACTGGCCTGTGACCCCACTACCTGACTGACCTGGGCTGCATGTGTACTGGCCTGTGACACCACTGACTGACTGACCTGGGCTGCATGTGTACTGGCCTGTGACCCCACTACCTGACTGACCTGGGCTGCATGTGTACTGGCCTGTGACCCCACTGACTGACTGACCTGGGCTGCATGTGTACTGGCCTGTGACCCCACTGACTGACTGACCTGGGCTGCATGTGTACTGGCCTGTGTCCCCACTGACTGACTGACCTGGGCTGCATGTGTACTGGTCTGTGACACCACTGACTGACTGACCTGGGCTGCATGTGTACTGGCCTGTGACACCACTGACTGACTGACCTGGGCTGCATGTGTACTGGCCTGTGACCCAACTACCTGACTGACCTGGGCTGCATGTGTACTGGCCTGTGACACCACTGACTGACTGACCTGGGCTGCATGTGTACTGGCCTGTGACCCCACTACCTGACTGACCTGGGCTGCATGTGTACTGGTCTGTGACACCACTACCTGACTGACCTGGGCTGCATGTGTACTGGTCTGTGACACCACTGACTGACTGACCTGGGCTGCATGTGTACTGGCCTGTGACACCACTGACTGACTGACCTGGGCTGCATGTGTACTGGCCTGTGACCCCACTGACTGACTGACCTGGGCTGCATGTGTACTGGCCTGTGACACCACTGACTGACTGACCTGGGCTGCATGTGTACTGGCCTGTGACACCACTGACTGACTGACCTGGGCTGCATGTGTACTGGTCTGTGACACCACTGACTGACTGACCTGGGCTGCATGTGTACTGGCCTGTGACCCCACTGACTGACTGACCTGGGCTGCATGTGTACTGGTCTGTGACACCACTGACTGACTGACCTGGGCTGCATGTGTACTGGCCTGTGACACCACTGACTGACTGACCTGGGCTGCATGTGTACTGGCCTGTGACCCCACTACCTGACTGACCTGGGCTGCATGTGTACTGGCCTGTGACACCACTGACTGACTGACCTGGGCTGCATGTGTACTGGCCTGTGACACCACTGACTGACTGACCTGGGCTGCATGTGTACTGGCCTGTGACCCCACTACCTGACTGACCTGGGCTGCATGTGTACTGGCCTGTGACACCACTGACTGACTGACCTGGGCTGCATGTGTACTGGCCTGTGACCCCACTACCTGACTGACCTGGGCTGCATGTGTACTGGTCTGTGACACCACTACCTGACTGACCTGGGCTGCATGTGTACTGGTCTGTGACACCACTGACTGACTGACCTGGGCTGCATGTGTACTGGCCTGTGACACCACTGACTGACTGACCTGGGCTGCATGTGTACTGGCCTGTGACCCCACTGACTGACTGACCTGGGCTGCATGTGTACTGGCCTGTGACACCACTGACTGACTGACCTGGGCTGCATGTGTACTGGCCTGTGACCCCACTGACTGACTGACCTGGGCTGCATGTGTACTGGTCTGTGACACCACTGACTGACTGACCTGGGCTGCATGTGTACTGGCCTGTGACACCACTGACTGACTGACCTGGGCTGCATGTGTACTGGCCTGTGACACCACTGACTGACTGACCTGGGCTGCATGTGTACTGGCCTGTGACCCCACTACCTGACTGACCTGGGCTGCATGTGTACTGGCCTGTGACCCCACTACCTGACTGACCTGGGCTGCATGTGTACTGGTCTGTGACACCACTACCTGACTGACCTGGGCTGCATGTGTACTGGTCTGTGACACCACTGACTGACTGACCTGGGCTGCATGTGTACTGGCCTGTGACACCACTGACTGACTGACCTGGGCTGCATGTGTACTGGCCTGTGACACCACTGACTGACTGACCTGGGCTGCATGTGTACTGGCCTGTGACACCACTACCTGACTGACCTGGGCTGCATGTGTACTGGTCTGTGACCCCACTGACTGACTGACCTGGGCTGCATGTGTACTGGCCTGTGACACCACTGACTGACTGACCTGGGCTGCATGTGTACTGGCCTGTGACACCACTGACTGACTGACCTGGGCTGCATGTGTACTGGCCTGTGACACCACTGACTGACTGACCTGGGCTGCATGTGTACTGGCCTGTGACCCCACTGACTGACTGACCTGGGCTGCATGTGTACTGGCCTGTGACCCCACTACCTGACTGACCTGGGCTGCATGTGTACTGGTCTGTGACACCACTGACTGACTGACCTGGGCTGCATGAGTACTGGCCTGTGACCCCACTGACTGACTGACCTGGGCTGCATGTGTACTGGCCTGTGACCCCACTGACTGACTGACCTGGGCTGCATGTGTACTGGCCTGTGACCCCACTGACTGACTGACCTGGGCTGCATGTGTACTGGCCTGTGACCCCACTGACTGACTGACCTGGGCTGCATGTGTACTGGCCTGTGACACCACTGACTGACTGACCTGGGCTGCATGTGTACTGGCCTGTGACCCCACTGACTGACTGACCTGGGCTGCATGTGTACTGGCCTGTGACACCACTGACTGACTGACCTGGGCTGCATGTGTACTGGCCTGTGACCCCACTGACTGACTGACCTGGGCTGCATGTGTACTGGCCTGTGACACCACTGACTGACTGACCTGGGCTGCATGTGTACTGGCCTGTGACACCACTGACTGACTGACCTGGGCTGCATGTGTACTGGCCTGTGACACCACTGACTGACTGACCTGGGCTGCATGTGTACTGGCCTGTGACCCCACTGACTGACTGACCTGGGCTGCATGTGTACTGGCCTGTGACCCCACTGACTGACTGACCTGGGCTGCATGTGTACTGGTCTGTGACACCACTGACTGACTGACCTGGGCTGCATGTGTACTGGCCTGTGACCCCACTGACTGACTGACCTGGGCTGCATGTGTACTGGCCTGTGACCCCACTGACTGACTGACCTGGGCTGCATGTGTACTGGTCTGTGACACCACTGACTGACTGACCTGGGCTGCATGTGTACTGGTCTGTGACCCCACTGACTGACTGACCTGGGCTGCATGTGTACTGGCCTGTGACCCCACTGACTGACTGACCTGGGCTGCATGTGTACTGGCCTGTGACCCCACTGACTGACTGACCTGGGCTGCATGTGTACTGGTCTGTGACACCACTGACTGACTGACCTGGGCTGCATGTGTACTGGCCTGTGACCCCACTGACTGACTGACCTGGGCTGCATGTTGTTCAGAAGGTAGGCCATGACATGTCTGAAGTTATGAGAGTGGAACGTCCCCATTGGCTGTTTGCCGATGTGATTCCTCCGAGCCAACCATGCCGCCTTCAGTCCAACGACTCGGTCACGGCGCTGACTGGCTAGGGCTTCTTCTTCTGCCTCGAACACAAGGTTACTGGAAATAAATTAGTCCGAGCGATATCATACCATGACTTCAAAGAATCCTGCATTGTTTGGTCTGAATCTACATTAGGCCTTGGATTTGTTGATGAGTGCAACACCGGGAAAGAATGGGTTTTTTCAAAGCACTTCTTCTCAAACCTCACTGATACACGTTTTCAAACTCTGAGTACTCAAAAAAACTTACATGAATTTGAAACCTCTTATAAAAAACACAGTACTATTGTAATAATCCCTATTAACTCTGTTTCGATTTAGGTACTTTTTCATGATCATTGGACAGATGATTATTATCATCTCCCTGTATGAATTAAGACATAAAAGGCAGCACTGTCACAATCTCGGGGGTACTTCATGAATATGTATGCTCACCTGGTCACAACATCCAAGGGAAGTATTTTCAGGAGAGAATTGAAGGCTTCTTTAACTTGCCGTCGCAGGTCGGTCAGTCGGAACGCACAAAGTTCCACACACCTACAACACACAAAGTGTTGAAAATATTGAAGGTAGTAATTTCATATATCTTTAATATATTCAAGAGAATAATCTTTACACAATGTATATAGAAATGGTTCCTGCGAATACTCTACCTCTTTTGCATCACAGTTGATCTGAGTAACCAACTGACCAGCCTATGTAACAGCAACTTTTACTTACAGCTTGACCACCTCCTTTGGGAACTGGACAGTGGACTTGAATAAGTTCATCAAACATTGGTTGACTGCCATAAAGATGGGCTGCTCTGTGTTGAAACCTGACAACAAAAGCAGTTACAAGTGTATAGTCATAAACCTCTGGGGATTCAGCCTCTTGCTTTTACAGGGCCTTCCATTCATAGAAGAGATATCTTAATTTTGCTGAAAGATACAAAGCACTTTTTAAGAATTCAAAGACTTGCACAATTTTAACTGTTGAATATCCTGTCTCTAAGAATTGTGTTGACAAAAACAAATGCAAGTACCATTCAAATTCAAAAGCAGTGTTCCAGCTTACCTTGTCCTATGAGAGTCTTGAGGAGTCTGATGAAGATTGCCTTGAGGAAGATGTGCTGGGATGTGTGCAGGCTGGTGATGATCTCGGACACCCACTTGATCACCAGGCACCTAGAGCGGGGGAGTGACTGTAGCATAACCTCCAAGGTGGCATACACACAACAAGGGACATGACTGTAGCATAACCTCCAAGGTGGCATACACACAACAAGGGAGTGACTGTAGCACACCTCCAAGGTGGCATACACACAACAAGGGAGTGACTGTAGCATAACCTCCAAGGTGGCATACACACAACAAGGGGCATGACTGAAGCATAACCTCCAAGGTGGCATACACACAACAAGGGAGTGACTGTAGCATAACCTCCAAGGTGGCATACACACAACAAGGGAGTGACTGTAGCATAACCTCCAAGGTGGCATACACACAACAAGGGGCATGACTGTAGCATAACCTCCAAGGTGGCATACACACAACAAGGGAGTGACTGTAGCACACCTCCAAGGTGGCATACACACAACAAGGGAGTGACTGTAGCATAACCTCCAAGGTGGCATACACACAACAAGGGGCATGACTGTAGCATAACCTCCAAGGTGGCATACACACAACAAGGGAGTGACTGTAGCATAACCTCCAAGGTGGCATACACACAACAAGGGAGTGACTGTAGCATAACCTCCAAGGTGGCATACACACAACAAGGGAGTGACTGTAGCATAACCTCCAAGGTGGCATACACACAACAAGGGGCATGACTGTAGCATAACCTCCAAGGTGGCATACACACAACAAGGGAGTGACTGTAGCATAACCTCCAAGGTGGCATACACACAACAAGGGACATGACTGTAGCATAACCTCCAAGGTGGCATACACACAACAAGGGAGTGACTGTAGCATAACCTCCAAGGTGGCATACACACAACAAGGGAGTGACTGTAGCATAACCTCCAAGGTGGCATACACACAACAAGGGAGTGACTGTAGCAAAACCTCCAAGGTGGCATACACACATCAAGGGACATGTCTGTAGCATAACCTCCAAGGTGGCATACACACAAGCAACATGACTGTAGCACCCCTCCAAGGTGGCATACACACAACAAGGGACCTGACTGTAGCACCCCTCCAAGATGGCATACACACAACAAGGGACATGTCTGTAGCACACCTCCAAGGTGGCATACACACAACAAGGGACATGTCTGTAGCACACCTCCAAGGTGGCATACACACAAGCGACATGACTGTAGCATAACCTCCAAGGTGGCATACACACAACAAGGGACATGTCTGTAGCATAACCTCCAAGGTGGCATACACACAACAAGGGACATGTCTGTAGCACACCTCCAAGGTGGCATACACACAACAAGGGACATGTCTGTAGCACACCTCCAAGGTGGCATACACACAACAAGGGACATGTCTGTAGCATAACCTCCAAGGTGGCATACACACAACAAGGGACATGTCTGTAGCATAACCTCCAAGGTGGCATACACACAACAAGGGACATGTCTGTAGCATAACCTCCAAGGTGGCATACACACACAAGGGACATGACTGTAGCACACCTCCAAGGTGGCATACACACAACAAGGGACATGTCTGTAGCACACCTCCAAGGTGGCATACACACAAGGGACATGACTGTAGCACACCTCCAAGGTGGCATACACACAAGGGACATGACTGTAGCACACCTCCAAGGTGGCATACACACAACAAGGGACATGTCTGTAGCATAACCTCCAAGGTGGCATACACACAACAAGGGACATGACTGTAGCATAACCTCCAAGGTGGCATACACACACAAGGGACATGACTGTAGCACCCCTCCAAGGTGGCATACACACAACAAGGGACATGTCTGTAGCATAACCTCCAAGGTGGCATACACACAACAAGGGACATGACTGCAGCACACCTCCAAGATGGCATACACACAACAAGGGACGTGACTGTAGCACACCTCCAAGGTGGCATACACACAACAAGGGACATGTCTGTAGCACCCCTCCAAGGTGGCATACACACAACAAGGGACACGACTGTAGCACACCTCCAAGGTGGCATACACACAACAAGGGACATGTCTGTAGCATAACCTCCAAGGTGGCATACACACAACAAGGGACATGTCTGTAGCATAACCTCCAAGGTGGCATACACACAACAAGGGACATGTCTGTAGTATAACCTCCAAGGTGGCATACACACACAAGCGACATGACTGTAGCACACCTCCAAGGTGGCATACACACACAAGGGACATGACTGTAGCACCCCTCCAAGGTGGCATACACACAACAAGGGACATGTCTGTAGCACACCTCCAAGATGGCATACACACAACAAGGGAGTGACTGTAGTATAACCTCCAAGGTGGCATACACACAACAAGGGACATGACTGCAGCACACCTCCAAGATGGCATACACACAAGGGACCTGACTGTAGCACACCTCCAAGGTGGCATACACACAACAAGGGACGTGACTGTAGCACACCTCCAAGGTGGCATACACACAACAAGGGAGTGACTGTAGCACACCTCCAAGGTGGCATACACACAACAAGGGACATGTCTGTAGCACCCCTCCAAGGTGGCATACACACAACAAGGGACATGACTGCAGCACCCCTCCAAGGTGGCATACACACAACAAGGGACGTGACTGTAGCACACCTCCAAGGTGGCATACACACAACAAGGGACGTGACTGTAGCACCCCTCCAAGGTGGCATACGCACAACAAGGGACATGACTGTAGTATAACCTCCAAGGTGGCATACACACAACAAGGGACATGACTGCAGCACACCTCCAAGATGGCATACACACAACAAGGGACATGACTGCAGCACCCCTCCAAGGTGGCATACACACAACAAGGGACATGACTGCAGCACCCCTCCAAGGTGGCATACACACAACAAGGGACATGACTGTAGCATAACCTCCAAGGTGGCATACACACAACAAGGGACGGGACTACAGCAGACCTCCAAGGTGGCATACACACAACAAGGGACATGACTGTAGCATAACCTCCAAGGTGGCATACACACAACAAGGGACGGGACTACAGCAGACCTCCAAGGTGGCATACACACAACAAGGGACGTGACTGTAGCACACCTCCAAGGTGGCATACACACAACAAGGGACATGACTGCAGCACCCCTCCAAGGTGGCATACACACAACAAGGGACATGACTGTAGCATAACCTCCAAGGTGGCATACACACAACAAGGGACGGGACTACAGCAGACCTCCAAGGTGGCATACACACAACAAGGGACACGACTGCAGCAGACCTCCAAGGTGGCATACTCACAACAAGGGACATGACTGCAGCAGACCTCCAAGGTGGCATACACACAACAAGGGACGGGACTACAGCAGACCTCCAAGGTGGCATACACACCAGTGCAGCAATGTCACACGTGTATTGATGGTGTTGTTTAATGAATGACTTTTTAAGAAGGATGTACTTCAAATATCATAGCAGTTGGTAATCAAACTCAAGTATTCAGCATGGGGACACCACTGCCAGTTATTATTTTGGTGGGGAGAAGTGTGACAAATCAAGACGATTGCCATCCCACCATCTTAACATCCCCATATTTGCAACAACAGAAGCCTAGCCAGCCCCCAACCACCTCATCGGGCTTCTGGATGATGTCAGACTGTACCTACCTTACATCGTAGGTGGTCTTGGAGTGGGCTAACAGCTGCTCCGTGAGCTCCAGGACCTTGGCAAAGTGGCCACTGGTGACCATGCTGACCGATGAGATGATAGCACTGTCCACTGGGGAGGGCTGGGAGAGCATGGAGCTGCTGGACGTGAAGTTGCTGTGCCTAGAAGCAGATACAAGAACTTCAACTTAAGACGCACTACATAAAACAAGGCTTTCCAAGGTACATCAAGATGTAAAGCCATCATCGTGAATGTTGAAATAGACACAAAAAGTAGCAAGCATGGAAAGTTCTTTAAAAACCATTACTGCTCCAACCAAAATGTTATGAATACACAATGCCATTTAGAAAGTGGTCAAATGTAACAAATGTTATATTTGGGATAACACTTTCTTAGTAAAGTACAGATTCTCGTACTTTTTTGGGTTGAGTCACGTCCGGGATTCGAACCCACACTTGCCAGAGTGAGGCACCTAATCGCCAGCACACAAAGTCAGCGATCTAACCCACTCAGCCACCAAGGGTTCCACAAAAATGAAAGTCCTACAACTGGTAGTCTAGATCACGTACTTTGAGTACCCCTCTGACAAGTGTAAATTGGAACGGCTCCCATGGCCGAAAGCTATGGATACAGTACGAGAATCTGTACTTTACTAAGAAAGTGTTATCCCAAATTTAACATTTGTTACAACCAAAATGTTGTTATCAATGATTCTGCAATAAGACACAAATCCTATCCAAAGCCACAAGAAAGTATGAGAACATGTATGAAGTGGGTGCTGCTAGACCTACCTGCAGCAGTGGGAGTAGAGGGCGTACACCACGGCAAACTGCACCGACGGGTAACACTCGGCAATCCAGGGCTCCACCGGACACAGGTGGGTGCTCAGGAGGTCAAACACACTAGGGGACAGCGCCCACATCTGGGTAAAACAAACTCACAGTATTGTCGCTAGCCTACCAGGCTCTACTCACCTGACTACATCACGACCATTGCTGATGGATGTCAACTGTCACAACTGAATGTTTCCGTCAACATTTTTACTAACAAAATACATTTTTCACACCTATAAACAACAGTTTATAAGTGATCCTATAAATCTCACAGCCACACAGCCAATCATGTAACAGATTGAGGATGAGTCACAGTACTTTATCTTGACAAAAAGTAGTTACAAATCCCTATCTGTCTGAGAGCACACACAAATACTCCAGTCCCATTAAAAGCACATGAGAAAAAGTGACCTGTTGGTGCAAATGTCACTCCTACAATCCTACTTCTTCATGAGGTAAGGGCGTTAACTGACTATAAAAGTCCACTTTCAACCCTTGCCAAACTAGGCTGGTATTCTGGAGTTACACTTTGGCTGGACTAACGAGTCTATGCATAGTCCAATCACTGGGACATACTTGTACTACACACAACGCAAATGACAAAACACACATTGGACCAGAGCCTTTTTATCAAGAAAGGCAAGTAACAAGTTGGCCATGAGCTATGCACGTACCCCAATGAGGTTGCTCTTTGTGTTGCCTATCTCTGCGAGTGCACAGACGTCAAACAAGATGATGGCCTCTGCCTGCCTGATGCTGAAGGCGTGGTGGGAGAAGGGGTTTTCCTCCTGGCTCTCAAACATGGCGTGGGAGGGGCCCCCGGCCAGCAGCTTGGTGTAGCACGCCTCAACAGAGCTCCGGATCAACCTGAAACATTGGGACAAATGCAAATGAAATACAAGTGTCAAGGAGTACTGTAAAACGATATATCTGCACTTATGCAGCCCATTTGATCAGTGGTGACAATTCAACCTGTTAAATTTGCTTATGTTAATCTTACCTGTAATTGGACTAATCTTGGCTAAACTCAATCAGCGGCAAATCAACACAATCAGCGGTGACGATTCAACCTTGTTAAACTTGCTTATGTTAATCTTACCTGTAATAGGACAAATCTTGTCCATAAAACATACATTATTCAGATGACATCATTCGATATTTTGGCTGATCTTAACGAGGCAATTTCACGAATGCAGTCAGCAAAACGAGGACAGAGGAAAATCTTCCCGTACGTTGTTTGTTGTTTAACGCCGCACTCAGCAATGTTACTGCTATATGATGGCGGTCTGAGTCTGGAGCAAAACAATCCAGGGATTGACATCATGAACATCGATGTACACAATTGGGATACGATGACATGCATCAACCAAGCCAGCGAGCCTGAACACCCCATCCCGTTAGTCGCCTTTTACGACAAGCATAGATGCCCTTTACGGCAAGCATAGATGCCCTTTACGGCAAGCATAGATGCCCTTTACGGCAAGCATGGGTTGCTGAAGGCCTATACTAACCAGTATCTTCACAAGTCCTTTCCTGTATGTAAATTGTGCAATGCTTTATACATATTTGATGAACAATGTTCTAAAATATTTATGAATTTAATGTTATTAAATGTTATTAATTGAAAGCTATGAAGTTATCACTTGCTAAAGAAGTCAATGTTACAATTAAGCATGTTGTGTTTTGTTTTATCTAAGATGGCAGACGTTTCGGAGCGAAAACTTATAAAAGGAACAACATATATATATATTAACAAACTGATTTCTCCGGTTCCTAGTAGTTTGTTATATCCATGTTCTACTGTTCATCGTGGCAGAAGGATGGTTGATAGCATGAACAACAAAATCTGTGAATCCGGTACAATGTCACACAATCAGTCATGTCACCAAAAGCAATATGTCACAAGCAGAATCTGAAATATCTCCTGTTCAGTATATGGGCATGGAACAAGGGGACAAGTTACAAGCCAGAGGCAATGGATGGTTGAAAGCCTGAACACCAAACTAAGTGAATGGGGTACAATGTAACACAATCAGTCAGGTCCAACATTGTCTTCCCAATACTCAATATGGTCGGTCCTTTCGAAAAGCAAGGAGTACTGCTCGAAAATGACCAGTAGCGATATCTCATGAGCAGCCACTGTAGAAATATCTTCTGTTTCATACATGGGAATGGAACAAGGTCACAAAGTGTCACTTGCCTGTAGGACTCCTCCAACAGGGGGACACTCTTGAGGCCAAGGATGGCATGATACACGGACATCAAGTGGCCCAGCACCTGCACAACACAGCGACACACCAATCAGGATCACAGCGCAATAATGAACATCAAAGCCTCTTCCTCTTACTGGCCGGTGAAATACACGTCACCTTTACAAAGCCATAATATTAGCCACACTATTTTAATATGGACTGAGAAATTCTTAATTCCAACTTGGAAATTTTTACTGATATTTGCTGCAGACTTGGGGACAAATATTGGATTCTGAGCAGGTCTAGCTACCCCCCTAGGCACCATTCCACAGAGCAATCATAGTGCTATGACTGTCGTAAGCCTAGGTCAACAAGAAAGAAGTGAGCAAAGCTCACATACCCCCGTTATCCCCGCTGGTCAACAACAAATAGTAAATAGTTTGTTAATTAATGAAATATTACATATTTCTAACTGATTTTAACTTCAATGTTTTAAAAACTAAGATTGAGTTCCAGTGACAATTGCCCCCCCCAAATCTCCCATGTTACCAGTGTTCACTACGAGGAAGTAGATCACCATGAACACCTTTGAATACAAATTTGATTGAGGAGTTACATAAGAAGAATTATCAAAAGGACCAAAAATTGTTGATATAAAAACACATAAAAAATGGAACAATATCATATAAGAAAATCAATAAATTAATAATTTCCATCTAGCCTTAACAGATATGGTAAAGAATTCATGAATTCAAACTATCACAAAGCACAGATACTTATGATGATCTACATGTGTGGAAACAATTTTGGAAAATTTATTAGCTATACAAAACCAGTCATCAAAATTTCTAAATTCCATCATTTTTCCATGAAAACAGCAAAAGACAAAACTTTCAGAATCTTATAAAAGATAAAAAACAATCATGGCGGTTAATGTAGCAAGTTTGCTGAAGCTAGGATACATAATATTGTAAACATGGATCGTACAAAAACTCTACCGAAAATTTATGTTTCACCATGATTCCATGGAAAAGGCAAAAATAAAAAAATTAAGAATCCTCAAACTAGCAAAAGGCACAAGTACTCATTGTGGTAAATGTGTGTAGCAAGTTTGGTGAAGCTAGGGTGCATGGTTAAAAAGTTATGGGCCGTACAAAATACCCACCCTAAAAATTTAAATTTCTAATGTTTCCATGGAAACGGCAAAAATTAAAAAATTCAGAATCCTCAAACTAGCAAAAGGCACAAGTACTCATTGTGGTTAATGTGTGTAGCAAGTTTGGTGAAGCTAGGGTGCATGGTTAAAAAGTTATGGGCCATACAAAATACCCACCCTAAAAGTTTAAGTTTCTAATGTTTCCATGGAAACGGCAAAAGTTAAAAAATTCAGAATCTTCAAACTAGCAAAAGGCACAAGTACTCATTGTGGTAAATGTTTGTAGAAAGTTTGGTGAAGCTAGGATGTATAGTTAAAAAGATATAGGCCGTACAAAACACCCACCCTAAAAGTTTAAGTTAATTAATGTTTCCATGGAAACGGCAAAAATTAAAAAGTTCAGAATCTTCAAACTAGCAAAAGGCACAAGTACTCATTGTGGTTAATGTGTGTAGCAAGTTTGGTGAAGCTAGGGTGCATGGTTAAAAAGTTATGGGCTCGGATGGAAGGACGGACGGACGGACAAACGGAACGCTATATACCCCCGATTTACTTCGTAAACGGGGGTATAATTATCGCAGTAACAATCATCTCAGCACTAAGATCACTTTTTGGAACATCACACAGCCCTACACTGCCCCCTCTCACCTCCCCCGAGTGGGACATCACACAGCCCTACACTGCCCCTCTCTCACCTCCCCCGAGTGGGACATCACACAGCCCTACACTGCCCCCTCTCACCTCCCCCGAGTGGGACATCACACAGCCCTACACTGCCCCTCTCTCACCTCCCCCGAGTGGGACATCACACAGCCCTACACTGCCCCCTCTCACCTCCCCCGAGTGGGACATCACACAGCCCTACACTGCCCCCTCTCACCTCCCCCGAGTGGGACATCACACAGCCCTACACTGCCCCCCTCTCACCTCCCCTGAGTGGGACATCACACAGCCCTACACTGCCCTCTTCTCACCTCCCCCGAGTTGGGCATCACACGGCCCTGCACTGCCCCCTCTCACCTCCCCTGAGTGGGACATCACACAGCCCTACACTGCCCCCTCTCACCTCCCCCAAGTGGGACATCACACAGCCCTACACTGCCCCTCTCTCACCTCCCCCGAGTGGGACATCACACAGCCCTACCCTGCCCCCTCTCACCTCCCCGGAGTGGGACATCACACAGCCATGTAGCAGGGAGCCAGGACCTAGAACCTTGGTCAGGAAGATCACTGGAAGCTGTGGTCCAAACACCTCCACCACCTGCAAACACACACATGTTGGATGAGGGGAACTCGAGATCATGATAAAGCTAGTGTTGTCATTGTTCAGGAAAACACACAGTTACCTTAGCAATGTTCTTGCATGTAGCATGCACAAATTGAAGTAGGTGGACTATGTCAAGAGTATAGACATTACTGCATCAATCTCACATTACAAATTAAGGTTTATCAAACAGCAGTGTGGAACAGTTCCTAGTCTCACTTCAGTAAAGGCCTTCACTGGAGGAAGGGTGAAAGAAAACAAGGTCACTAGGTTATTTAGAACTTGTATTCTGGTTGTGTTAGGTTATCAGGGTTTCAGATTGGTTCAACCAAAAATGTCATCAAAAATGTCCTCAGATTCTGTTCGATAAAGAGAAGATTGTCCTATCAAAATTCAACACAAAGAATGAAAGTGTCCAAATGCCATTTTTGTCTAGTTAAATCACTGGGAATTCTCAAAACATGGTAATCAATAATATTGTTTAATCTTTGCAAGATTTTAAACGCAATAATCAAATGAAATAACATCTGACACTATTAATGAACAAGAAGTAAAGATGCTGACAACCCGTTATCTTATTCTCCACTCGTACAAGAGCGAGACATGATCGTCAGCCTCCGTACCTTGTGTACCAGATCAAAGAGAGTCATGAGGTGGTGCTTGCTGAGCAACTTCGTGAGGAAGATCTGCCTGGTTATAAACGGCAGCATCCCCTCACAGGTCGGAGTGATGTTGTTCTGAAGCTGGCTTGCAATGCAGGTCAGACACACATTGGCTGCAACAATGGAAGAACATAGGTAAACCACAGTTAGTATTAATAACCATGAATGTCTTTACAAGTCAAGTCAATGTTCACAGAGAAATGACTTGACAGTTGACAGACCCTCAACCATTTTACTCTTCTGACATTTGACAACATGTGTCAGCCAGGAATTTATCTTTCCTTGTTTGTTGTTTAACAAGCGATGAAAACTAATAATTTTAGCCCACTAAACCTTATCATGATATCATATAGCAAAACCCTTAAAAAGGGAACATTTCTACTAGTCCTAAGGATGCCTTTTTGGCAGTTTGGCAAGGTCTATAGGAATAGTTTAGCACTTCACTCAGCAATATTCAAACCATATGATGACGGTCTATATGGTCTATAAATAATCGAGTTTGGATCAGACAATCCAGTGATGGCCATCCAAAGCATCGATCTATGCAGTTGAGATACAGTGACATGCAATCAACCAAGTCAGCGAGCCTGACCACCCGATCTGTTAGTCGCCTCTTACGACAAGCATGGGTTGCTGAAGATCTATTCTGGCCTGGTCGTTCACAGGGGGGAATTTACATTAAAAATACAACAGATTCTGTGAAATGAACTAAGAACGAGAGTGCTGCAGGAGACTATTAAATAAAGACATGTATGAAGTGAGTATCAACAATGTCAACTGATTCAGTAGAAAGAGACCATGTGTAAGGCTTATAACAGACTGACCTGCAATAAAGATGCTCTCAGAGTGTAGATTTTTTGTAGCATTTTCAACACTGCGGACAATCTTATCCAACACCTGTAGACAGAAGACAAACAATATTCACAGCTATTTCCCACAGGACACAACAACAAAGAGTCTGTTCTTTAGGCTTTGTATAATCAAATATTTGACACATGGTTTGACATGTTCTGAAACACTGCAACAATTCCTGTCAAATGTTGAAAGTACAAATGCCACCTACAGTGGTAGGGGTGTAGCATTTGTGGCACTGACCGTCCAAAGGGACCACTAATTTTAGTTTGTTATAAGTGTAGTTCATTATAAGCATATATACAGCATATAAACAGCAAATGGACGTGACTAAAAAACAGTTTGTTCTGTCTGTATATAAATGCTGTCATTGCTTCGGCTGTGATATACAGTGGATCACCATTCTTGCCTCATAGACATATTCCCTTGAGATTTGACCCCCCTTGGTTGGAGAGAAGCTGTCCCCCAGGCTCTGTATGACAGTGGTGAACACACGCAGCAGGGCGGAGATCTTAGTGATGCACTCCTCTGCCGGGGGCAGGTCCTCGTCTGCCAGGGGCTGCACAGTCATGTTCAGGTTCAGGTCCTGGAAGGAGAAGATTGCATGTTACAGGGTCACCGAAGGTGTTATAATGATGTTCAGGTCCTGGAAGGAGATTGCATGTTACAGGGTCACCGAAGGTGTTATAATGATGTTCAGGTCCTGGAAGGAGGAGATTGCATGTTACAGTGTCACCGAAGGTGTTATAACGATGTTCAGGTCCTGGAAGGAGAAGATTGCATGTTACAGTGTCACCGAAGGTGTTATAACGATGTTCAGGTCCTGGAAGGAGAAGATTGCATGTTACATTGTCACCGAAGGTGTTATAACGATGTTCAGGTCCTGGAAGGAGGAGATTGCATGTTACAGTGTCAGTGAAGGTGTTATAACGATGTTCAGGTCCTGGAAGGAGGAGATTGCATGTTACAGTGTCACCGAAGGTGTTATAATGATGTTCAGGTCCTGGAAGGAGATTGCATGTTACAGTGTCACCGAAGGTGTTATAACGATGTTCAGGTCCTGGAAGGAGAAGATTGCATGTTACAGTGTCACCGAAGGTGTTATAACGATGTTCAGGTCCTGGAAGGAGAAGATTGCATGTTACAGTGTCACCGAAGGTGTTATAATGATGTTCAGGTCCTGGAAGGAGAAGATTGCATGTTACAGTGTCACCGAAGGTGTTATAATGATGTTCAGGTCCTGGAAGGAGGAGATTGCATGTAACAGTGTCGCTGATGGTGTTATAACGATGTTCAGGTCCTGGAAGGAGGAGATTGCATGTGAGGGTGTCAGTGAAGGTGTTATAGCGATGTTCAGGTCCTGGAAGGAGATTGCATGTTACAGTTTCACCGAAGGTGTTATAATGATGTTCAGGTCCTGGAAGGAGAAGATTGCATGTTACAGTGTCACCGAAGGTGTTATAATGATGTTCAGGTCCTGAAAGGAGGAGATTGCATGTAACAGTGTCGCTAATGGTGTTATAACGATGTTCAGGTCCTGGTAGGAGGAGATTGCATGTTACAGTGTCACTGAATGTGTTATAGCGATGTTCAGGTCCTGGAAGGAGGAGATTGCATGTGAGGGTGTCACTGAAGGTGTTATAACGATGTTCAGGTCCTGGAAGGAGGAGATTGCATGTTACAGTGTCAGTGAATGTGTTATAGCAATGTTCAGGTCCTGGAAGGAGGAGATTGCATGTTACAGTGTCACCGAAGGTGTTATAACGATGTTCAGGTCCTGGAAGGAGGAGATTGCATGTTACAGTGTCAGTGAATGTGTTATAGCAATGTTCAGGTCCTGGAAGGAGGAGATTGCATGTTACAGTGTCACCGAAGGTGTTATAATGATGTTCAGGTCCTGGAAGGAGAAGATTGCATGTTACAGTGTCACCGAAGGTGTTATAATGATGTTCAGGTCCTGGAAGGAGGAGATTGCATGTTACAGTGTCGCTGATGTGGTTATAACGATGTTCAGGTCCTGGAAGGAGGAGATTGCATGTTACAGTGTCAGTGAAGGTGTTATAGCTATGTTCAGGTCCTGGAAGGAGTAGATTGCATGTGAGGGTGTCACTGAAGGTGTTATAACGATGTTCAGGTCCTGGAAGGAGGAGATTGCATGTTACAGTGTCACTGAATGTGTTATAGCAATGTTCAGGTCCTGGAAGGAGGAGATTGCATGTTACAGTGTCAGTGAAGGTGTTATAGCAATGTTCAGGTCCTGGAAGGAGGAGATTGCATGTGAGGGTGTCACTGAAGGTGTTATAGGGATGTTCAGGTCCTGGAAGGAGCAGATTGCATGTGAGGGTGTCAGTGAAGGTGTTATAGCGATGTTCAGGTCCTAGAAGGAGATTGCATGTGAGGGTGTAAGTGAAGGTGTTATAGCGATGTTCAGGTCCTGGAAGGAGGAGATTGCATGTGAGGGTGTCACTGAAGGTGTTATAGCGATGTTCAGGTCCTGGAAGGAGGAGATTGCATGTTACAGTGTCACTGAATGTGTTATAGCAATGTTCAGGTCCTGGAAGGAGGAGATTGCATGTGAGGGTTTCAGTGAAGGTGTTATAGCGATGTTCAGGTCCTGGAAGGAGATTGCATGTGAGGGTGTCAGTGAAGGTGTTATAGAGATGTTCAGGTCCTGGAAGGAGGAGATTGCATGTGAGGGTGTCACTGAAGGTGTTATAGCGATGTTCAGGTCCTGGAAGGAGGAGATTGCATGTTACAGTGTCACTGAATGTGTTATAGCGATGTTCAGGTCCTGGAAGGAGGAGATTGCATGTGAGGGTGTCACTGAAGGTGTTATAACGATGTTCAGGTCCTGGAAGGAGGAGATTGCATGTTACAGTGTCAGTGAATGTGTTATAGCAATGTTCAGGTCCTGGAAGGAGGAGATTGCATGTAACAGTGTCGCCGATGGTGTTATAACGATGTTCAGGTCCTGGAAGGAGGAGATTGCATGTTACAGTGTCACTGAATGTGTTATAGCGATGTTCAGGTCCTGGAAGGAGGAGATTGCATGTGAGGGTGTCACTGAAGGTGTTATAAGGATGTTCAGGTCCTGGAAGGAGGAGATTGCATGTTACAGTGTCACTGAATGTGTTATAGCAATGTTCAGGTCCTGGAAGGAGGAGATTGCATGTTACAGTGTCAGTGAAGGTGTTATAGCAATGTTCAGGTCCTGGAAGGAGGAGATTGCATGTGAGGGTGTCAGTGAAGGTGTTATAGCGATGTTCAGGTCCTGGAAGGAGATTGCATGTGAGGGTGTCAGTGAAGGTGTTATAGCGATGTTCAGGTCCTGGAAGGAGGAGATTGCATGTGAGGGTGTCACTGAAGGTGTTATAGCGATGTTCAGGTCCTGGAAGGAGGAGATTGCATGTTACAGTGTCACTGAATGTGTTATAGCAATGTTCAGGTCCTGGAAGGAGGAGATTGCATGTTACAGTGTCAGTGAAGGTGTTATAGCAATGTTCAGGTCCTGGAAGGAGGAGATTGCATGTGAGGGTGTCAGTGAAGGTGTTATAGCGATGTTCAGGTCCTGGAAGGAGATTGCATGTGAGGGTGTCAGTGAAGGTGTTATAGCGATGTTCAGGTCCTGGAAGGAGGAGATTGCATGTGAGGGTGTCACTGAAGGTGTTATAGCGATGTTCAGGTCCTGGAAGGAGGAGATTGCATGTTACAGTGTCACTGAATGTGTTATAGCAATGTTCAGGTCCTGGAAGGAGGAGATTGCATGTTACAGTGTCACTGAATGTGTTATAGCAATGTTCAGGTCCTGGAAGGAGGAGATTGCATGTTACAGTGTCAGTGAATGTGTTATAGCAATGTTCAGGTCCTGGAAGGAGGAGATTGCATGTGAGGGTGTCAGTGAAGGTGTTATAGCGATGTTCAGGTCCTGGAAGGAGGAGATTGCATGTGAGGGTGTCACTGAAGGTGTTATAGCGATGTTCAGGTCCTGGAAGGAGATTGCATGTTACAGTGTCAGTGAAGGTGTTATAACAATGTTCAGGTAAGTAATAACATATAATGAGGAACAGAATGTCATGACAAATTTATCAGCAATGATTAAAATTTGTTTCCTAGTTTGGGTATTGTAAAGTTGAATTACATGACACGATTAAGTATTCAGGAACTAAAACCCACCCTGATATTAAAACGGTATCCTCTGGACACCAATTATCTGACCTAAGAAGCACTTCCATATCTTTATATAGCGAAATTTAGATGCAACAGAGTCATTTGCAAAGTAAGAAGCAACGAAGACAAAGTGACTCTCAGTCACTGTGATGTTCATTACATAATTGTATAAGACTACACATCGAGCTGAAGATTAACCATGGTGAAATTCAAGTGTCTTACAGTGAATTGGTCCACATCAACAGCTGCCGACTCACCTCGGCATAGGCCTCCATGTCCTCCAGGAACTGTCCAAGCAGAGTGAGGGAGAAGGAGAGGTCCGAAGTCCAGAACATGTGGAAGCTGACCAGAGCCTGGGAGGTGTACCTGATCAGGGCCTCCTTCTGGGTGGCATCAATGTGCCAGCCGACCAGGATGTCCACTGTGTCCTGCAACAACACAGCCACTATTAGCAATAACATCCAGCATCATCTCCAACACAACCAGTCAGCAGGATCATCCAGCAACATTAACACAACCACCATCAGCAAGATCAGCAAGCAACATCAACACAACCACCATCAGCAAGATCAGCAAGCAACATCAACACAACCACCATCAGCAAGATCATCAAGCAACATTAACATAACCATTGTCGGCAAGATCAGCAAGCAACATCAACACAACCACCATCAGCAAGATCATCAAGCAACATCAACACAACCACCATCAGCAAGATCATCAAGCAACATTAACATAACCATTTTCTGCAAGATCAGCAAGCACCATCAACACAACCACCATCAGCAAGATCAGCAAGCACCATCAACACAACCACCATCAGCAAGATCAGCAAGCAACATCAACACAACCACCATCAGCAAGATCATCAAGCAACATTAACATAACCATTGTCTGCAAGATCAGCAAGCACCATCAACACAACCACCATCAGCAAGATCAGCAAGCACCATCAACACAACCACTATCAGCAAGATCAGCAAGCAACATCAACACAACCACCATCAGCAGGATCATCCACCAACATCTCCAAGGATCATAATGGGGGCAAACCCAGGAGTCAAATACCTGAACAAGATGCTCCAGCATGGTAATGATACAACTCTGCCTTGCTGATGTCCTACTGATAACCACGATGGCCTCTGGGTTAAGATACTCTAGCATGGTAATGATACAACTCTGCCTGGCTGATGTCCTACTGATAACCACGATGGCCTCTAGGTTAAGATACTCTAGCATGGTAATGATACAACTCTGCCTGTATGATGTCCTACTGATAACCACGATGGCCTCTGGGTTAAGATACTCTAGCATGGTAATGATACAACTCTGCCTTGCTGCTGTCCTACTGATAACCACGATGGCCTCTGGGTTAAGATACTCTAGCATGGTAATGATACAACTCTGCCTGGCTGATGTCCTACTGATAACCACGATGGCCTCTGGGTTAAGATACTCTAGCATGGTAATGATACAACTCTGCCTGTATGATGTCCTACTGATAACCACGATGGCCTCTGGGTTAAGATACTCTAGCATGGTAATGATACAACTCTGCCTTGCTGCTGTCCTACTGATAACCACGATGGCCTCTGGGTTAAGATACTCTAGCATGGTAATGATACAACTCTGCCTTGCTGCTGTCCTACTGATAACCACGATGGCCTCTGGGTTAAGATACTCTAGCATGGTAATGATACAACTCTGCCTTGCTGCTGTCCTACTGATAACCACGATGGCCTCTGGGTTAAGATACTCTAGCATGGTAATGATACAACTCTGCCTTGCTGCTGTCCTACTGATAACCACGATGGCCTCTGGGTTAAGATGCTCTAGCATGGTAATGATACAACTCTGCCTGGCTGATGTGCTACTGATAACCACGATGGCCTCTGGGTTAAGATGCTCTAGCATGGTAATGATACAACTCTGCCTGGCTGATGTGCTACTGATAACCATGATGGCCTCTGGGTTAAGATACTCTAGCATGGTAATGATACAACTCTGCCTGGCTGATGTGCTACTGATAACCATGATGGCCTCTGGGTTAAGATACTCTAGCATGGTAAGGATACAATTCTGCCTGGCTGGTGTCCTACTGATAACCACGATGGCCTCTGGGGTACTCAATCCCCTGAGAAATGGTTCAAAATATATACACTTATCTTGAAATTTCACCTGAAAAACTAAATTTCCTAGAACATTTGGGAGATTTTAAGAACCCAAAAGTATCAGATTTTCATCATTTCATACAAATGTTTACATACATCTATTGTTAAACAGGCATCTGAAAGAAATGTACCCACACTATAGTAACTATATCAGTTGGCAAGATGTCACTCACCCTAAAGTGCATGCTGAAGATGTGTGGGTAGATCTTGGCAATAAACATGATGACATCTACCACAGCCGTCAGTAGTTCTGGCGTGTCAGCATTCTCCAGCAAGGTCTGTATCTTCTCCATCACCAGCTACAACAGCAGCAGCAATATCTCCACCATCAACAGCAGAATGTAGCAATACAAACATACATCATGATTGTCTGTTTCCTTGGCTTCAAATACCAAGCCGGTTTTCTTACTATTCAGTGAGTGAGTGAGTATGGCTTTACGCTGCTTTTAGCAATATCACAGCAGGGGTCCCCAGAAATGGGCTTCACACATTATACCCATGTCGGGAATGGAACCCAGGTCTTCAGGGTGACGAGCCATGCTTTAACCACTAGGCTACCCATAAGAAGCTTGACTTATGACTTATGAGGAACAACTTGGATCACGAGAAACAATCCCGCCATGACAGCAAACGTCACGTTTATCTGTTTATTACATGCATCTGCCCTTCCACCAAATACAGCCATGCTTTTATTCAATACGTAGTTGATGCCAGTGGTTCACACTGGTTCATTTTCTAGGACATTGTATGATCCACAAAATCCTAAAGATGTTTTACAATTTTGGTAATGGTATAGAGGGATTTCTTATCAAAATCTGCTAAAATCATGAAAATGTCCCATGACATTTGTCTCTAGCAACATCTCTGCATCAAGCTTACCTGCATAAGTTCTGCAGCATTCTGTCTCTTTTCATCACAACGCAAAGTCTGAAACAAATGACAAGTGGACTAGGGTGAACGATTGAGTTCACAGTTTTGCATCAGGTAATTCAACTTACAAATCCCCCCCCTCACAAACTGTACAAAAGCACTTAGTCTGCCTCTGTAAGTACACAGCCTGAGGGCGCCTGCCGACATGGTTCCTACCTCAAGCAAGGCCAGGAGATAGAAGGTCTTCACCTCGTCCTCAAACACTGTCTCGGTCTGGCCAAACAACCACTGGAAAAAGCTGAAAATTGGAAATACATCATGTGATGAAAAAATGGTTATAACAAACAATACGAAGCCCTGATCAAAAACATTTGCTTCTCATCATGTTCCGACTTAGGACTGTTGCCAGGTGACAGCGTACACTGTTGTTTTATAACTGATGAAGTATGCTGTAATATTTACTATGCGGTCATAATGATTTTATTTTTAAACTTAAACATGTTATCTTTAAAAGAAAGTGCAAGAACCAAGAAAATGTAAGATGGTTTTCTACAGCCTTATCTTGAAAAGTCTCAATCGTGTCACTCTTACCTCTGCATATCCTGACCAACAGCACTGCCTATAGCTCCAATAGACAAGGCTACTTCCACCTTCACCTCCCGGTACCCTCTACAACAAAACACAGGAAATCTTTCATTTCCAAGGACTGATACCTCCCTACATATCAGTGTTAGAAATAAAGGGTGACCTTGACATTTTCTGCTGTAGTAATTGAAGATCCCCTAATTCTTGAATGAATAACATCAGGGTCCATGACCATGTTGACTTTCTTTATACATCCATTTGGAACAATGGCTAGGAGAGTTTTATATCATATATTTTATCAGTTGCAATGACGTCATCATTTGAGGTCTATATTCAAACATGCGGTGATGAAGACATAGTCATTGCAAGGTAATACACAGAGGCAGTTCAGGTGAGGTGAGGGGAAATTGGGTTTAACATCGCTTCCAAGATTATTGCACTTATAAAGCGACGTGCATGCACATGTGTGTGTGTGTGTGTGTGTGTGTGTGTGTGTGTGGCTGCTTGTACTAGTAGTTACGGGCAGCCAAAATTTTAACTACTATTTTTAGCACAACAAACTGACTTTTCTTAAACTTCTAAGGAATACAAGCAAAGCAAAAAATAATGAAGACACCTTTATTAGTTCTTGACATATTGACAACCAAACATCCATTGTAAAAGTCGTGGGCAAATTTAATTACATTTGGACAAGTTCAGCATTAATTCATTACTAGTTAGGACTGATGCCAATTTATAGGGCTAGCCTAGTGAGATACCATGCTGCAGTTTAACATGAATACGCCACTCAGACACAGTATACTGACTCCGAGCCGACCTTGTTTTAGCCCCTAAATGCTGAGCGCCAGACAGGGTAACAACAAGTACGTCTTTTGGTATGACACGGCCGGGGGTCGAACCCCAGACCTACTGCTCTCCGGGTGGACACTATACCACTAGACCACGGAGGCGGTCAGTGGCAGTTCAGTTTGGCTTGGTTTACCTATTTATCTGAAGAAGACAGGCTCATGGAATTCAAGCCTGGCCATTTTCCAGTGGTTCTGTATGATTGGTTGGTTCGTTGGTTTGTTGTTTAACGCTGTACTCAGCAATATTCCAGCTATAAAACGGGGGTCTATAAATAATCAAGTCTGGACCAGACAATCCAGTGATTTATATCATGAGCATCGATCCACGCAATTGGGATCAATGACATGCACCAACCAAGTCAGCAAGCCTGACCACCCGATCCCGTTAGTCGCCTTTTACGACAAGCATAGTCGCCTTTTACAGCAAGCATGGGTTGCTGAGGACCTATTCTACCCCGGATCGTCTAGGTTGTTTCTGCATGGAGTATCAACAAACAGTGTTGCCAGTGATCGATTCATCCAGACATACTTATGGTGAAACGATACAGCAGGTCACAACTGTGATACGCATATTTACAACAAATCGTGTGGAAACTTATTGAAAATAAATATTTCAGAGCAGATTCAAAAGGAACAGCTAGATTTAGATGCAGGTTTGTTGTGGCTAGTTTTAGTAAAGAACTTGAAATGCTAATTACAACACATTTTAAGATTTTTGACAGACAAACACGCTGGGGGTAATTAAATGAGAAGTAAGAAATTTATTTTAGCAAGTGTATGGTCTTGTATCGATACAGTAAAAAATGCATCGTGTATGGTATTGTCACATGAAGTCATTGTGATGTATCATTTCACCCTTAGACATACTGCCGACTGACCTCTCAAAGAAGATCCCAGGCAGGGCAGCCAGTAGGTCATCTGCTGACTTCACAGCAGCCTGCAAAAACAGAGTTAACATGGAGTAAAACAGGAAAACACTGACACAAGGTGATGTTTGTTTGCTGTTTAATGCTTGACTCAGCAATTTTCCAGCTATATGACAGCGGCCTGTAACTAATCTAGTCTGGACCAGACAGTCGAGTGTTTGATAAAATAGTGAGAAACAATCCACACTGTAGTGTCAGAGTCTGATGACACGCCATCGCCCGAGGCACCCCTTACAACAAGCATAGGTTGCTGGAGACCTATCTAATGCAGAATGCACATGGGGGGCCACCAGGTGAACACACTGACTCCCATCAACACTTGTCTACATAATGCCCCAGAATCTCTCTACACTCACGTCCAAGTCAACTATTAGAATTGGTACCAGCAAAAGTAAGTAAAATTAGTTGCAATGACTCTTGTAAACAGATACTAGTAACCACAGTAACAAAGTTAGACAAAGCCGCTGTAATATTTCTGTTGTTTGGTGTTTAACACCGCACTCAGCAATATTACAGCTATATGACTGACCGTTCAGTTAGAAATATACAACCTATCATTTAACTTTACAAGCTACACATTTGCTCACTGGCCAAACATCCCTAGGGCAGTGCTCAGAAAGTAACAGAGACGCTTGAATCAACATCTTCAATGAAAAAATGAATTTAAACGAGCCAAGAGAGAGTCCCTATCAAACCAAGTTGGACAGGAAAGTGCATCATAAACCAGAGGTGGCTTCATCGATAGCTAGCATTATCAGCTAACGACCATATTGAATATTCCAACAACAGTGGACCGGGCATTCAACAAAATCTATTACTACTATTGTTCCTACTGCTCCAGGGGGGCAGTTAGAGTGTTCGCTCGTCACGCCGAAGACCTGGGTTCAATTCCCGACATGGGTACAATGTGTGAAGCCCAGTTCTGGTGTCCCCTGTCATGATATTGCTAAAAGTGGCGTAAAACCATACTCATTCACTCACTGATCATAGGATTAATTTATCAGCTATGTATTTGCAATATCATGAACATGATGAATGAATCATAAAGTCAAAGATTCTGCTTGCTCATGACTTAGATGACTGGGCACTGTACAAGACACAACAGCATGAGATATTGGCAATAGTCCTGTATTCCTTGCCAAATTGCCCAAAATTTAGGGTATCATAAGGACCAGTAGAAATTTGCCATTTTAAGAGGTTTTGCTATATGTTATCATTATAAGGACTAGTAGACCAAAACTGTTAGTTTCTACCACTGTACAACAACTCGCTGTGCAGGCTTGCATTCATAAGCAAGCCAGAAACCTATGGCTGTGGGTTTCAATCTCAGACTGACACAGATTATGTTTCTAGGTTTGTGAGCACTGTACTTGTGCTCATGGATTTCACCAAAGAAGTAAACGTCGAAGAGCTGCATCACTTCAGGCTTTCCTCCCAAGTGAAGCTGACCCACCGTGATATATATATACATAGCCTAAACAACATCCAAGCAGTGTCACTCACTCACTCACTCACTCACTCACTCACTCACCATGCTCACTGACTCATTACTTATACATGTACATGTTTTCAGGTTTCCCATTTTCTAGAAACACTGGAAACCAGACCATATAGCATGTGGTTTTATCAATACACAATCTTATTCTTTCTTATTTCTTATTCCTAAACACTGCTAAAAGATCCTTCATAATGATTATGTCTTCCCTCCTTCTACAGTGTGTAGATAGTCTTTACATGGTGGTATTGTCGTGTTATCTCCTACCTTCCCTCCTTCTACAGTGTGTAGATAGTCTTTACATAGTGGTATTGTCGTGTTATCTCCTACCTTCCCTCCTTCTACAGTGTGTAGATAGTCTTTACATGGTGGTATTGTCGTGTTATCTCCTACCTTCCCTCCTTCTACAGTGTGTAGATAGTCTTTACATAGTGGTATTGTCGTGTTATCTCCTACCTTCCCTCCTTCTACAGTGTGTAGATAGTCTTTACATGGTGGTATTGTCATGTTATCTCCTACCTTCCCTCCTTCTACAGTGTGTAGATAGTCTTTACATGGTGGTATTGTCGTGTTATCTCCTACCTTCCCTCCTTCTACAGTGTGTAGATAGTCTTTAAGTTGCTTGGCTGCTGTGAGTCTTCGGTCTCGATCTGCATCTCGGAGCAAACGCCGCATCACCTTGGACAGTCGAGACTCATCAGTGAAAGTCTTGCCTGGTTCTGAAAGCAGAATATATTTCTATTGGCCCAAACTGTAATACATTGTAGATCCACATGTACACATGTTTCTCACTTTTGTGAGATCAAATACAAATAGGCAATCACCAGTTTGAAATTTCAACAGATTGTTGGAACAATCCCTCTGAGGTTGGACAAGCCCTAGAACTACCATGAATTTGTTTGTTTCTTGTTTGCTTAACGCTAGATATGACAGATATGACAACAGTCTGTAAATAATCCAGTCTGGACAAGACAACCTAGTGATTGATATCATGTGCATCGATCTTTGCAATTTGGATACGAAGATATGCATCAGCGCGCTTGACCATCCGATCTACTGAGGCTTCCTCACAAAGTCATCCATCTAACCCACTCAGCCACCAAGGCTTCCTCACAAAGTCATCCATCTAACCCACTCAGCCACCGAGGCTCCTTCACAAAGTCATCCATCTAACCCACTCAGCCACCAAGGCTCCTTCACAAAGTCTTCTATCTTACCCACTCAGCCACCGAGGTTTCCTCACAAAGTCATCCATCTAACCCACTCAGCCACCAAGGCTCCCACACAAAGTCATTTATCTAACCCACTCAGCCACCAAGGCTCCCTCACAAAGTCATCCATCTAACCCACTCAGCCACCAAGGCTCCTTCACAAAGTCATCCATCTAACCCACTCAGCCACCAAGGCTCCTTCACAAAGTCATCCATCTAACCCACTCAGCCACCAAGGCTCCTTCACAAAGTCGTCCATCTAACCCACTCAGCCACCAAGGCTCCTTCACAAAGTCATCCATCTAACCCACTCAGCCAACTAGGCTCACACACAAAGTCATCCATCTAACCCACTCAGCCACCAAGGCTTCCTCACAAAGTCATCCATCTAACCCACTCAGCCACCGAGGCTCCCACACAAAGTCATCCATCTAAACCACTCAGCCACCAAGGCTCCTTCACAAAGTCATCCATCTAACCCACTCAGCCACCAAGGCTCCTTCACAAAGTCATCCATCTAACCCACTCAGCCACCAAGGCTCCTTCACAAAGTCATCCATCTAACCCACTCAGCCACCGAGGCTCCTTCACAAAGTCATCCATCTAACCCACTCAACCACCAAGGCTCCTTCACAAAGTCATCCATCTAACCCACTCAGCCACCGAGGCTTCATCACAAAGTCATCCATCTAACCCTATCAGCCACCAAGGCTCCCACACAAAGTCATCCATCTAACCCACTCAGCCACCAAGGCTCCTTCACAAAGTCAACCATCTAACCCACTCAGACAACTAGGCTCCCACACAAAGTCATCCATCTAACCCACTCAGCCACCAAGGCTCCTTCACAAAGTCATCCATCTAACCCACTCAGCCACCAAGGCTCCTTCACAAAGTCATCCATCTAACCCACTCAGACAACTAGGCTCCCACACAAAGTCATCCATCTAACCCACTCAGCCACCGAGGCTCCTTCACAAAGTCATCTATCTTACCCACTCAGCCACCAAGGCTCCTTCACAAAGTCAACCATCTAACCCACTCAGCCACCGAGGCTCCTTCACAAAGTCATCCATCTAACCCACTCAGCCACCAAGGCTCCCACACAAAGTCATCCATCTAACCCACTCAGCCACCAAGGCTCCCACACAAAGTCATCCATCTAACCCACTCAGCCAACTAGGCTCCCACACAAAGTCATCCATCTAACCCACTCAGCCACCAAGGCTCCTTCACAAAGTCATCCATCTAACCCACTCAGCCAACTAGGCTCCCACACAAAGTCATCCATCTAACCCACTGAGCCACCAAGGCTCCTTCACAAAGTCATCCATCTAACCCACTCAGCCACCAAGGCTCCCACACAAAGTCATCCATCTAACCCACTCAGCCACCAAGGCTCCTTCACAAAGTCATCCATCTAACCCACTCAGCCACCAAGGCTCCTTCACAAAGTCAACCATCTAACCCACTCAGCCACCAAGGCTCCCACACAAAAGCCATCCATCTAACCCACTCTGCCACCAAGGCTCCTTCACAAAGTCATCCATCTAACCCACTCAGCCACCAAGGCTCCTTCACAAAGTCATCCATCTAACCCACTCAGCCAACTAGGCTCCCTCACCACGTCATCCATCTAACCCACTCAGCCACCAAGGCTCCTTCACAAAGTCATCCATCTAACCCACTCAGCCACCAAGGCTCCTTCACAAAGTCATCCATCTAACCCACTCAGCCAACTAGGCTCACACACAAAGTCATCCATCTAACCCACTCAGCCACCAAGGCTTCCTCACAAAGTCATCCATCTAACCCACTCAGCCACCGAGGCTCCCACACAAAGTCATCCATCTAAACCACTCAGCCACCAAGGCTCCTTCACAAAGTCATCCATCTAACCCACTCAGCCACCAAGGCTCCTTCACAAAGTCATCCATCTAACCCACTCAGCCACCAAGGCTCCTTCACAAAGTCATCCATCTAACCCACTCAGCCACCGAGGCTCCTTCACAAAGTCATCCATCTAACCCACTCAACCACCAAGGCTCCTTCACAAAGTCATCCATCTAACCCACTCAGCCACCGAGGCTTCATCACAAAGTCATCCATCTAACCCTATCAGCCACCAAGGCTCCCACACAAAGTCATCCATCTAACCCACTCAGCCACCAAGGCTCCTTCACAAAGTCAACCATCTAACCCACTCAGACAACTAGGCTCCCACACAAAGTCATCCATCTAACCCACTCAGCCACCAAGGCTCCTTCACAAAGTCATCCATCTAACCCACTCAGCCACCAAGGCTCCTTCACAAAGTCATCCATCTAACCCACTCAGACAACTAGGCTCCCACACAAAGTCATCCATCTAACCCACTCAGCCACCGAGGCTCCTTCACAAAGTCATCTATCTTACCCACTCAGCCACCAAGGCTCCTTCACAAAGTCAACCATCTAACCCACTCAGCCACCGAGGCTCCTTCACAAAGTCATCCATCTAACCCACTCAGCCAACTAGGCTCCCACACAAAGTCATCCATCTAACCCACTCAGCCACCAAGGCTCCTTCACAAAGTCATCCATCTAACCCACTCAGCCAACTAGGCTCCCACACAAAGTCATCCATCTAACCCACTGAGCCACCAAGGCTCCTTCACAAAGTCATCCATCTAACCCACTCAGCCACCAAGGCTCCCACACAAAGTCATCCATCTAACCCACTCAGCCACCAAGGCTCCTTCACAAAGTCATCCATCTAACCCACTCAGCCACCAAGGCTCCTTCACAAAGTCAACCATCTAACCCACTCAGCCACCAAGGCTCCCACACAAAAGCCATCCATCTAACCCACTCTGCCACCAAGGCTCCTTCACAAAGTCATCCATCTAACCCACTCAGCCACCAAGGCTCCTTCACAAAGTCATCCATCTAACCCACTCAGCCACCAAGGCTCCTTCACAAAGTCATCCATCTAACCCACTCAGCCACCAAGGCTCCTTCACAAAGTCATCCATCTAACCCACTCAGCCACAAGTAATTAGATCGCTGACTTGATTGTGTTCTGGCAATTTGGTGTGGGTTGAAAATATATGCACACAGGGCAACAACAATGACTTCAAAATTAAAGTCTAACCAATCTATTTTTAAGCTTCAACAATTGTAAACACAGAGTAACTGACCATTCTGTCAAATTGAAACGCCAAATATTGTGTGAACTTCATGTTAAAAACTTTTGTACTGCTGCAGATCATGCAGATATCATAAATATGTAGTACTTGGGGATCAGGGAAATAGACCAGGGTTGCATTGTCAATCATCTTTGATCATTGGTCAATAACCAGTTCCTTTCAACATGTTCAACTGACCTTCTCTATATGATGTATAACATATCAGAGATTTATATAGACCTGCTCTGAGGCTGATATTTGGCCCCAAGTCTGCAGCTAAAGTCATTCAAAATTCCCAAATTGGAATCATAGATTTCCCAATTCATTATGATTCATGTACTAACTAATAACCAAGTTAGCGGTAGACAAATGGTAATGATAACATATACATGTGCCCTGGTAGCAAAACTCTAAAAAATGGCAAATATCTACTCGTCCTTATGATACCTTTACTATTGGGCAGTTTGGTAAGTACTATGGGACTAGTGCCAATTTCTAACGCCGTTATTTTGAGAGGATGAGTTGTTCCCTATAGATGCAGCAGTGGCCGAACAATTGCATCGAAAAGTGGGAGAGACATGACAATTGGTATTAGGAGAAAAGGTACAGACAATTGACATGAGAATTGTGAGAATATGCGGGACATACCAAACTTAACCCACCCGTTCTTTGACTTGTCTGAGATTGCTGAGGTCGGATTCTATTCAGGGAGTCATCATTATTAAAATATGTTTGAACATTTTATCATCATCCTCAAAGAGGCTGTACATGATGTTGATATCTCACATAAGAAATACGTAAATGACTCATGGTTGTTTATCATACAGTAAAACCCTCCACCCTCATGGTTTATTCTCACTGCAGTGTTATTGTACGATAAATAACTCTAACTCGTTGTTTATTTCTTAAATGAATATCTTAAAGAAATGTCATTAATCATGTTAACCGGCAATAATTTCACATGTCTAAAGCATGTTTAGATATATGTTGTAAATATCATCTTGAACAAAGTTAACCACATTAACAGTAGTTGTGTCTAGAATATGTACAGCACTGAAGAATTGTAGACATGCTGTGTGATCATGATAAGCATTAGTGATAAGAACAAGTCAATTAACAGCTGTTACAAAAATACTATTGTCAACAATGTGGACGAATGCCATGGCAATAGACATGTAAATTATTCAAGAATTACATGCAGTTTATTGATTCTCTAAATCAAAAACATAATTCATATTTAATGTTACTGATTTGACATTTGTATGTCAGAATGTTCAAGCTCAAGTAACAGTACTGGAAAAGCTACCCTACCATCGAGAGTAGGGTAAAACTCTGTACAATGACTGTCAGCATGTTCATTGCTCCATGAATCATAGTTAGGCTCCTCCAATCCCTGCTCCAGCCCATCAATGTCAATCATGTCAATTTCAGTTACATAATGTTGACAAAACTCCATAGCAGGGCCATATCTTCCAACTTGCTATCACCACCACAACATACAAGTCCCCATGTTAAACAGTCCACTGTCAGTGTTACGAGGTCAGGTTACACCTCAGCCATATGCTACACGACCCACATCCATATGTCAGCTTCAAACAGTCCCAGTTGCAGTCTTCACTGCCGTGCATTTTCCAATTAAACCTGTGTCAGCAAAGGGAACACTGCATTGATTGCTGTACCTGTGCTCATGTGATACTGACATGCAGGTGTGTACGTTCAGTCCAGCTTGAAATGTACATGCATTTGACAAGTGTCTATGTGAGGCACAGAGGAATATATTCAGTCCAGCTTCAAATATACATGCAATCGACAACTGTCTATGTGAGGCACAGAGGAAATACACACAGTCAATACTGCAGTGGTTACAACCTGTGCTAACAGATAGCAGTGTGGGAACACACACATCTGTTCATTTATAATACATATATACTTTGTATTAACAGCCAATAGGAACACACAGTCAGGGACACCTGTTGATAAACGTGGCGACAGGTTTACTTGTTATGAAGATCATCCTTGGAACATTGGTGACAACGCTTCTGCAGGGATACTAACACGAGATTAACCGATGCATGCCTATAAACATATGTACGTATTACTTTGTTATAAATTAATAACCACAGTGAAGCAGAATTCGTCACAAACATGAAACGATATGAAATCACATAGTGACCTAGAAAAATAGCTGTTAGCAATATTGACCACACAGACTCATGAACGTGTTCACAGATAAACCTGATGATGGATCATGTGTATGTCTGGGACGTTACTTTTCACAGAAATCTGAAATCATGGAAATATTTATATTGGTTTTATTTGTTTATTTTGAACTGAACAATTCAACATAGGTGACCAAAAAATCAAACTGAGGAACTTTGGTGAGAAAGATATACAGCTGGAAAAAGTTGAGCACCATCCCTTGTCTACTTGCATATATTCCTAATTCCATTGTATGTTTAGGAAATATGTACATGTGACACTGATCTCAGTTTGATGAATGTCTACAATGCCAGCAATGTAGAGAAACAGAGGAGGCAACAACATAGCTAAATAACTACTGCCAGGGAACAGCTGCAAAACATGGCATTAGACATGTTAGAAATTCAAATTTGGTTTTAATATTTCAATATGAGTACATGTATTTCACTTGGTAAATAAAAACAAAGAGTTTTCATTAAGAGGTGTGGTGAGGTTAAATGAGGTTTAACATTGTGTCCAAGATTATTGCACTGTGAGTGAGTGAGCTTGTAAGTGAGCGAACGTGCGTGCGTGAGAGAGACACCATGCTGCAGTTTAAGAGTGAATACCCCACTCACACAATAGACTGGCTCTGAGCCCGACCAGTCCTTGTTTCAGCTCCTTAATGCCATGCCGAGCACCAGGCAGGGTAACAACAAGTACCATCTTTAATGTCTTTTAGCATGACTTGACCAGGGACTGAACCCCAGACCTTCCGCTTTCCATGCGGGTGCTCTTTACCAGTTGACCACGGAGGTGGTCTAGTTCGTTAGAAACTAAGTATATTGTTTAGATGGAAATATGTAGAAGGGGTGCTATATTTTCAGGAGGATAGTTAGCATGATTAGGTTATATCATGTATCATGATGTTTAATGCTGCTCTCAGCAATATTCCAGCTATATGACGTCAGTCTGTAACTAATTGAGTCTGGACCAGACAATCCAGTGATTGACATCATAAGTTTTGATCTATGCAAATGGGATACAATGACATGCATCAACCAAGTCAGCGAGCCTGACCAACCGATCCCATCAGTCGCCTGTTACGACAAGCATGGGTTGCTGAAGACTATTCTACCCCGGTTCTTCACGGGTGTATCATGATGTATGCGTCACATGTTATATGACCAGGCTGACTGTACTGTCACCAATCCTGCTGGTTGCTTGCCTTCATGTGATATTTGACTGCTTTAGTAATCATGTTGATGCCATCATGGCTATCTCTCTACATATTGAATGCTGTCTAAATCCATTATCTGATCAAAATTTGTCAAAGTCATCATCTTGAAACACGGCTGGTAGCAACTAAAGCATCACATGACCTGATCACCTCAATCATGTTAATTCTAGCCTGTGACCCAATTGATAATCCTGATATAAGTGATAATCCTGATAATGTGGACATGGTTGATAACATGAACTATTTTGACAGCAGGATTTCAAATTAGCTACAGTCCTCTACTAGTGTTAGTCTGTTATTAGGTTTAACTATGTACTTGTACATGTCCTGGTTGTTTAAAATGAATGAATGTTTTAGTGCTACTTCATTGGTCCTTCACAAAGTAATAACATGACAAGCATGGGATGCTCTACTTTTCCATTCTTCAGTGAAAACAACTATTGTAATCACATCCCTTGCCCCAACACAGCGAATAATGATGACACTGCCATATCCAATACTGAGGATGGACATGTATCAACATCTTAAAAGGATTTCAGATTGGTTCATTTTCAAAAACATTGACTGATCATGCTGATTGTTATCCTAACTGTCCTTCATATTATTTTCAAATTTTGTATTGATGTAAAATGTCACTATTATGCAGATCAAATTTTGAGAATATCTTGATGTCATTTGTTTGCAGCAAAATCACTGTTTAACTTTGTAAATAGATGGTATTGGACATGTTGGACGATTGAGTCAGTCAAACTGTAGTCTACATTATGTCAACAGAGTTGCAAATCAAAAAGTCACTTTTATCACATCTCAAAACTTTAGTATACACACAATTTTCATTTCAGATTGTGGCGATGCGGTTTAGTGATACTTCCAAATGAATTGACTGTTGTAATGGAACATGTGTGTTGATACTGACTGCGATATCTCTCCCACTTTTGGGTGTGATTGTTCAGCTATTGCGTTCATCTGTGCTGTCCAGCTACATGTATGGGGAACAACTCACAAGACACTTCCCTCTAAAAAAATAACGTCATCCAATTTACGAGCACATGTTCAAATCTCCAGAAATAAGGTCACATCAATTTTCTGATATGTGCCCATTATTTGAACATTTTAAATATTCCAGAGGTACACCCACACTTGCCCATACAGCGCAGTGCTAAACTGACCCATTGTCTTTGAAAATGTGGGCCTTTTTTTCAAATATATGGGCTAGAATTATCACTGCATACTGCATGCCATGAAAAGGAATGCTTATCATGCCTATACTGAACTTGTTGCACTATATGATACTGTAATCATTAAATCAATGGCTTGGTGAAGAAATGACGTTGAAAAGGGATGAATAGTCGGAGAAGGGCAACAGCAGTCAAGTTATTTGACTGCAGTATTTTGCTACATGCTCTATGCTGAGCAACAGGTGTGGTCTAAAAATGTTTGAAAGATTGCTCATTCCAGTGGCTGGAGACAGCCATAACTCATAGGGCACAAACACATGCCTCGAACAATTTTGTGGCTGCTGTGGTACGGATACTGTAGTTTGTATATGTTTGGGATAACCCCGCAGCATGTGTGATGGTTGACACTATTTTGCCTTATTTCTTCAAATGTTCAATTCCCCATTTTTGAAACTTTCACCAATCATTGATATTAATGTAGATGCACCATATTGATTGACAGGAATGATTGAACAATGTTAGAAAGGAAACGTTAGATCAGGGGGTTGGTAATTTGAACGTCAAGACGTCAGACTATTATGACATAACACAGAAAGTGTACTTTATCGCAGGATAAAGTACTGTTGGCACCAATAATATTTTGGCAAAGAATCTTAGAATCATTACTACTGAGGCAAGTGGTAAAATAATTAGCATAATATGTAAGCACTTAGTATATATAAAGTCACCACATGTCACCCCTCCATCAAGTTTATGTTAGTAATATACCCAAAATAGGGGAAACGATAGGAAATCTGTCCTGGTCTGGATGTTACCGGTGTAACGAATTCTGCGAACAGGGTATTTTCGTTTCGAACATGTTACTCTTGTGCACGCTTTTTTTGTGTGCACATACTGGAACACAATCGCATACACACGTTACTAAAATCAACAGCTGTGATAATGTTAATGAACAAACCTATTGTCTTTTTCTCTGACAGAGATGAAGTTGTTTGGGGTGGCGGAGGAGCACCCGACTTTGTGTCGTATCTGCGGAAGCCTTTGGCGTTAGAATTAAAATTTCGTTCATCTTCCCGTCGAGGTTTGGGTCCACCATTCTTGTATACACCTCTACCCTTTGGCGGAGGCCTTGGCGAGGTCTTCCTGTCAAAGGAACGAGCTTTGGGGTCATATTTCGAGGCAGTCGAGACCTTTTCAGGGCTTCCACTTTCGCTCAAGTTGGATCGTGAATTTTCACCCGACCCATTCGCTGACTTGTCATGGTTTTTATCCAAATTTTCTTGTGATTTTTGCTTAACTCCACCAGACTTGTCACTCATTACATGTATTGTGGCTCAAACTATCATAATGTCAGAAGTTTTACATATCAGTCAGTTGAAGTTGCAACCTACAATCCGCCATTACGTCTTGACAGCTGTAACGCACACATTTATTCAAGGCTTGTCATTGGTCAAAATGAAGCGGGGAATCCTCAGTTCTAAAAATAGCGCTACGCCAGTTAAAGATCTGACAAGCATGAGCTGTGTTTTCTCAGCTGACCATATAGATATATTTACCTTCTGTACGGTTAACCGACGTGGTGTAACAGAAAGCAAACCACATTCATTTGACATTACCAAATAACGCCCAGAAAATACGTTTCATTTAGTAGATTCTAAGCAATAGTTCGATCAACCCCGGTCGCGAAAAAGTATTTAGAAATTACTAAAAGTCGATGATCATGTCTTATTCCTGGTACCGTATTCGACGTAATAAGTGCCCAGGGCGCTCTCAAAATTAGAAATAGGGGGCTCTTATTAGAATATTATTTTGGTGAAAAAAAACAGAGTTAAAAGATAAAGTTCGTGGTGTATGCTGACGGCCTGAAATGTTTATATACGACAGATATATTTTTGCAGAATTTATTTGCCCATAAAGGGTGCATATAACACACAAGTGCGTATTATACGCGAATAAATAAGTCTTGTGTACATTGATCAATCGGAAGGGGTGCTAATTGGGTTTGTTCACTAGCCAACATATTAGCAAATATCGCCGTGGGCGCTTATTAGAGCGGGGCGCTTATTACGTCGAATACGGTATATGAAATTTGCTTCTGACGCCGACTGCATGCAAGAACAAACAGCTTCCAAAAGTCCTTCAACCCTTTTAACTAATATTTCAGCTTGACATGCTGCAAGTCCATATTAACGTACTTATTGAAAAATAGGTTCGTAGTCATCATGTTTTTTTATAATAATAATTTGGAAGACCTTTGAGGCTCTATAGTATTATCGTATCTTATCTTATGTAATTGTAAAGACCATTGTCTGTTGTCGGTCTTATAGTGAGTGGATCCATGATATGTTACGCCGGCAACAATATTCACAGCTAAATCACGACAGCCTGAACATAAGTAAATCTTGACCGGTGGTTGATGGCATGAGCAACAATCCAAGCAGTCGAGGCACAATGACACATACAGTCAGGTCACGCATATTGACAGTCAATCCTTATTATTCGTCATACATCTAAGGTATTCCTCCCCGGATCTCCACGAGGCATCAATGATCATATAGACCACGCATGTGCTCAATAACATAGGCCTCGAACACATACTTTCAACAATGTTGGGGTTAAATTCACGACGGGCAATACACATGCATTTTCAAGGGAAATAAAGGACTGCTTGACCCATTTATTCACGACACTTCTTGTGGCACTAATGTCATATAGATTTTTTTTTAAACGGGCTCCAATTTTCAAAAGGCTTTTGATTGTTATCAGGAACTCATTAGATGTACGCTGGAGACATACCTCAGGGTTTCATACACAGGTTTCGAAATCGATTTATATTCGGCTTCGAAGAAAATGCGTACATAGTTTTAAAGGTTTAAAATATATATTTACATATAAAAAGGGGTGTACAGATGAACAAAGCCTTTTTATGTCCAAGATCCTTAAGACTACTTCTTGCATGGTACTCGCGTGGTCCAGCCGTCTTACGTTAGTCTAACGCCGCTTTGAACAGTATTTCAGCGATGTCGGGACGTGTTAGTTTAATTAAAATCTTTGTTTGTTTGTTTGTTGTTTAACGCCGCACTCAATATTCTAGCTATATGACAGCGGTCCGTAAATAATCGAGTCTAGACCAGACAATCTAGTGATTGACATCATGAGCATCGATCCACGCAATTGGGATACGATGACATGCATCAACCAAGTCACCCGATCCCGTTAGTTGCCTCTTATGATAAGCATAGTCGCTTTTTACGGCAAGCATGGGTTGCTAAAGATCTTTTCTCTACCCGGATCTTCACGGGGTTTCTTTATCATAGGGCGTTTTTATATAGAAGCATGCAGCTCAAAACGTTTCTCTCTTTCTTCAAAGTTTCAAAGTACACACGTGTTTACTGAGTTGGAAGTGGAGCACGGAAGCTGCCCTGCTCTGTGTTGTGTTGTTTACACTATGAACTATGAAGTCCATGCATAGCATCATTTATTTGGAGCTATTGATGACGTGTATAACAGTTTCCAAATATTGTCATTTCATAAACGGCACAACACTGTTTACCCTCGCTGTGAGGTTGACATTTTGCCAAAGCGAACTTTGTTTTAACTCACTGACTCAGTTTCACCCTTCTTTGCTTCAGTGCCTTTCATAAAGCAACGCAATGGCCAAAGTCGGATCTAACCATAAACATATCGAGACATTCAACACGGGACCGGAGCCGGTGCGGTCGGGTAGCCTTGTGGTTAAAGCGTTCGCTCGTCACACCGAAGGCCCGTGTTCGATTCCGGACATGGGTACAATGTGTGAAGCCCAGTTCTGATGTCCCACGCCGTGACATTGCTGGAATATTGCTAAAAGCGGCGTAAAACCAGACTCACTCATTCACTCGGACCGGAGCCTGTTGAACAAATCACGTGACATTGTTAATAAAAGAACTTCAGATAAGAAATGGTGCAAATGCAATGGTTAAACTAAGGCTAAGTTTTAAAGTACGAGGAAAACACGGACGATATTATAAACTGCTCACAAAAGTAGATCAAAACCACTAGAAAGTTATGCCGCTTTTCGCAATAGTTAGCCCACCAGCTTGCTTGGACACAACGAAACTGAGAGCTGAAGCAAAACTGCCCCAAAAGCTCACGCCCTAGGTTTTTGTCATTGATCATGTCCCATTATCTTCAAATCACTATTCATAATTTCAATGTAACTTCAAAATGTGGAGTTTACCGTGTGTCAAAACGGGTCCGTTTCATACTTGAAATACTGTCTAACATAAGCAGCATTGTTGATGAAATCGTTTGTTATATAGCACAAACAGCTGCACAATGGGTAGTAAGCTCAAATACATGTATAACTACAGCAAAAACTGTGTGTAAGACACGAAGGTGTGGTGAACTGGGGCATAACGTCGCGTCCAAGATAACTGCACATACATTGCGACGTGCATGCACACGTATGTGTGTGTGTGTGTGTGTGTGTGTGTGTGTGTGTGTGTGTGTGTGTGTGTGTGTGTGTGTGTGTGTGTGTGTGTGTGTGTGGTGTGTGTGTGTGTGGTGTGTGTGTGTGCTAGTACGGACTGATGTCGATTTAATAGTGCTAGCCCACTGAGATACCATGCCACAGTTTTACTTGAATACCCCACTCAGACACAGTATACTGACTCCGAGCCGACCAGTCCTTGTTTTAGCCTCTTAATGCCGAGCGCCAGGCAGGGTAACAACAAGTATAATCTTTTAATGGCCATTGGCATGAGGCGGCGGGTAAGACATGAAAGCGAAGGGACATGTTATATCCGTTACATCGTGACAAATAATATAAATGTTTTTATCCACATGTTTACAACTTTGCAAGTACATTGTATTTGGTCATGTAAAAGTGTTGTTACGAGATAACTTCAAAATTAAAACTCAAAGGTTAACCCGGAAATCGGTACACACAGAACTAAATTGTGAAATCCCTAAATAACCACACAAGATCGGCGGACGTTGGTAGGCCGGATGTTGTGATCCGGTTGTGTGCAGAAAACAAATGGAAAAACGTGATTTAAATCTGACAACTCTCTGTTGTTATGGAATAAGGTGAGCTACATTCATATCAATAATGTTCAACACCTCCGAATGTTTAAACCTCATAGTATCCTTCTCACCCAAATCATCCAACTTCACATGTTCACTGGTCGACTCAGACCTACCATGATATTCTTTTATCACATTCAAATTCCACGACCATTTTTTGTTTTCAGCGGCCTGGAGTTTGTTTGTAATCCGACTTATGAACAAGTCAAAACAACAGTTATTAATATTTGTTTAATAATGAAATAAACGACTCGTGGTCGTCGTTTATCGTACAGTAAAACACTGCAGGGAGAATAAACCACGTGACAGGCACGAGTCGCTATTCGGCTTGTGCCGGAATAAAACGAGTTGGTCACGAGTGACCGAGAGTGTGACGAACGTGTCACGCGCTGGGAAGAGGCTTCTCGTACTGTATAAGAAATAAACGACGAGTGGGAGTTGTTTATCGTACAATAAAACTCTGCAGGGAGAATAAACCATGAGGGGCGACAGTCTAAAGAAACGCTCGTAAAATATATCTGAAAAGGAATTATTCCCTGAACGTGGTACCTTCTTATAAACCACATAACTTCACCTCAATTGTGCATTTATGTGGTCCCGTGGTCTTGTGGTTAGAGTGCTTGACCTACTGATCAGTTGTGGGTTCGATTCCTGTCATCCATTATCAGGAAGTTTTATTCCTTGTCTTTGATTTAGGAACATGAACTCAACTCCTCAGGTTTTACAAGGATCAAGTAAAACATCCCGAGAGGTCCCCCCCCCCCCCCCCCCCCCCCCCAAAAAAAAAAAAAGAAGAAGAAAGAAAACAACAAACAAACAAACAAACAAAACAACAACACCAAAAACACACAACAAAACTAAACAAAATTCAAATAACAAAAAAACAAAGTACCGTCCAAAACAGTGGTAAACTAACACTACAGCCCTATCGCCAGGACTGAAATTTCTATCTTTGGATTTTTCATACAAATTTAATCGTCGCAAAATCTGCACAAACATCGTCGATGATTGGTTGACCTCTCAACTTCCAGGTTTTCTTGCAACATACGAGCAAGAAAACATTTTCAATGCCGACGAAACTCCAGAGAACTCTTCATCTAAAATCTGAGAAATGTAGTGGGGGGGAGGGGGGGGGGGGGGGGGGGGGGGGGGGGGGGGGGGTGGAAGAAATCCAAGGACAGGATAATTATGTTCGTAGCAGCAAATATGACGGGCACAGAAAAACTGGAATTGCTCGTGATTGGAAAATCTCAGAATGCCAATCACCTACCGTGCCAACACAAAAGCTTGGATGACAGGTGAAATATTCACTGATTGGATTAGAGATCTAGATAAGAGCATGGC